GCGTGCGTGCGTGCGTGCGTGCGTGCGTGCGTGCGTGCGTGCGTGCGTGCGTGCGTGCGTGCGTGCGTGCGTGCGTGCGTGCGTGCGTGCGTGCGGGAGCCGCCAACGGCGACTGGTAGATGGACCGCCATCATGAGAGCGCGAGCTAGTATCAGGAATTCGTTGCGCCGCCCTTGGGGGCAAAAAACGGTGAAAGCTAACGTACGAAACCAGAGGGCAGCACGGGATGCGATCGGACCATCCTGCCCGTAAGCAATCTCCCAACTCATCTCTGGCGCCGTCCTTGGGGGCAAAAAACGGTGAAAGCTAACGTACGAAACCGGAGGGCAGCACAGAATGCGATCGGACGATCCTGTCCGTGAGCAATCTCCCAACTCATTTCTGATCTCTGCTGGTAGCAGACGTGTCCGAAGGTACATTATCTGCGTTCCCGTCGCGAGCAGTCGCCATCTTTTCTTTCGAAGAACGCGAAATTAGAAATGTGAAGTTGCATTATTTTCTTGTATTCTTTCTCAGCAACGAGATGAGTCAAATTAAATGTTTAATCAAGATAAAAGTTATTCGTCATTTCTAAGATTATTAACTCGAGAAATTGTTAAGAAGTGCAGAGAGCGAAAGTGGTATTCTGCCTCGAAAACTGGCATGCTATTGCTCCGGGAGATTAGAAATGCTTCGTAAATGACGCCAAATCGCAAGTAAATACCGGATCAGCTGACGAGCTCTGGCAAGTGACAACAGACGGACGAAGCTCATTGTTCTCGTTCTTGGTTATGGCGACAAGCAGCTCCGACGGCTCCTGTACAGCACCCGCAGATTTTCAACTCTCCTCAGAGCTGGAAGACGTTTCGAGTCGTATTAGCGTAAACTTATTCAAGTGTCCACTTTGTCACAGCAATCGACGGGTTTTCTATTGCAGACGGTGCATTCAAAATGGGGATTTTGTACATTCGACGTCTGTCTACTCTGAACGGTACTTGCAATGTCTCGTTTTGATATTACATGTCTTTTTCAATGTTTCTATATGTATTCGTTCTCCCTTTCCCTTTTTTTTCTTTTTGTGGAAATGATTCTCGGTTTGCGGCATAAAAATGGATTTCTCTATGTTAACATTTATTAATGTTCTAATTTTATTTAGCTTTACGGATAAACAGCTACGGCTGCTTCGGTTGAAAGCTGCACGATCTCAATTGGAAGAGAAATGTTTGAAAGCCTTGGAGAGATACAAGGAAAAAGATAAACTAGTAGGTGGCAATATTATATATAGAACTGTACTTGTTTGTCATGTTTTATTATCAAACAAATCTTGCTTTTAGGTATGTGAGATAAATATGTGCAATGAACGGGTGAGACTCCTTCAATCATTAGTCAATGAAACTAGACAGAGTATAAACAGAGGTATGAAATATAAGTATTTAATATCTAGGTTTGTAAGTTTCATTTAATATGCGTTACTTGTAGGCAATCAGCATTTAAATATCCTGAAGGATGTGAATTCTCAGCTGGCTCTAAGATTACCCAGGCATGAAGAGCGGGTGCAAAAAGTACATAAATTTGTTACTGGCTTAATGGTTAAACAAGAAAAACAGGAAGCAGTCGAAAGAAAGAGGCAACAATTGAAAAAAGTCATTAGAACTGCTGCCAAGCAATTAGTTCAATACATCTTCCCATTGTCAGAAGTTCAACCTAGCAGAAGGTATGGCATTTTGTATGTACTTTTTTAAACATTATCTACATTGTGTTGTACGAATTTTTTATTACCTTTACGTTATTTGAAGTTTATGTAGCAGTGAAGAAGAGAGTTCTAGTGCAGATACAGTGACTTGCGCTTTGGCAGATGCTTCCGGTACATCTTACGTGAGAGGAAGGTGGATTAATGACGCAGAAAATAGTTTAGAGTTACAATATCGTATTGTTGCACCTACCTTGCCTGGAACGGGTGATTACAGTGCTTACTCGCGCTGGGGTTTGTTGAAATCATATGTATAACTAATTTCCTCTAAATATCACGATTTCATCTCCATCTTGTTTTTAACAAAACCTTTTAACTTTAGTGACAGAAAATAAAGATGGATTATCAGATGGCAACAAAGAAAATGCGATGCATAATCCAACCTACAATATAAGTGCAGCTCTGACTTATGCTACTCAGCTGGTTAACATAATTGCATACTACGTAAATGTAAGACTCCCTTACAAACTTGCATACAGGTAAGTTTTTACGAACGTAACAAACCGTGTCTTGCATCTAGAACGCGTAAATAGTTCAAATTCCATTATTTCAGCGAATTTTGTGGGAGTGAAATGTCAGACCAGAAGTTTGCAAGAAAAGTAGCGAGACTCAACAGTAACGTTTTACACTTGTGCTTTACCCAAAATACAAATGTAGCAGTGTTACATCCCATGCACACACTGCAAAATCTGATGCATTTGCTCAATACGGAAATCAGCGATCTCGGAAGGTAAACTAATCGTAGGCTCACTGCGTGGATAGATTTCTAATTTACACTATTTTCTATTACTCAGAATCGGGCCAATAGAGATTGACCCTGCTGAGGCAGCACAGCTACACAGTCAGCTGATTCCTGACTTAGAAAAGAGTGATGATTCTGCTTCGGATGAGGAAGAGGATGCTTTCAATTGGGAATGGGAAGCTGTACGTTGTTAAAACATTTCCAGTACATGAATTAAGACAAAAACTTAAAAAGCACAACTCTGAAATTAAAGTCAAAATGTATTTCTGTAGATTGAGAATACCTGAGCTCAATAGATTCACTTTGCAGGTTCCGAACGTTGCTTGCCCAGAAATGACAGTGCCCATTCCTGGAGTGACGGTAAGCCAGCAGTCTTCGAGTATGCACGTGAACCAAAGTGTAGCTGGAGGTTTGATGACAAGTGCAGCTGCCAGTATTGCTTCTCTTTGGCGTGGATGGACGGCGAACAAGTAGGATGTGTGTTATCCAGCTTCTACTCTTTTAATTGTGATACCGTTCAACAGTGGTATAGTGTAAAGTGTCATCTGTGAACGATGGTGATATTAGGGCACCCATGATCGATCGCTAAGAAACTTCCTTAAGATGTGTATATATACACAAGACAGACATCTAATATTGTTGTACAATTTAACGAACGATGAATTTTCAGTCTTTCAATACATTTTTATATATCGATAATAATCTGTGATTTCGACATATTTGACAAAGTGGATCGGGATTATTGAAACCTATTTACAAGTTTCATTATTACATTGTGACTAGGGCGTGTATTTGAGAAAGACTTGATCACTTTGATACTATGGGTTCTAAGGATACATTCGTTCTTTTTATTCGGCAATACATTGTCGATTTTCACCCTGAGGTCTAATTCTTTAGAAAGAACTCACTTTTCTTATGTCAAGAAACAACGTGCAATCGGTCACGCTGCAATAGATTCATTACTTAAAGACTATTCGAGTTAATTCGTTTGTTTCTCTTATCGCTAAGTCTTTGGCACACTAACTCAATCTCTTAGAAACATAACGAGCGTTTATGTGATTCCGGTGTCTCACGACGTACACCGAGCTTTAATGTATTTTGTACTGGCAGTCGGATAATTTATAGATTTGATACTTGACAATATAATCGACGATAGGAGAATTTACCCGTAAACTCTCTGTGCTCTTGTTAAATAGCTCCCGTGCAAGGGGACGCCTCCGTAGAACACGTTATTGACGTTTCAGATCGCATATTTATAAAAAATGTCGAATTTTTAAAGGATTTGTAAGAAAACTGGTTAAGCTTTCTCTGTGTCTTCGCATGACCCATTGCGTTGTAATTTAGGATATTAATTCAGTGTTCGACCAACATTGTATATAATGAGGTACTCACGATTGCGCAACGAGCCTCCGCACGTGCGAAGGATGTATCTACCGATAAATTAGTGTGTACATTGAAAAGGCGTTCACATACGTCGACTTAGATCAAGTTCAAGTTATTTTTGTACGGTTGCATAAACTGTGCCGAGTTAAGTTTTTACAAGTACCCGAGACAAGAATTTAGACACCGTTTAGGGCGATCAACGTCATAGGGTTGTTCGTTTGCTAGATTAGATATTTATTTCATAAATGAGTGAAGGAGAAATGTATCCGCATCGAGGAGATTCTACGTTTCTAATGCTGGACACACTGTACAAAGAACGGTAAACGAAGGAATTATAGCGTTGTTATGTCGACATCTAAACGAAAAATGTCACACCTTCGAGGACGAGGTAAAAATTAATTTCGAGTACGGACAAATGATCTACGGTAAATTGGTAAAGTAATCCAAGCGAACTAACGAGTGATCGCTTGACAACCGTCGTTCCTTTTTATCCGCGAATCGGCACAAAATTGTACATAACGCGATATTACCTTAGAAGCAGTCTACCGCTCGTATTTTTTTATACTGCACGTGAACGCACGCATTATCTTCCATGGGGATTTCAAATCAAATTTGGCAAGATGACGTTTTAGCAGCCGCAAAATAGAAACCGGCTATGTTTTATCGGACAAAGTTTTCAATGTGATATCTCAAATCTAGGATGCGCTCACTTTTTTTTTTAATTACAAATTATTACGTATTGCAATAAAATGTATTCCGACTGTAAGGGAACGCATTATCTTCCCGATTAGACCTGATTTTTTTGTTTCAGTACATAACGCCAAGTAGACGAGGGACAAACACAGAGAGCTCGACACCGTAAAATTAGATGTTACTATCCGATAAGGGCACGATATGGTAGTTTTCGCAACACGTACGGATAACATTGTCTAATTGAAATAATTTATTTCTCAAGGTTCAGTGCCACGAAATAACGTATGACCTAGACGGCATTGCGGCATAGCTTCGATCTCGGATGTATTTAGTACACCTGTTCCGTCAATATCGAAATCCGTTCTGGCGGCCAACGTCGAGGTCCACTTTAGTTCGAGGATCACTTTACAATTTCTTGCTTGCACTTGGAACCGTGCATTGGCTCGAGCAATTTAAGGTTCCATTGCCATGTACACATGCGTCCGTGCCTGCGCGTACAGGAGGCGACCACTCCATTACATAACCGAAGGTAACGAAATTCTCGGCGAGCAAGGTAAGCCGAGGAACGGCCATGTAAATATACACATTTATACGCATGTAAACATAAGTACGTATACATAAATACGAGTGTCTATACACGACCAGCAATACCTTGGAACTGTGCCTGACACTATTAAAATCGGTCGCCTTCTCTGACCGGTAAACCGGTATATCGGATATCACTTATACCTCCTTTACAGTAGGTCCACTAGTCGTGCTTATCATTTAATTACGGTCCAGTTACCTTGTTACAGCATTGACCAAAGACATAAGGGATGATCTTGCCGAATCGAGCTCGTGGATGCGAGATGGAACTCCGGTGCCTCTCGCAAGAGAATGAGGGAAGAGCTTACCACTTTATCTTTTTCTTCTCAGGCTTTCTCCAGCCGTCGTTCTCTGGTGCGAATCCAACTCGAGTTCGTATTCGTACACACGCATTAACTGGACATCGAGTTCTGCAATCATACCAGACACACGGAGGATACTTTTTGGTGCTGAGGAAAGAAAAACTCGGGCCTTGCACTCAAGCATCTTCGACGGCTAATGTTAATTATTTACACGTTAAGAGGCTTGCGCGACTCTACGTATACTTGAAAACTGAAACCTGTTAATGCAAGCTGGGTATTCTTTTCTTCCCTATACGTTCATCCTAGGGAGACAAAAAGATAGAGTAAGCTCGGTTACTACCTACTTACATGCACCAATGAATTTTTTTTAGCAAGAATTCGGTAATAGCACATTAAGTAAATACCAGACAAGGAGGATACTTTTTAAGCGGTGCGCTGGATTCTGCGTTATGCACTTGCGTCGATAAATACTAATCTTCGACCGATTGAAAAGCTAACGCGAATCCCTGGATGCTTAACGATAGGCGGCACAAACAACGAAAGGTGTTGACACATTCGCGACCGCTGACGTGAATTCACGTCTTTTCAAGTTCTATTCCTGGTTTGCCGTCGACGTGAATTCACGTCCATAATGATACACGATACAACTTAGCGGCAACCAGTTTCAGAATTTCATTATTTTCGCCGGTACTCAGTATTTGAGACGGAAAAAATTTACCGGTCGCGAATGTGTTAACGCAAGCTGAGGCTCGTTTTTTACGCGTTCGGTCTTTAGGGAGAAAAGAAAGAGAGGAAGCTCAGTTGCTCTCTACGGTTTTACATGCACCGCTAAATTTCTCATAGAAAAGAAATCGGCAACGGTACGTAAAACAAATGATCTAACTACATGCGTGTACTGTTTTTGGGAGGCAAAAAGGTACATCCGAACGAGGACGTCACGAGATCCTACTTTTCTCCCACGGACGTAATTCTGGCCCTCGCGATCGTTCCCCCCATCGTTGCGCATGCGCAGGTAATCGACTCGTATTTCCGGCGATTTCAGGAAACTCAGACTGCGTTAATTCATCCATAGATGTGGACTTTGTTAATGTAAAGACACCACGGAGTTTGTCACGTTCGGCTAGAGAGGATATATCAGAGCAAAGTTACCTTGTTGAGTAAACTCGACGTTCCGGGGTTCTCTCTCTCTCTCTCTCTCTCTCTCTCTCTCTCTCTCTCTCTCTTTCAACGATCGATCAAGCTTGCGCGCCGTGCATTCGATTAGAATGCAACCTAAGCGCATCGATAACGGATGCGACGATCGCCGCTTTCCTCAGTGCAGCTTCACTGATCTAAGAACATTATCATATCTGGCTGGTGGTTGTGTATCGTTTAACACGTGCACCGACATTTTCAAGCCTCGAGAGAAAGAGAATCGTTCTGGCATCGCTCTCTCGGCGAACTCGCGAGTCCTTTTCGCCGGTAGATTTTCGTGCCAATTCAAGCCCTGCGCCTAAGCTCTGCCATTAATGCGTAGCTTCCGGGTAAATGTTAATTAATCACAGCCTTACAATCCTCCGCGATCTTGTAATCGAGAATCGAAATTAAGGGGGGAGATATACATTTTGTCCGATGAAAAAAGTCGATTTTTCGGTTTTTTGCATGTCCATCGAAACCACATTTTTCAAACTTGTGCCCACGATATCTACTGGACCGATTCACCTAAAATTTTTGTGAGGTTGTACAGAATATATCTCGCTATAGCCCATACCGCGGAGATTAGTCTACATAAAAAATGACGATCTGTACAACTTTGAGAAGACTGAAAAAAGCTGCCGAATTGAAAAAAAGAAGTAAGTCGTTATACTGTCGCCATTTTGTGATTGGTCAATTCTTTCAATGCGACCGAGCTATAAAGGGTCATCTGACAAACCAGGATATACCTGGATTTTTTTTTTACAGTCAAACGAACGCAATCGTGGACACCGATGAAATGCAGTATCTTGCAGTCCAGCGCGCCGAGCGAGTACGACGCAATGAAATGTTTTTGAAAAATTTGTACAAGCAGACAAAATATCAGTATGTACGAAAAAGAGTTTTTCAATAGCTCTTACGATTTCGGTAGAAAAAATTCATGAAAATTTATTGAAAGAATTCGGGTAAAATGTATCTACCCCCTTAAGAGTAAAGAGTAACTTTCAAATCAAAGTAGTCACACGCGGGACACGGTGTTAGGATTGCTTGTTAAACGGTTAGAATATCTCCCAGAGAGATTGGCACACGTTAATGCGTGCATTAGTAGTTCGTAAATTACTTCTACCCTTTGGTCATGACCTCGGTTAATACTAGAACTACTAATGGATTTTTTTTTGTATAGGATGGGCCATTTGAAACCAGTCATTTTTACTGGTCTTGGTAGTTCTACTGTTAAACTAGGGCCTCAACCGATACAGCGAGAGAAAAAAAAAGACTCTACGGGATAAAGCGGCGTAACATTATCTACATTTGAAATTGTACTTGGGCGCGCCATATAGAATCGCCCCTTCTAAATCGTTCGCAACACTTAATCCATTTAACGGGTACACGTAGATCGCAACATGGGCCCGTTCCCGCTCGAAATGGCAGAAAAGATCTTCCGAAATGTGATATTAACTGAACACCTCGCCTATCTACCGGCGAACGCTTCCTTAACGAAAAGAGAACAAGCTAGTTCCCATGGTATATACGTCTTTAATTATGTATATTATATACAACAACACAGGTAAATGGTATTGCGTAAGTAACCTCATAAGTAAATAGTAACGTACACAAAATATTCCATAGTATTATGCTGAATTCGAGTTACGCTAAAATTTCCAACTAACATAGTTCCGAGCTCGTACTTGAGTCTCGTAAGATCTTAACTCTCTAACACGCCCGAGACTCAACGCGCCGTTCTCTCATTGTTAGTGACAAGATTTCGTTTATTTACAGGAAGAATACCGCGAGGTTCGAGGCGCATACAAACGGCGTCGCCGCGGGGAGCTTTCTCTCTCCAGGTCGAAGACAGTAAATCCATTCGGCAGACTGTGAGAATTACGTGGGTCGCGAACGGAGTATATATATCTTACAATTGGTACAAGCCGACCGGGTTAAGACCTCACAGTTCTCAGGTACGGAAATATCGAGTTTAGGTTCCTGGCAGGAGTGTCTCCGAGGGCACCCGAAAGTGTCTCACGCAACCCCGAGGATTTTTACACCGCGTTCGAGGGGAGGTTCTCCCTCGACGGCTATTCCCCGTCGAAATTCTCGTCGATCTGAAAAATGAAGAAGAAAACGTTCCAAAAGTCAGAAACCCATCCAGGGACACACTTTCGGGTGCTCGGCACCCGCGAATTACGATAACGCGCGATAACGTCCGCACAGTGTACGGGAAAACGCGCCGACACCGGCGAGAGTGTGCTTTGCAATTTTAAGCTTCCTTCGTAGGTCTCGAGTGTTCAACTTTTTGCCGCAGCTTAATCCAAGCTCATCGCGTTCGGATTTAACGATCGTTATTAGGGTCGTCCGTGGGAAGGCTCGTCTTGTGCGCCAGGAGAGGATTCATGGTCTGGTCGAACCTAATCTAGAGAACGGACGGGACAATACGGAATTAAGGATGTGCATCCTAGATTCGTTATCGTTATCAAGGCTCCGGGATTAACCTCTCTTCGACTACACATTGAACTTCACCACCGATTTCCGACGGTCCTACCGATATTACCAAATACGGTTCCTTCCCTATACAGCAATTCCCATTTTTTTTTTTTTTTTCGTTATTTAGCTAACTCGACCAGCCTCCCTTTGCCGTGTTCACTGTTACCAATGATTACCGAGGAGTCGTTTGTTAGGGGGAGAGAGAGAGAGAGAAGGAGAAAGAGTGGGACGTATTGAATGAAAATAATCAAAATGTGGTAATTAGTTATTGGGTGTACAAATCATCCAAGAACTAAAGGCTGCTCGTCCGCGATACGCGATGCGAAGGCAAGAGGGCTGCGAATTAAGCGACTTCATATACACTCTCTCCGGGGGAGAAATTCACTGCCAAGTAATTTGGACTTTACAAGTAATATATCTATATTCGGTATCTACGCCCGCTACGCGACATCAGTCCCATTCTGAGAGGTACTTAGACTTTCCGAGCACACCGAGACGCACCAGTTTGTCGTGTAAGTACAAGACTATTTCTTCCCTTTCAATATTCTCTGTTCTTTTCTTATTTTCTTACAAGTTCCACGATCCACACCATCGTGATCCAACTTAACGTAGAAATTGATAAACTGGCGAGAGTACTCTCCTTATTCTGGCTCAACGACACCTCTATTCAATACCATAATTTGTACAGAACGGGACTGTGTTGTTTTTTTTTTTTTTTTTTTAAGTTGCGAGGAAGGGAGTAAAAGACCTGTGCCTTCGAGGGGCAACAAGACGACGTCGCGGAAAGCTAAGGATCACTCACCCAAGTGACGAGGAATTACCTCCAGGATATATAATACACATATATTAAAATACGTCCTCACGTTGGCCAAGTAAAATTCTATGTACAGAACGAGGGTGCAGGACTCGGGGTGAAAGATACCAGGGCGGTATCATTTTATCCGACATCTCGAAATCGGGATATAAATCCCCGACGGATAGTTTGACCGATTGGCGAGGACGTATCTTCTGTTTATCATTTTTATATTTCATTCACCATCGGCAACAACCACCGCACGGTTACCGATTTTCACATTCGTCGAAGTCCTTCCCCGTCACTTGGCCGTTGCTCCGAAACGGCACTTATGCGCTGCTATAATTCGGGAATGACTCTAAGATTCGTCAAATTAATTAAACGATTAATCTCTTCGGCGAGCAGCGATAATAAATTCGTTCCAAAAGTTGAAGCAAAGAAAAAGGAAATAACAACAAAATAAAAAAAAAACAATGTAACGTTTACGAAGGCATTCCAACGCGACACTAGGAGACTGCCTCGCTCTTTTTCCCGAATTATAGCGAACTTCTGTAATACCCCTTTTACTACCATCACGTTATTTTACAACCAGGGAACGATAAATGTACTTTGGTGTATATATATATATATATATGTATACATCCAATTGTGTATGTTTGTGTGTACTACACGTTAGGATTGTAGGATGGCCTTGACAAGTAGTTTCTGCATCGTCAACAAGCACGGCATAACGAGGGAACGTCAAAGCTCTGAGCAGCAACCGTTTATTGTCCATGGATCGGAATTAATTAACACGAGTACACGCGGAGCTCGACTGTTCTTATGCTTTTCTTTTCTTCTTTTTTTTTTTTAAATTTTGCCCGTTTACGAATTATTTCGAGGGCAATTTCGCACCTCCTTCCAGGTTTCGAGGAGTTGAAGATGATTCGACTGGGAACGATGTCTTGCGCGAAAAAGCGGAGAAACCCTAAAGAAAAAAACAAGGAGGAAAGGAAATCCAACGCGTTACGCGAAACTAAAATCAAGGCCTCCGTTGATGCTACGCCTCTAATCGAATCGTCCTCAAAACTACGATAAACGAAATATCCGTACAAACATCCGTGGATACAGTATCTATATTTATATACAGAACTGCAAATCCTAATATTAAAGTGGTCAGTTTTTCCGACTCTACACGCGCAAACGACTTTCGGTTGTTTTCGTTTTCCTTATGCTTCTTCTTCCTTTGTTTCTTTTTTTTTTCTTATTATTATTAAACGCCTGAGAACGAAAAAGCCTTGCAAGTCTCCCTACTAACAATTGTCCGACGGAGAGAGGGAGAAATTGACCAGACATACGAGTAAATATTCTGGACATGAGTCCCCTAGAACTACAAAAATATATGTATGTAATTATTATAATGTAATGTTACGCATCTTTTTGTCAACACGGCAGGGGCTTACCGTAGAAATATTCTACTGTACCGTCCATTTTGAATGAACATCTAGATCACACGCATTGATTATATACGCGGTAAACGAATTTAATTTAGAGAGAAGAGAAAACATACGGTCAAACTATATACCCTATTTCCCTAGTTCCTCTTGCGATAAAGATTTTAACAACACTACGAATACGCATTCGTCTCTAATTCCGCTTCCGACCCTGTCGATCGTATCAACGAATTAAACTATCGAGAACAATAAACTCTAATACGATAAAAAAATATCTCAGATAAATTTGGGGAAGGAATTAACATTATTAATATGGGTTTTGCACGTGACAATGAAAGTAGTTAAAACTACACTTTCGCGTCATCTAGATTTTCATTAGAGTACGGCCTCGTTTGCAACCCTTAGTACAATATCTCTGAACCCCTGCGCAAACAACCTTAATATAATTTTTCTTTTCCTTCCATTTTTCGGACGTGGGGAAAATGTACAAAATCCAACAATAGATGGTGGTAACCGATAAAATCTGTGAGAACACGTTATTTGTTACTGCGTGTAGGATCTCTTTTTCTGTTAACCGTCTTGGACCGCTTTTTATGACTCGCCAAAATTGATCTATCGAAAATCTTGCCTCAATTCCGTTTGCTCTATCTCTGTTACTTGCATGCCTTTTTTTTCTCTTTTATTTACGCACAATAAAATCTTCTCGAGGGAACTGGCCTGGTTTTCCATCTATTCGCGTCCAATCGCGTCGGACTGAGAATTATTATTTCCGTTCGAATTTAATCACCACTGTTGTTAATAACATTTTGCAATCGTTACTGCGTCTGACTACGGTGAAAGAATAATAAACTTAGAATGCTCCTGCGGCCTCGTACCGAATAATGTAATACGATGAATTTTCATACACACATATATATATAAAAAAAAGGGGAGGACCAGAAAAGTACAATGGCTCTCAAGTGCAAATGCCATTTCTAAATACCACGATGTTTCGCATTTGAATTAAGTCTTCGGTTACGTTGTGTAATATAATAAATGCATGTCTGTGTGCTTTCTTCATTACTGCTAATTAGATTTGGCGTGCGTTTCGTTAGTGTCTAATTGGCCAATAGGATGTTAATTTGCATTTCGACGTTAAATCCTTGCGGACTGTAATTATTACGCCTGGGACGTTCTACAAGCAACAACAGCGATAAATAATTAAATTTTTTTCTGTAAAACAACGCATGAATGTATCGGTACTGTACAATTTTTGTTTACATCTATTCTGCCACTCCATTATTGCATCAATGTCTCTACTCCTCGATAGAATTTTCTCTCCCTTTACATTAGTTTTCTCTGTCGGGAAAAGTCATTCTACGTTCACTGGCCTGGTTGCAATGGCGCTCTGTTGTTTCTGATTTAGACAGAAGGTACATAAGATAGGAATATCAAGGAGCAAATTAAATCGTTCAGTGATTAAATCCTGTATCGATGTGTAAAAGCGGGACACACGTACTAGGTATAGTTGCACATTTTCTGTGACTTTTAGAACGAGACCAGGGGGTTAGTTAAATCGAAGGGAAATCGTATCCAAGACTTACGCTGTCCGCTGCGCTGGGACAAACGTCCCGAAACACCTTCTCGATGAATGGTTGCCTGAAAAAAGAAAAAAGTAACCCGTATAGGTGAGTAGATTCCTGCAAGCCCAAACGTTATGAAGGCGCTAAGTTAATTGTTCGATTTTGCTTCGTGCTTCGTTTAACTGCGGGGAACAACACTGAATAAGGAAGATGAGACAACGGTCCCGGAAGTTCTTGCTGCGTTTACTTAAATTTGGTATATCTGACGAAGGTCAAGCTCGGCACAATTGCACCATTGCGAGAGCCATCTAATTATGTACTTTGGAATCAAGCCAAATTGGTAATGGACTGTTGACTCTTTGTGTTCACCGACCACCAGGTTAACCTTAACACTGTTTCCTTACGTAAGTATTGAAAGATTTGGCTGCAGTCGGAATCTGAACGTGTAGTCAAACAACGCTGCTCCCCGAGAGTAACCACCGTTTTACCGCGGCATTTCAACTTTAACGTCCAACTACTTTAATGGCGACAATGTGCTTTTGTTTCTTTGTAACGGGAGTGTCTCTCCGGTACCGTTCGTTTCTTCAAAGTTTATCGTTTAACCAGGTTACGAGCTAAGCGTTCCGAATGCGCCACGTGTTTGCAGGTGATAAGCATTTGTCGGTGCTATTGAGTTGAAGATTAACTTACTTAGCTGAAAGACCACCTCCAGGTGGCAAATTGGGCAACTCCTGATCCATAAGAAGCTGAAGCAGTTGCAGAAAGTCGAAGCTGTCTTTGTTCTCTTGCTGCGCTACAATTTCTGTCGACAGAACAGTAAAAGATCAGTGCTGCATCTTCGATAACATGTGACGTCTATTTATTTCTTTTTCTTTTTTTTTGGTGAAACTAAATCACAAAATCTCAATGCCACTCTAATGAAATAAGAAACGACATCTACTAACACTAGTTGTTGCTCTTTCGTCATGAGATTTATCAGACTTCTACTACCGATTCATACAGATCAACGATGACATTTTACGTGGATGAAAGTTATATGCCTGAGAAGCGACTTCCATGAAAGTACTGACAGAAAATAGAAGCGACAAAACCGAAAGTTAACTTAACATGCAACTACTTAGGACTGGAATGTAACAAACGGTACATTTCTTATGGAAAGAAGTTTCTCTCCCCGTTCTCCGGTCTTAAGTAGATACATCTTCCAATCGTTTTCCACTTTTCCTTTTTAAATATCTTACGATTTAAATTATACTTGTCCACCGATGGAATTGTTGCCTACACAATTGATTTTATATTGTAAATCATGTTAATTTATCACATGCGTAACGGCAAGCGCAATGATCCTCCATAAGAAATGCATTGCCGTTAGAACAAGAATACAAAGGTCAAGGGAAGTGACGAGACAAGTTTATTGTGTTGTAAGTGAGTTCGCACCTACCTGTGGCGCCTTTAAAACTATTTTCAATGCACAAAAGAGAAATGCGTATTTATTCAGTAACAACTCCAAGGGTGGAACATGTGTTAAAATTACAACTCCGAGTGCAGTGGGTACAACTAACTTTTTTTAAAAATCCATGATAGATTTATTGCACATTTTTCGTTTGCTATTGTTATACAGATTAAAATGGACAACCTGTTGCTTATAATCTTTACCGATCTTTTTAACGAGTTACTTTGTTTCTCGTATCTATTTAGAATAAACTCTCGAGTTAGATGTTCCAGCAATCATCACCGAATGAAAATATCTTTTCGACATATTTGTACTATTCTCTCTTCTTTTAGAATTATAATTTGCTTTCACAAAAACTTAATGAATGATGTAACTAAATAATTAAAACTCTAACCGCAACGTTAATAAATGAAACATAAAATTTCCTGAGAATATTCTTGCGATTGTTATGAACATCATGCGTGGTAAAGGGGGACGATTATGAACACTGAGTAACACGTGGAATTTACCACACAATAGTAATGGAATATGGATCACTTTGATTATTCTTGATAATCTAGTTGACGAGTGAAGCTACGTTTTATACTTAGAATACCCTTTGATTATTTTAATACTATTAAAGAATTGTCAGCATGCTACTGCATGTACCTCGTGACTATTTATAAAGTAAAAGATCAATCATCTTGAAGTCACTTAATTCGAATTAAACCTTTCAGTTATTTGGAATAAGTACATGACGAACAAATGGAATGAATATCTTTTTTATAATTGGTCAACATGGTTTAGAAGAATATGAAACTGTTTTGATTCTCTGATTGTACATAGAGTATTCAACACGCTTGACACGTTATTTCATATTGGTACTGTGACGGACAGAACCTACTATTATTCTTACATGTTACTTTAATCCTAGTAACCTCACTTGAACAGTGCTACAAATAATAGCCATAAATTTTATTGGTGCTTCATCTTAAAAGCAACTACACATTAATGGTGGACTTATAAGTCCATAACAAACATTTATCAATTAAAATTCACTGTCTCAAAGACAAAACTGGAGATAACAATAATAATCACAGATAGTTACTGTTCATTACAAGGCCTCTAAGGAACTGTCCTTCTACCTTTGGCTTAAAATTGATGTTTATCAATAATTACACGTGACTCAATAAATAAATAAAAATCTGAAATTAACATATTTCAGTCATTTCAGTATTATTTAACAGGTAATTATGAGACTGAAGGTATTGTTAAAAAAAAGTGACTATTTTAGACACCTATCAATTCCTAAAACATTATATACTTCCTACGAGGAACTATTTCATTCTTGATCTCAAAGCTACAGTTCTCTATTTTAAAATTCGGCAGTAGGTTTGACTGATCTATGGTGACTAGTTGGTCGCCCAAGAACATTATAAAATGTCTACATCTTATGCACTCATGGGGCAGATGAAAAGATACGTTTGTATTTGAAAACTGATTTGAAATGAATTATTGCAACTTAACTTGCTCTCTACGTAAGAGAGCTTGATGGATGTCAGGTACGTCTACGGGACCTCGTGTTAATACAGCAGCACAGAGATAAGATTGAATGTGAATATCTATATGGAAAAGTAAATGAACCTTTAATCCTCCTCTCGATTGCCATTTCTAATTCGGCTTCCTTCTTCTGGGCCTCTGGACTCGGTTTTGGAGCTCCGGGAAATGTAACCAATACGATGCTCATATTATCTCTGCTTCCCTGCAAAATGAAATTAGAGCACTTGTAATAAAAATAATGTTTACACCTAATGATGTTTGTTCTATTTGTATAATTAACATAATACAATGAAAACTTCTTAAATAACGTAAACTCAAAATGAGTAATTATTGCAAAATGCAACAAGTGGTACTACATTATCATAACCGTTGGTAGTTATCTGTAAACTTAACTGTGAGTAAGATAGTGCTACCTGTATTGAGGTAATTAATCATGTCTATGTTGACACCAGCTGAGTGATTAAGTGATCATCACAGCAATGCTAATATTTTTATCTGCTTTTTAAGTATCCATTTAAAATGTTACTTTTCTATCCATCACTACAAGTTAATAAAAAATGTAGTATCAGAAATAATGCTCCAGTGCTAAATCAGCAGTCAAGAGTTGAAATGCGAAAAGAAAAATATGATACATTATCTCTGCACGATAAGCACAAGCTCGGTTAAAAACATATTCACACAACTGGATTTCGCGAATAACTGGCTTTCTTTGCAGATATGTCGATGCTATCACTGAAATGTATAACGGTAACTGACATAAAACATGCTGAAATTATATCCTAGCTAAACTCCTATCTAAAATCACATGCATGAAGTTCCTAACACAAGTTGTCATCGATTAGACTTTACCTTATATAAACAAGTATCTATAACTTGGTTGGTAACCACTTCTAAGTCGTCGGTCAGCAACAGCCTCGAATGTATAAAATGACAGAGATCTTCGTTGGTCATAACGTCCCAAATCCCGTCGCATGCCAAAACTAAGAACTCATCGTGTTCGTCATCTCTGTCCCGTAAGAATATTTCCGGTTCTGGAGAGACCAGTTGTTCGCAGGGCCCTCGGCCTTCGACGTTTTTGTACTCATAATCTCCTAGCGCTCGTGAAACAGCCAACGACCCGTTCACCCGTTGAATCATCACACTACCCCCTGCATTTTGAATCCTTTCCTTTTCAGCAGGCAAGATCGGTTTATGATCTCTGGTCGAAAAGATCGGGTTTCCGGAACGACACAGGACAGCCCGGGAGTCGCCGCAGTTCGCAATGTAAATCTGTTTAGGAGATATGAACGCACAAACCGCGGTAGAACCGGACTTGTCCGTGCCAGCGCTCATTTCGGGCAGGTCTCTCATCTCATCATCCAGCCTTAAAAACCCGTAATGGATTCCATTTATCACATCCTCTGCCTTAAACTCTTTAGTCTGCATAATAGACTCGAGCAGGTGTTCGGCGCTATGTGCCGACACTCTCGCTCCGGCGTGACCATCGAAGACAGCGAAGTAACTCCAATCCGACAGTCCACCTTCCAACCCTGTTATCGCTCTATGAGCATCCTCCATCTCCATCCTCCATCCTTGCATGCTAGCCACCCCGTACCGCAATCCGTTACCAGAACCATGTTCGTTGTACTTGTCGGTCTTCGGTGTATCCAAAAATGCCCCCATAGTAATCGTCGAGAGTTTGCTGTGTCACCTGGCAATTCCCTCGTGCGTCAGATTATTTAACCAACATTTTTCGGCGTGGATTCCTGTCGATGCCTCTTTCCCTTTCTCCTTCGCTTCTACCTAAAAACCAAACACAGAGTTCTGAGAATATTGAAGCCCCTCTCCGCGACGCGGCTCGCGCATTCCCGAGAGCGGAAAATCGCGCGGTCTATTTTTCGCCAGCAATTATTCTCTCTCTCGCTCTCTCTCACTCGAGAACCGGGTCAAATCCGCATCGTGAGCGCCGTCGAGATCGCCGCGTCTTCCGCGCTGGCCGAGCCCCGCGCTCGCGAAAACCGCCAAGCCGAATCACGCCGACCGCGCGCGCGAGGAAAGGAGGAACGCGGCGCTGCCGCGTAAACCAACGTTTCCCCGCGCGGCGCTCGCCGTGAGCGAGTCGGCTCTCCTGGCGTACGCGCACGCGGCCGCTCGGCCCAAACCTCGCGAGAATCCGCGGTTCGACTTGGCAACGGCGATTCCGCGACCAAAATAGTCGACGACGGTTCGATCGGCGCGTGCCCGCGGGACTTACGTGGGGCGAACGTGGCCGAGACTCATCGTCACTCCACGGCCGTGCGAACGCGACTACGCGTGGCGAGTGCTAATCCGCTTGTTTCATGTCTTCCCAAGGGCGCGAAAATACATCACCGACACCATGTCTTTCTCTCTCCTCTCCTCGTTAGGCTCTCGCCAGCTCTCGCCGACTCGACGCACCAGACTCGACACACGGAAACGCGGCGGGATCGACTCGCATGAATGGCGGGTACTCACTGGCCACCCGGTGTGCCCGCTCAGCCGGTTATAAATAGCTCCGCGACATGGCGTCACCATTGGCCAATCGGAGCGCCCCTTTAGCCGCGACGCTCGCGCACGATCTACGTAGCGTCTGCTCAGAGAGAAGATGAGAGTAACCACGTCTCCTACTTCGTAACTGTAGCGCGGTGCTGCCCTCTCGACAGCTGAAGTGTCGAAAGACGCGATATGTCGGTAAACGTAAAGACCAGTCTGGTATGGTAGGGTGGTTACTCTCATCATCTCTCTGATTCAAGTGACAAATCGAGCCGTCACTACCAAGACTCGAATTTGTTTGTCTAGGTGTAATATATAGTTTGTGCTCCAGCCTCAGAAATGGCGCCGTCTTATGAATCTTGAACATAACCTCGAAGCGACTTTTCAAATATAACCGGTTACTCGACAAGTGGGGAAAAATCGTAAACATTTTTACTTTTGGCAACTGTTCAATCTGCACATGAATGTCCGTTTGAATTTATTCAAATACGGAACTCGTGACAAGAGGACAATATGAGCATATCCAATGGAGTTCTTCACGAGAAAATTCGGGAATTACTTCCTGGCCTATCTCCCAATATCACACCGCAAATATTAAACAAATTATGCGAAGATGACAGTTTACAGCCATTTCTGCAATGGTTTTGCGAGAATGTCACTCGTGACAATGTCCTTACGGAAGAGGAGGTTCAAATGTAAGAATTTTGTGTAAAAAGGTGTAAACAGAAGCGGTTTTAAGAATTAATGGTAACTTATCGTTTAATGCTTTTAGAAGGGACCACCTACAAAAAACAGAACAGTGGTTGCAAGGTACTGAATTGGACGAGGCGCTTGCTGAGGCTACAAGTAATTGTCCGCAACTGTTAGAATTAGTTAAATCAGAAAACTGGAGCTTGGAAAAGCAAAATACTGACTTAGAAGTGGAGAAGGAAGCCCATGGAGAAGATGTAGATTACCTTCATAGTTTGGAGACAAGTTTCCATAATTTAAAGTATGATTCTATGAGTTTATCGATATTTGTTCACTAAATCATATATTATACAACTTTATTTATAGAGAACTAGAAGAAAAACTGGATGAGAATCTTGAGGAAGAACAGACTATGTTAAAAAAGGATCGCATTGAATTGGATAAAGCTTATAATGACTGTGAGGTGGTCTTAGAAAAATTTGATACTAGCCACCGAAATGTATTTAAAGACGTAAAGCTCCTCGTGGATGTGTATGCCAATGCAGCCGAGAAGGTATTTTTGATCCAACATATATCTATGCAATAAATTAATATATACTACAGATTTATGATAAGCTTTTAGCAGAAAGGTCCACAGATTCTGTATACGCAAATGCCCCTGGAGCTTTTTATTAAAAAAATGGAAATGTATGTTAACTATCTACTAGTTTACATAAAAAGACAATTTGGAAGTGACTCAGATCTCTCCAGACTTATGAACGACAGCAAAGATACTCGTGGTGAAGAAATGTTACAAGAATTATCAAACTGTGAACAAAAGTAACAATAAAATTCAAACTCTGTTCTTAATAAATTTATCAGTATGAATAATCGAAACTCTTTCATAGATTAATGCAATCTACGGTAGATGAAGTTTTGGCAAAAACACGCAATGCTGCTTCCAGTGGCATCAAGGAATATGCCATTAGTATTTACAATAATGGAAAATTAAAGATACCACAGACTCAGGCACAGCTAAGGTATACGTCTTTTGTATTTCCTTTTGACTTTTCTGTTTAACTTTATAACAATTAAAACTATATTCAGTGCAGAAATTTTAGAACTAACTGGGAAACGGGATTACTTGGAAGAGAATGTGGGGATTCTGCTCGAAGAACAGTTGAAACCACTGTCAAGAAATTTTGCTCGGATGGAAATAACAAAGATCATCTTGAAAGATGCGGAGGGAAGGCTTCAGCGAAGGAAAGATCGCCTAGAAAAACTGAGAATAGTTAAAACTTTTGCTCGAGAGCATGGTAGCGCGTATTCCGACCTGCTTTCCATGCTAATGAAATTGCAGTGTCGTCGTCTCGCAGAAATACGCGAATTCGCTGCGGATGCTCACCACTATCTCACGACCGAATATTCCTTGTCCACTATGAGACGAGTAAGTAAAAACAGGATCAGTACTATTTTCAGAAATTAACGTTCATTAAAGAGAAGGGTTTAATGGAAGGTCATTTTACTCATTTAGGAAAGTATGCAGAAACAACAAAACGAATATACCGCCATACTGGAAGGACCGGTGAAGAACCAAAATGTGTTCAATAAAATATTTATGTCAATGATACTCGGGAAGGATAGCGAAGACGCAACTCTGCATTCCGCAATAAACCAATACGACGCCTTGGTTGTGGAAAACAAGCTGAATCGGGAATTCTTACTAGGAGCTGAGTTGAATGGTAAAATTGCAAGTTTAAAGCCGCTGTAAGTATCGATGTTCGTTCAACTCGTCTCCATTATAGCATAAAGGAATTTTCATTATTTTAATTATCATCTCTCAGGGAGGATGCAGTGACTGCACAATATGAACACGAGACCCAAGATGGGGTGACGGTCAGCTTAAAATCCTCGGCCCCTGAACTCCTAACGCGAATCCATAAAACTACGAGCTGCCTGAAGAAGCTCGATGGAGACCTTATGACTACAAGAAACAAATTGAAAGAGATGATGGTAAGTGTAACGTCGATTCCACTCGATTCAGCGATCGCCCGATCCGAATTAATACCCCCACGCTTTGTCCTGTATTTCAGAAAAAGTACAACATCGGTGGATTCGAGAGGGACAGTCAAATCCTATGGCAATATTTTTTAGCAGATCCAGAGATGGTGCAGTTAAAATATAACGAAGCGAAAGTTAGCGCGGATCGTTCCGTCTTTGCGAACCCTTTGTAACTCCGGCTCGCTTGACTTTCTCGTACATGATTCCCAACCTAATTCACGGTATACAGGTACATTAGGACACTAAGATATCGCGCCGTCTTCATATAAAAAGCTGGCATTCGTTACATTTCCACGGATTTGCTATTACCTCAGATTCACCTATTCGGGGCGTCTCACGCGCAGGGTACCCTCATGTCTTTTTATACGAAACGTGAAAGTAAATTAAATATTTAAACGTTATAATATTTACCATAACCACTCTAGAATTTTCGGATAATACAGATGCAACTCGCGTTATATCTGTAGCGGTCTTTATTTTCTCCCCCGGCTAAAACTTCCCAGGGCGCCGATAAAGCGGCGATAGCGTCTAAAACGAGGGTTCCCTCCCAGCCGTGCGTTTCACCTTCAGTAAATGGAAAGTCTTTTTCCCGCATTAGGTATTCTCAGGCGAGTCGGCGTAATCCGACATCTAGAATTTCTCCTCTCGCGAGCTCGAGGCGTTGCGCTCGCGAATGGCCGCGCCACCTCGGGCTCATGAATGGCTCGTACACTCGGCGCGCCACGAGGGTGTGCACGTCGCCGTAGGACGTAGAACCACGTAGAGTGACGTAGACCGGCGAACCTCTGTCGTAACCTTGATCCGACCAACCCCCACCCACGTGCCGGTGTCCCGGCTCCGTGATTGGTCGGGCCGCCGCGGATCCATCGGACACGACCGCGACTCCTTAAATGGCATTCGTCGAGGTAATGCCTCTTATCCGAGACGATAACGAGATTAACCTCGAGCTCCCCTAGAACTAAGAAATCGCCCGAAGAACCACAATGCCCTTTAAATGCCACGGTACTTTTCCCTTCGTAAATCGATCCAAACCTGCGTTTACAGGACGTTATAAGGAAAAGGAGCTCGTACCACGGAGCGTGCGTCTACGAGTCCAGTGACGTAGCGATAAAACCGCAACCTTGATCCGAGCAACCTCTTTTTCCCGGAGTTCGTCACCGATAGGGTAGACTCTACCCAGGCACGAGAAGGCTTTTCGGAAGAGAGCTCGACGCCCTCGTTTTCGAAATCTTGAGGCGAGAGCTCGCCGAAAGGGCAGGAACCGAGAAGAATAATGTCAAGGGTCGGGACGTTTTCGGAACGACCCGTACACGATGCACGGCGAGGCTCTTGCATTACGGTTCGACCGGTTCCTGCATAGCGGAGTGGAATCGATTTTCCGACGGCCAGATTTAGCCTCGCCGCCCTCGAGTTCGACCCGAGTGTCCTGGCAAGAAATCCAGAAATCTAATCAGTCTCAACCCCTGCATCGGGAGGTGCCAGCCTTGGCCGGTTACGGTCGCTAAAAATATAATTAAGAAACGGAAACCAGACGTCACGCAGGCCGCGCTAGCTCGGTCTAGCGTGATTACTCAGCCCCTTATCTATTCCGTAAACATCGTTACGCAAAAATATATGTATACGTCACATAACTATGTATCCGGATGGTGTATATCAAGCAAACGACAAGGTCGAGTCGGTTCCGAGGAGGCTCTAAAATTGGAATATCAAAAGTGGGACCCACACCTGCGTGCCTCGCGGTTGTGGGTTAGTCAAGAACGCATACAATGATCACGTATTAAACATTCCTTGAAGCATCTAATATCTGCGTCTATGTATCCAGCCTATATACAATATATACCATACAAGGAAGGTTCCGACCCCCATGAAATTTCATCTTTTATAAAAAAAAATCTAAAACTGTCTTCACATTTTTAATAAATTTCAAAATGTCTACGAATTGAACAAAAATTGACAATTTCTGCAAGCGTAAAAAAAAAAATTGAAATTTCATAGGTGTCAGGGTTTTCCTTATATTCTCCGTATTCACGTTGTAAAGGATGAAACGATACGGTGCACCCAGTTTGGCGAAAAAGTTTACAAATATTTTGACCTTTTGGTATGCATAGAATAACCCTTTCGTATACCTCAAAAGTCACGGTCTCCTGAGTAAAAAAACCTCGCGTACTTTCCGATCCTGGGATTACAGTTGTTCCGTTTAATCCCACGACTAGGTACCCTATTGCATTCGTCCAGGGTACGTCAGTCTGTAACATAATTTATATAATATCGATAAGATAATCCCATGTCGAGGCTTAAAACGAAGATGGCGCGGGGAAACCACTGTGAAGCGCCATAAGGAGGGGGGGCAGGTCTATCGATCGTCTCGGGCAGGCTCGAGTTAACGGTTTGTTTACTCTAGCCGCGTCGGGCGGGCGCATGCGCGTCGCCGGCAAAACAATAATACGAGAGCGCGGCGGCTCGCAGGAAAGTTCACGGCTGCCGAGTCGCTGGCAGTCGCTGGCTCGATTCCCGTCCTTTCTAGAGCCGGGAGCCACTCGCCGCTGCGCTCGGCTCCAGCGGAGTCACTCGTGCGCGCGACGCCGACCGGAGAGGAGGGACACGCGTCGCGGTCCGCTCACACCGCCGGGAGCGAGAAGCGACTCTCAAAACGATAACAGAGAGCGTCGGACGCGCGACCTCGCACGCGCTTCGAACGGAGTCCGTTTCGCGAGAGAGCAAGAGAGAAAGAGGAAGAGGGGAAGAGGGGAAGGGAGGATTAACGAGTGCACCTCGAGGAGAAAGGAGAGAATAAGAGAGAGGGATAGAGGAAGTCGCCGAAGAGAGTGACAAAGAGTTCGACCATCGCGGTGTTACGGCATCGAGGAGGGATCCCGGCGTAAGCAAAAACGAAAACATCGGGGCATTCCCCGGGCGAGGATCGACGCGAGTGTTCCCAAGAGGGAGCGAGAAAGAAGAAGGAAGGCAACGACAAAGGGTCCACTGTCCGGTTCCACGTTTCGCGTTCCTCCGCCTTCGGCCTCGTGGCCTCGAGCCGCACCTGCGTGCCCGCCGTGAGCGCGAGAGAGACAGTCTCGACTCAGCCGCCGCGGTGGGAGGTAGATCGAGAGAGGGGGGAGCCTCGTCGAAAACAATACAAAGAAACTGCGCGTGCGCGCGGACGCAGCCACTAGAGCCGCGGGCGCTGCCGGCTCATTCAAGCCGACTCAGCCGCCGGAGTCGCGCGCGTCCCAGGTTGCGATTGGTCGAGACAGGGAGACCCGCATCCGCTCCAGGGGAAAATTAGGGTTGGGATTGGCCGATGCGGGCAGACGGGCGCCACGCCATTGGGTGACTCACTCGGCGCCCCCTACCCTCCGCGCGACACACGGCGAGCGCCCTCTCGCGCGTGGGTGTATAAATACGCGCGAGGCGTGCGCGCCGTCGAGGAAAACAGAACAACGTGAGCAGTGGGCCGCGCGCGGCAGAGAGACGCGGAGGTACGAAGAGAGAGAGAAAGAGAGAGAAAGCCCATCGAGCGGCCGCCGTGCAGGGAAGGAAAGAGGAGGAGGGTCCGGCGAATAGGTTAGGTGGCCGAGTCCTTTCCTTTGTCTCTGGGTCCTTTGTGTCGGCGTCGTCGTCCCCAGGGCGGCCTTCCGGCCGGGTCCAGGAGCTGCCCGCTTGATGAGCGACGCGATGCCGAGCGCCGCGGAGCGTCGCGCGTACCTCGAGGCGGTGCCCAAGACCGAGCGGAACTCCTACGAGAGAGAGGTCGAGCTGATGGTGGCGCAGGTCACGGAGAAGCTGCGGCTGAAGGCCAAATCTTCGGCCTCGCAACAGAGCCGGCCGAGTCCGTACCAGAGGCTGGGGGCTTCCAAGGTCCCGACGTCCAGCGAAAAGAGGATGTGCCGGCTCATCTACGCCCCGGAACCGGAGCGCCACCGCGCCGAGCACCGGAGGAAGGGCCGCGTCGAGGAAGAGGACGACCCCTACGAGGTGCTCCGCGAGCTGCTGCGGAAGGGCGCCCTCATCAAGGAGGCCGCCATGAGAGTGCTCAACGACTTCGACGAGGAGCAAGAGGATTCGGAGGGGGAGGTCAGGATCGACCTGACTCCGGTCTACCGGAGGAAGCGGAACTTCAACGAGCCCGAGGAGGAGCCGCTGACCTCGGTGTTCCAGACCCTCAAGCTGTGAGACCGGCCGCCGGGGGAGCCTCCCTCGGGACGTCGACGGACTCCTCGGAACCCTGCTCAGGGCCCCTAGGCGAGGTCAAGCTCTCGAGGTCGCCGTCGGCGAGCGCACCCGATTGGAGCGAAGAGGGACACCTTCTCGAAGCATCGACGGGAGCGAGCGGAAGAGACCCTAGCCGACCGTTCCACCTGACGCGAGGGACACACCTGACGATGTCAGCGAGGAGGCCCTCTGCACCTGCCGGCGAGGTCGTCCTCGCGGCCACGCGCTCCCTCGGAGTGACCGATCGTCACGGGAGCGATCCATTAAGACGTACGTACGTTCGTGTACATCGTACTGGACTGCTGAAAACGAGTTACATCTCGCGTGGATACGTCACCGCCCTAAGTACTACTACTAGTACTCGGTCCTGGTGCAAGGACGCGCACGTGATACGCGTCCAAGGCGGACCGTGAACCAGTTGCGCCGCGGAGTCGTCGAGTCGCTGATGAAATTCCGTCTAGCGAGGGTTACGCTGCCGATCGGTGACGCATCTCGTCGCGGACCGGTTACGAGAGGGGCTGACGAAATTCCGACGAAGTGCACGTATCCTCGCGCGCGGGCGCGCCGCCACGCGGCGGCCGGCGTAATCGGGCAGGAACTCTCCCCGTACATGGCGGTGTTTGTAAATACGGGCCGTGTTGTTATTGGATTCGGCGGCGGCCGCCGTGCCTCGCCTCGGCTCGGCTCGGCTCGGCTCGACTCGGCCGTTCTCGGGTCCCCTCGGCTCCGCTATCGACGATTGGCCCGGCTTACGTGGAAGAGTAATGGCCGCCGAGCCGCGCGGGAGAGTCGACCGACGAGATGCCAGCTGCCGGCCCAGATGTGTATGCGCGTGCGTGTGTAGATGACGCACACTGTCGCGCCGTTTGCTTACATACCTACTTGCTCGTCATGTGCGCAAGGAGAGCTCCGTGTACACCCTACTCCTCGTCGTCGTGACGACTACAGATACGCCGTGGATGCGGGAGGGGATCTCTGTCTCGCGACAATGCGCGACCCCCGAGAAGGGGGGTATGGGAAGACGAGAGGCGGATCTTCCCTCGGTGATATCTAGATATCGAATTGTATAACTCTTGGAGGGCCCATTTCCCGTGCACCGGCTGTGCCGTGCGTGTATTCGGCGCGGATTATCGAATCCTTAGGGAATGGGTGTGAATATCCGAGTGAAGAGAAATTGACTTTATTTTTCGTTAGGTTTTTCAGGTCCTTGCGGGTCGTCGCGTGACCCCCCCCGTCTCCGGACTGGGAAGGAAAACAAACATGGCGGCGCCGCGCTTATTCCGGCTTATCGCTCGGTCTCTTATATCCCCCCTCTCCGTGCCCCGCTACTTGTGTTTATTTAACGATGCACAAATACCTGATCGCGCTTCTTGAGACGTATATATCTAGGTTATCCTCTGTCGGAGAGGTTATGTCCGGTTTCTTCTTTTTTTTTTTTCTGGCTTTCCACTTTATTTCTAATCTAAGGAGAGCTTGCTGGAGAGGGGTCGAGACTCTGCCGAAATCTGGACGCGGGTTTGGGAATTTCCGCGATGGTTACGCGAGAACCGCTCATGGAAGATCGATTACGTAAAGCGTGTACGCGCGCGCCGGGCTCCGGTCGCACGGTTACCCCCTCCCCGTGGCTAGACCGGGTAAACACGAAATATCAATAGAGAGCGCGCGCGCGATTAGTGGCCCGGAGCGAGGAGGACAGCGCTACGCGCCGTGAGAGGGGGCGAGAGAGACGGAGCGAGCCCCCGGACAACGGCGGCTTATCCTCCTGGCCCGGACATGCTGGCGCATTCTTCGCGAACGATCCTCGATCGATCGTCGATATTGCGCGTCGTGTACATCATCGTCTCCTACATGCGAAACTTCCCTCGTGCGTGCACCTTGCTTGATTTTCCCTACTGAGACATGAACCACCAAAGTATGGAAATTAGAGGTTAGCGATGCATCGAAATGAGAAAAGAGTATCGATGCGACATCGACTTGGAGGGAAATCGAGAGGCGCAGGAGGGACTTTTCACTGTGTAGGGTAGAATTTATCGGCGATGAGGAACGAGGGACAGACCCAAGGAGGACGGAACAAAGCTCGGAGTATATTAGAAATTAGGTTGTTCCCGGTGGGAGGTTAGGAAAAAGGGGGAGAAAATGATACGAAATAATGCGCGTTATGACTGTATAAAGTGACGAGGCGCGGATTCTACTAGAGGCGAGCGGGGAGACAGGGCCTGTACGATGATTAAATAGCTTTACATTTTCGCTGTGCATGTTTTAGTGCATAGTTATTTATGGATAATAATCGCTAAGAATACGTTGGTGTAATGACGTTGTAAGCGCCTGCAATTCGTATATTCGTGAGGAACTCGTCGCCCGTGGTTTGTCGGCCTTTAAGAAGGTGACCTTGCCACGAAGCTAACTCCCTGGAAAAGACGCGCGACCCTAAGTTATGATCTTTCCCGACAGACGCGAGAGATGATTTATTTACCCATCGCGCTAAAACGCGATTTCTTACACTACGTAAAAAAAAAGAAAAAGAAAAAAAACGAAGCCCTTTTTTCCCTAAAGTGGCGGAAAGGACGAGAAACGGGTGACGAGTTGTTTACGACGCGCGGCGCGGGAGGAAGTAATCGACGCGTCGGTTAGAAAGAGAAAAGAGTGATTCATTTTCGGCACGTCGCACCGCGGGGGCTGGAGAAATTGCGGGAGAGAGAGAGAAAGGGGGACAGCGCGTCGTGGCGTCACTCGGAGAAACAGCGGCTGCGACAGATCGATATTTATAAAGGCGGTGAATTTTTAGCTGCCCCCTTCTCGCCCTTGCGGTGTGCTCGTGGTGTCATAAAAACACGTCCTACATAGTGTATAGTTTAAAAAAGCAAGTATTTGCGTACCTATTCCGAGCGCGAGGGAGAGAGAAGAGTCTCGCGAGTAGCACTACAGAGAGCGAGCGTGTGATAACGATATAACGCGAGGCGACTACCTGAGGGGACGCCGGGCGGCCGCGTTCGATTTCCGTTGGACCGGCCAATGGCGCGGCCGCTACATCGGAAGCGACACCGGTCACCGCGGGAATCCAACATGGCGGCCCGACGTCGCCGGCCGAATGCGCGACTCGAAGTCAGTCCTTATGTTTTTCTATGAGGCAGGATGTCCTTTTTTTTTTCTAGTTAGTCGTTAAAGCAAGACTCAAGGAAATTACAAAGTATATCTCGTTGTGATCGCCGGGTCCACCGGCTAATCCGATTTAAAATAAATGGAAACGAAGGTTTCGAGAATCGAGGCGAGGATTCTTTGCGGATCCTCCTTCCGCCCCCTCCCCCCTCTACATCCTCACCCCACTTCCCTTATCGAAATGCCGATTAGACAAACTCAAGCGTTTAGAGGCTGGCATTCGAACTATGTAAGAGGTTGGATGACGGAAACGTTGTTAGTCACTTTATTCGCTTGAGCAGGCTGGAACGTGCTTCCAACAGGCTCAAGCTTGTTTCGTTCGGGCTCGGACTTGCCCAATGGAGGCGGAGACTCGTTGCGACGCGAACCGCTCTCTTATGTACACATGTGTACATTTTAGGGAATTACAATACTAGTAGATGGGAATTGAAGGGAGGAGCACGAGGCATGGGTATCGTACTCCTTCGCGCGTTGAATCATGCGTTATATTTGAGCGCGACTTCTCTCTTTTATTTGCCATGACGTACAACTCGGGAGAGACTACTTTACGACTCTGCGGCCGGTTACTTTTTGACTTCTGACTAGCGATTAGTCATCGCTCCACTTCGCTCGGCGTTGCGCATGTAACTTGGTCGAGCAGAAGTTCCGTTTATTCGGGCATAAGTGAATCCTTTTGGAAGAATCTTGACGAGGTAAGGATGCTCCTTCTTTTAGGGGGAGAAAAATGATCGCCGGCGTAGAAAGGTTAGACCAGATGGAAGGCGATCGAAGCGGCGGGAGAGGGAACAATAGGCACTCCGTTAATATAACGCCCAACGATGGAACTCCGTGGCGGCGTTAACGGCGAGGTTATTAACCTTGGAGAATTCTACGTTGCCGGACGTTCGCCGGTGTCCCCGTTCTTCGGCGCGGGACAATGCGCAACGCGAATCCCTGGAATTCCCCTCCGAGTTCTATTTCGCGAGTTTCCTCATAGTCGGCATCGCGATCTTGCCTTCTGCGAAATATAATCTTCCCTTCCGTTAATTCCCGGTAATTGACGCGCCTAGTCCGGCTCGAACGCTGCGTCGGATCAATTTGCACGGCGTAGAGGTGGATTCGTGTTCGCATCGTGAACGCCGGATGTAAAGACCCTTCACACTGAACCACGAAGAGAGCGGAAATGAAGGAGAAAAGAAAGAGGGCCATTTTATCCCTCTTTCTATTTCCTTTTTTTACGGGAAACGGTTGCGCGGCGCAATATGGCGGCTGCTTATCTAACGCCGAGAGAGAGGGAAAGGATAGCTCCTCTTCTCGCCCTCTTTCCTTTTCTATGCCTTCGCGAGAACATCGAGGCAGTGGTTAGGGTTGCCAGTCCATAGATCTGGGAAGAAAGGAATTCCATGTAACGCTGCGCAGGTGACGGTCAACCCGTAAGGGGGAGGCGTGGCGGCCATCTTTCTTTTCTAGCGGCATTCTTCATATTGGAAACGTAATTTACTGGTTCTCTACGATTCTCTACGGTAAACTACTTGGTTCATATAATACACGTGAGAAACCTCGAAAAACGCGAAATTAGCCAATCATGCCTGCTCTTAAGTCTCCTGGAATGTAACCTTACGCTCTATCTTTGTTCCTAGATCCGCGGCGAGGTTTGTATAACCTACGTTCGTGCCACGTCACTGGGAAGAGGGGAGGAGAAAGAGGTAGAGCGATCGTTCGAGAAGGTGCAACCTTCCCGAGGTGACTAATCGCGCTTATCGCCGCGGCTCGGGGTGTACGGTTAATCGCGCATCCGCGTGCACTTAGTCGAGCCGAACGGAGAGCGAGTCGAGTCCGCTCTACTGCAGCGCGTAAACAATGACGAAGTCAAGACTCGAACTAGTCGAGGTCAAGCTCCATTGAGCGCCGAGGAAAAACAATTTCGTTTTCCCAAGGTACTCGCTTGTCGGCCCGAGCGACGTCGCATGAATTCCAAATGTGCAAAAGGAATAATCGACGAGGCTCGTGAAATATTTCTTGTTTACTTTTAAGACATATCTCGTTTTAAATGTAATATACTATATGTGTTTAGCAAGATTCATTACTGCTATTCGCTCAATTATTACGTTCTGAGTATATTTTCGTAAGATTCCACTTTGCATACAACACCCAATGCACGTATTCGGTGAAAGGAACTGATTTCATTGTTTTTGCGCGATTAGTCGCCACTGTATGGATGTGACTTTGCAAAACAGACATTTCGAATAGGATGTATTTGGAGCAAAATTTTTTTTTACACTGATGATGTCTCTGTGGTGATCGAAAATAAGCCGTTCGTACGTCTTGCGCACGCGGCCGGCAAAAGGGAACGCCCATCGACTGCCCCGGAAAAGGAAAGGGTGGAAAGTGGAGGAGTCACTCGTTTCCGGCGAATGGACTCGCCACTTTGCGACTCTAAGGCGAGTTTCGCGGCAGGTGGCTCGCTTTTTTTATTTTTTTTCTTCACCCGTGGTCCGGGAAACGCGCTACCCAATTATCGGGAATAAATCGATGCTTTTGCCGCGCGCCGGGAAAACAGGGCGCGGGCTAATTGCACGGGCGCTGCGAGTGCGCATGCGCCGGCCGCACGTGGGCATCTCTCTCTCTCACTGGACTCGTAACGTGGATTCAACGATCTGGGGTTCGCCGGAACACGTGGTCTTCTGGAAAGTTCCGGCAATGATGGATAGGGCGACGACGTCGGGAATAGACGGCCTTGCTTCGGAGTTACTTTAGACACTCTGCGTGGCGCCCCAAACTTTCCAACTTTCCTGCGGCGTTGTGCGAAAGCGCGAGTGCCGCGAACGGAATTGATTACGGGAACGGAGTCGGGAAATGGAGCGATCGGAAATGGCGAAAAAATTAAGGAACAGGAGGCGCGTCAACGCTCTTAAGGTGATATGAAAGGGTGACATGTTGAAACGCCAAAATATTTGTGAAATTTTTCTCCAAACTGGGTGTACCGAATAATTTAAAACTCCAACATGTGATTACGAAGGTCTTGGTACTCGCGAAATTTCATGTTTTGACAAAAGAAGTATATCTTTTTAGTTCTTGTTCGGGCTTGATACCAGATCTTTTTTTTTTCTTCGAAGAATGAAATTCCGCGAGTTTCAAGACTTTTATTAGGATCTTTATAATCACGGGTTAAAGTCTGCGTGTGCACCCTTATTTGAAAAATCGTTACCGCGTTCTTGGACGGTTATTCTTATTTTATCCGGTTGCAGGTCGCTCGATATTCATAAACGCTGGTCGGTGGATCGATGCCTCGTGTGACGAAGGGATCGTGGGAGTACTCCTTTCAACATGTACAAAGTAACGGCATCAAGTGACCCAGATAATGCACAAAGGGGAATGATTTCTTTCGAGGTGGTCTTTGTGGCAAATGGTGTCCTTTGAGGCCCCCCGTTGTCGCAGCTAATGAAAACGCGAAAAAAAGAAATCCTTTTCTTTCTTTATTAACCCTAGATCACTATAACCACTCGTGAAAGTGACGAACGAAACAATTGAATCGTAACGTTACTTATATCGCTTTGTGATCTTAGATTAACCTCTTGCGCTGGAAATGCCGCGCATGACAAATGTGTCCAAATCAATTTACAATGCGTTGGGGCTTGAAATCGTTTGACATTATGCGTTGACAACTTTTAGTTAATCTTTCGAGCAAACCCAGACGACGTGCGTGCACTGTAAAAAGATACCTTGAAAATTATTGAACATAAGTATAACGCGAACTTAAAAAATTATACGTGTAGTTAGGAGTTCACAACAAGTGTGTACTAAGATCCTTTTATGAGTTTATGATTTCACTACAACGTTCTGTAGTGAAAATGAATTTTATGACTATCTTCAACAGTATCTCTCCAGTTCTTGATGGGAATAAACGTCGGCGTGTGCAGTTCGTCATTCCAGTACAAAAGGTTAATAAGCTTTTAGTCGTGCGAGGTAATCCATTGCGGTTGAATTCTCGAGTCAGGGCGTTTCGGGTTTCTCCCAGTCGATGTCATGTAAATTTCGAAACGAGCGACGGGTCTTCCGAAATTAATGCTTTGTGAAGAAGGGGCTGCACGTGCCACTGCCAATGACCCCGCGAATGTTGGCCTGGAAGAAAGTCATTCGCGTAACTGTACTCGAATAGTCAAAGTTGCGGCGCTTGGTAACCATAATCTTTCATGCCCCGAAGGATGTTAAAGTCGTAAACGTAAAATCGGGAAAGGGACGGATAAAAGAATCCGCGATTGCCAGAATTAATCTTTCGTGTTCCTCGACACCCGGATCTGCGAAAGCTCCATCTCGCGATTAACGTCGCCATATTCATGCATCACGTCGCGGTACCGAGGTAAAGAAGAATACATATTTACATCGTATGAAAGGTATTACAATGTCCACGGAGCGTAAACATCCTCGGTTGACCTTTTGTATGCCTCAGAAATTCATATCCTCATATTCATTTTTCTTTAGCGGCGTTATCGTCATGCGTATGCGTCATACTTTATGTTGCCAGAAAATTATTATCATCCAATACGCACGTAATACGAAGATGCAATTAACCGGGACAAGATATCGCATCAATGGAATAATTGAGAGTGGATGCGAGTATCGTAATAGAAATATTTAAACACGCATCTCATGGTTAGTGTTAGTGCAAATATTCGCATCTTATATTTCATTTTGATTGGGTACGAGGTTCAGGATTTGGAATCGCCTATTTTGGGTCGGTCGGTGATCCATGATCGACGCTAATCGCTGATCAGTGCTCACGTAGATGGTCTTGCGAGCGTTAAATCTCTGCGGCAAGTAAACAACGATCTAGCAAAAGACACCGTCCTTGTCCGCGGATTGACACAGATCTCGGTCACGCGATAGCTAAGGCTTCGGCCCACTTCTTCTTGGACGTAGCGAACACATCGTTGCCAAACATTGCGCGAATCGACGACCTCACGGCCTACCACGCGTGCCGCGGCTCCAGCGGAATGTTCGAGAGTCGCCGCGCGCTGATTGGCTGGCGCGGTCACGTGCCACTCGTCGCGCGAAACCGCTGCGGGTTTGAACCGCGCAAACCCCCTCTTGACATCTCGATGAACCTGTACCATAAATGAACGTTCCAAAATAGATGAAGTTTAATCGAGGGTAGAGTTATCGATATCTGATTAAGTTATCCGATTGTATCGTGGTATTTCTCGTTAATCAAGAGCAGCTCCTCCACTGTACGCGTCTTATGGGCCGTCTATGCGGAAAACCCGCTAAGCGAGAGAGATAAGATTTTAATGATTATTTGCGATGCTCTATATAGAACGTGATTTGTGTTCCTTGCTTTGTAACATGATTTAAGTGCTTTTTGCCAACTTTATATGTAATACACATTTTTTTTTTGTATAAGAGATGCACAGTATTCCTGTACTCGGCGAAGTATTTTGCACGCATGTTTTTTTATGGTTTCGATAATGACAAGTGATAAGATACGAGAGTTCCGATCGCTTCGTGTCCGTTGTTCAACAAGTCATTCCGCAGCGCGATCTCGGAGGCGGTATTTCGTCTTTCGTAATCTCTCGGTATTTTCGATTGTTTCGAGTAGTTCACGCACGTTCTTTCTTTTCGAAGTATCGAATTTTCCGTGCCTACGTTCCCCCGTTCCAGGGTAGCGGTCCGGTCACGTGGGGTGCGCCGCCATATTGCTTGCAGCGCTACTGCGACCAGCTAGGCGTATCCAAGATGGCGACGAACCAGCCTCTTGACGCGTACGTATTTCACGTATTTTCGCCGTTGTTAGTCAAAGAAACGGTAACTGCGTCCTCGTACGTGTTTCGTTTCGTGGCCAAAAGTTGGGTCGAGAGGAGTAATCGATTGGGACGCCGCGTGTGACTTTCAGCCGACTGCTGCGAATATCGTAACGGCTCGGCTCGCCCATTTTCGGACCGGAGCCGTGACGGCTCGCGCGAGGTCCCTCGGTCACCTGTCAAAATGTCTCAATTATCGATATTGCATCCTATATCCTCGGGATTGCAAGCACGCGAAATGTCTCCGAGGTTTTTGCCTGCGATCTTACAAACGTTTGCTTAAAAATTCTCAAAATTCGCCGACGTGCGAATTTTATCTTCTCTCAGAGGCCGGTCACGTCACCCAGATTTGTTTTTCTGCGCAGAGGTCCTATTCACACATGCATAGGTGAAGCCCGTTATATGTATACATCTCTACGTAGAACCTCGGACTTCACGTATGCACGCATAAATCGCACAGCTTTTGCTTCTGTGCAGCCGCACATCGCGCATGCGTGGCCACCGTTACACCGGCATCGCACGCGGGTTTTTAATCGGGATCAAAGTGTGACGGGTCATCGAGGAGTTTTACATTCATCGAGACGTGATTAAATCCCCGAGCAGGACTCGCGGCTATTATAAAACGAGCGCACATTAACTTCTTTTCTTTTTTCTCCCTCTTTTCCAGACTATTTATGGCAGATACGCGGATCGTGTACGCGCGCCGACACTCCGATTTGCACAAGTCGTGCAATCACGGGCTCGTTACGTAATGGAATAACGGTGACTTACAACGCGTCACGTGCGCACGATACAACCGTTACATCGAACGCGGATTGCCCGGATAAGTCCGTGACGATTCAACCGCGTGAAAATAAACGAGCGCGAATAAATATTGAGGGATAAATCGGGCCCGATTATCCCGCGATTCGCGATACGTGTCAAGGGAACCTCAGGGCTATGTCGCAACGCGAGACGTTTCCTCTCGTCCCCTCTCTCTCCCTCTCTGCCACCCTCGGCTCGCGCCGTCTTTCTCTTCCGCGTCTTTTCTCATCTCAGGGTTTTTTCCTCTCGGTCGGCGCCGCGGGCAACGCTCGCGAGGACTCAACAGAGAATTGGAGAGAATGACGATTTGCGTAATCGTCGCGAAATGTTCGTTTCATTGGGCGAACCGGTGCTCTCGGCCGGTGGCTTTCTCCGGCCGGATTTTGAGGTTAGGAGCGCCGACTCGTCTGACGTCATCGCCGATGGAGCCCGATACGAGGGACTTGTTTCGAAGCACGGCCGGAAAAGAAACCGCACCGGTTGCGACGGAAACGCAGACGTTGAGCGTTTGCGATTGCGTAATCTCCGAGGTACAGGGGGTTCCGCTTTGTAGGCCTTCCGAGATACCACGCGTAACAGTGGCAACGAATAACAGAACTGACGGATCAAATGCAGAGGATTTAAAATCCCGGCCTGTAGTCGGGAATTATTGCGACGATTTATCGTTACTTGGGCTCCTGCTTTTATATGTCCTAGTATCCTTGTCCCCCGAGAGGGTTTACGCCATCTATTCGTGTCATTTCCCGACGCGTTACGCGATTAACGGGGAAAGGAGAGAAGTTACTCCGGCTTGCGGGAGAACGCGTCTCGTCCGCCATCTTGGTTTTGCCGAGCCCCGAATCGAGCTTCGATCCGCGACTAATATTCGACGCAGCGAATGCCCGGGGAGCGGAAAAAGCTCCAATTATCTCGATGGCTACTCGGGCAAAATCGGGCGTGGGTACCCTCGAATTTTTTTTTGCACCCGAGAGGCGTCGACTCGAGAAGTGGCCCCGCTCGAGAGGAATATCGGGGTTAACGACACGATGTACCCATAATGCATCCTTTTCCGACCCCCGGGCCGAATTCGAGAGAGGACGCTCATTAATTCGGTTTGGGCCGCGAGGGGAAAAAGGAGGAAACCGGAAGCGAAGAAAGAGGCGGACGGTTCGACTACGCGCCGAAGAACGTGCCGAAGAGTGAACGGCCTCTCTTGGCCTGACTTCTGCCGTTCCTTGACTGGAGCTGTCGAACTGAGCGCGTCGAGGAGGAAAAAATGTCGGCATGAAAAATCGTAACAAATTTCGGTTTTAATGGTTTCCTTTATCTCTAGTTTTATATATTCACCGTGGATGAAGATTTTTACCTCTTTTCCATTATTTTCTCTGCTATAATTAGACGAATAATAGTCAGCTAGTATGGGGTACATGTGTCCCTTACAAAGATGTATGTTAAATGAAAAGCGATCAGAACTGCGCTTGACCCTTTTATTCTTTTGAGGTATTATGAAATGAAAAAAAATCGATATATATCTCGAAACATCAAAATATTTATACAATTTTTTTCCAAATTGGGTGCACCGAATTATTGAGGCTCTAGGGAAGATCTCGATGCTCATGAAAATTCATTTTGTTAAGAAAAATATTTCTTACTTATCCCAGACTAGAACCTAGGCCACATATTTTTTGGTGAAAAATGAAATTTCACAAGTGTCGCGTTCTTCCTTAGGTCCTCCATAAACACACGCTGATGTTTTAATTGATTCGGTGCACCCGGTTTGGAGAAAAGTATCGTAAATATTTTCACGTTTCGATACACGTGACCCTTTGATAACATCTTAACACCTTACGTCACCCGCCGCAGTTTTGGTCGATTTTTTCATCCTCGACGCGTTGATACGCCACGCTCTGTATGACACCCGACGCGCTCGGCGGTTCCCGGTCTGTCTTCGCGAGGGAATTTCGAGGCAGCAGTTTCTCGCTAACCCTTTTTAGGGATGGATTATCACGTTCGTCGCCTAACACGGCCCTTATGGCACTCGCTCGCCAAAGAGTCGCGATTCTCTCGCGAGTTTCGGGATTTTTGCGACCGACCGAGCGGCGACCTTACGTGCCATCCGGGACGTTTTCTGAGCAGGTGAGGACCGCCGCTTATTTTCAGAGCTCATTCCACTCGGGCTGCGGCCGAGTCGACTCGAGAACCGTGTCGGTCGACTTCAATGACCCGACTTAAATATAGACGGAACGTCAGAACGGGAAAAGTCCGCCCAGACGTTTCATCCTGGCCAGCGCCTGGGCCAGAGTCTAGAATCCGCGTTTTGGTCGAATTTCACCAACCGAGGTCCCTTTATAAGGACGCTCGCGTAAAAGTTACAACACCTCGAGAACTCGCGATCCGTGACATTTAATCCCTCATGATAATGCCGGATGCTCTTATGACGAATGTCAAATGCCCGTGGCATTTAATAAACGTGGACGCGCGTTAATGCGATTGCCGTGTCTCGCGGAAACAATGTCCCCCCTGAGATTCTTGAGTCATGCGACGACGCGGCTCTATGTTTCAGCAGTACTGAGAGATTCTGCATTTTTTGTTTTCAGGAGCCCGATGGAGTCGAGGTTCGAGAGAGGCGAGCACTGCCTTAAGGTGATAGGAAAGGGTCATCCCTAATATATATGGAAACGCCCAAAATATTGATAACCCTTTCTTCTACAAACTGGGTGCACCGAATTATTTCGAACTTTAACCCGTGATCATGGAGGTCTTAATGAAGGTCTTGAAACTCATGAAATTTCATTTTTTGCCTCTTGTCCGGGATGAGTGAACGATGTTTTCTTTTTGCCGATAAATGAAATTTTGCGAGGGTTCGAGGCATTCATTGAGACCTTCCTAATCACGGGTTAACGTTTCATGTTATTCGGTGCACTCGGGTTGGAGGAAAGTTTTATAAATATTTTGAATTTTTCGGATGTATATGTGACACTTTTGTAATGCCTAAGGTACCCATGTCCCTTTTTCGGGAGAACCGGCAGCGGCTGATAGAACGACTCAAGAAAATCCAGGCCGTTCCGCAACGTGGGGCTTATGTCGTCCTCAAGGGCGGAGTGGACGTCCCCTTCAACGACACCGACATCAACCTGCCCTTTAGACAAGTGGGTAGAACGTGGAGGAAGAGGGGGAGAGTTATTATTATATTATATTTAGCAGGATAATAACGGGTTGAGTCATAAATTCTTGGAATTTTCCGCTAACCCTCTATAACGCTGAATGGTTACGTCAACCGTGATTAGCCCGAAGTTTCTTAACCATCATGAATTAATATAATCCGTGTTGCACCGACGAAAATTGACCTCACCAAGGATTAAAACCCATTGTTTGGCGGCCACCTGAAGTCTAATAATTAACTCTAATCACGCGTTAAGTAATCCTTCATCAAGGATTTTCCTTCAAATGTCGGTGCAACCGTTGAGTCATTCGTATCTCGGCACTTTTTAAGTCTTATTTCAATCCTCCGGCGAAATTTAAACTAGCGTCATGTCGTACCACTCCTTTGCAACCTTTGAATTTGTTTGTAAAATGTAGGTTTATGAATAATTATATTCATAGAAATTAATATGAATTGTACATTTGGAAATTCATGTTGGAATTGATGTTGGTAGGTGCAGGTTTCAGGGCGACAGGTTTTTTCTTGGCTTGAGGGAAGAAATTGGTTTTATAGAGGGTTGGGAAAGAACTCCTCTATTATTCTGGGATATTTTAATATGAAGGGCGGGGAGTGAAACTCGATCGAGACGCCCCTCTCGGGCTTCGTGCGTGGCTCGGGGGACACGCGTCCCCCAGTGCCGCCGCGTAGTCTAGGGAGTTCAAGGTCAATGCCAAGAGCGGATGCAGCGTCCACGTGCGCGGTCCTTTCCCCTGGAGCGGAGGGAGCGGACCAATTAAAACCGCCGCCGGACCGGTCGATCGGCCCCTTCGAAAACTTCGGCTTTGTTCCGCGCCTGGTCCGGAAACTCGCTCCTCCCGTCCAAAAGGAGGACTCCGAGCTCGTTCGCGATTTAAAGAGGAAAGTGAAAACAAAAAATGCGACAGTCCGGCAGGTCCCATTTTGGCATTACTCGAAGAGGACTTCCAGAGAGAAATTTCTACGAGACTGTGACGGTATTAATTATCCGTCATTAAATCACCCAGCATTAATCCGTCGTCCCATTAAGATAGAATTAAATATTTTTTCCAAATGTCACGGTATGTTCCGTTTTGCATAAAATGTGCGATAAAGTTTCGGTTGTTTTTTTTTTCTTCTTTAATGAGAGTTTTCCTTTCCCTTCAGGAGTCTTATTTTCAATGGTGTTTCGGGGTCGAGGAGCCCGGTTGCTACGGGGCCCTGGATTTGACGACCGGCTCCTCCATCCTGTTCTTCCCGGAGTTTCCGGCGGAGTATGCCACCTGGATGGGCGAGCTGGGCACCTTGAAAGACCTGAAGAAAAGGTACGCCGTAGACGAGACCTACTATACCGGCAAGATCTCCAAGTACTTCGAAGCGCGGGACCCGGCCGTTCTCCTCACTTTGGTAAGACCCGAAGTACATACAATGAGTTACTCTTGCGCCAGTCGTTCCCGTTCCGAAATGCACTTTATCCGACTGTGCGATTGCATCTTAGAGCAAGTAATTATGATTTAACCGGCACGCTGGCTCCCCGCTCGTGAAAGCGACAATCCTGGACGACGTAAGAGGGACTCGGAACGATTAATTGCCTCGGATTGTTGCGAAGCTGCATGCGCGACCGGCAACTCGATCGGAGAAAGCGTTTCTCTCCGAGACAAAGAGCACCGAGTTACGAGATCTCCCGCATACCGCGTATTATTAGCAATTCACTCCGGAAAACTGTACTTCCTGTAATATTTCTTCCTTTTTATAGGAGGAAACGAAGCATCGGAGTGCGGATCAAGCAGGGAAGATTATTGCAAACGGGGTTACATTTCGTGCGTACGGAGGTCCGAGTAAAACGCTTCTGGCTAATTGACTCGTACTGGGTAAAATTTATGTCAAGGGCGTAACGATCAGGCATTCCCTGGGTATAGTCGAGGGCCGATTAGATCGGACTCGGGACTAAATGATATCCAGTACTCGGCCTGAAATTATCATTGGACGATTCCGACAGCGCTCGCCTCTGTTCGACCCCTCCGCGTCAATTTACTCGTCTCTTGAGTCTTTCATTGCTAAATGCGAAACCGCCGGCCCCGTGGACACGTTAATACGGCTTAAGGCCGTCTTACGTAGAGCACTTTGGCACTCGCCTCGCCAACGCAACTATTCTCTTCTCTCTCTCTCTTTTCTTTTTCTCCTGGAAGAAATTAAAATCGCAAACATAAAGCTCGAGACTGGACTCGTGGAAAGTTACGTGCGATGGCAGTGCAAATGCTGTGGCAACGATTCGCGTCGATTTTCACGAGGACTTTCTATCTCTCCCGGTTGTGCAAGTCAGCTTTTACCTTGCCGGAAAGGCGAGATCATAAGTGACCGGGTGTTGGGTAACCTCCTATAATCGTGACATAATTGTTAATAAGCATGTTCTCGTTTGTTTTGCAGAAGGGAACGAACTCCGACAGTGGCTTGACCGCGACGGAGGCGAATTTCGAAGGAATCGAACGGTACGTAACTCGTTTATATCGTTTCTATCCCGGCACGAAGGCGCTTGTCAGTTGTTAACATTTGGCTTAAATTCGTTCCCAGGTTCAACGTCAACAGTGACATCCTGTTTCCAGAAATAGCCGAGTGGTGAGCAATCGAAGCGCTTATCCTTTCCCTGGGAAGGTTTACTCTCTGCGATCGGACGTCGCCCGAGCGTTTGTTGTTCCTCACTTCTGAGTTAATTCGTGTGTAAACGCAGTTTCTCACGTGGATAAATTGACGCTTGAGAGGGCGATAACGAGATGCATGGAAATATCTGAATACCATGTCAGAAGACTGGGTAATCCTCGACGGCGCCTGCTGCCCCCTGTGGCGTAACTCGGAACCAGTTGGCGCGCACGTGGCGGATCAGCTGATAACGTCAGTTGATGATGGCAGCTGTTTTGAGTTAACTGTCAGCCGACATAAACACGGGCTCTGTCCGGTTCTCCTCGTCGCGACGTATTGGAATTCGCTAACAAATGAGAAATTCAAAGTGCGTTGACGAAAACATTAAATCATGTGGCGAGGGATAATTTCTCGACTCGGCGCTGGGTCGACATTTCTGATACGTGGTGAAAGATGTTTAGGGACAAAAGGAGAAGCTCTGGCAGAGCCTTTGCTGCAGACCAACGTCTTCGTCCAGGAGGGAACGGCGATCCAGGAGTTGCCGATGATCGTTAGACGAGCCCAGAATGTCCTTTTACCAGGAGACGACCCGGGGAAGTCTAAAATTCGACCTCTTCAACATGCGCCTCCCAACGATGGTAGGGATCTTCGCAGGCAGAAGAAACTCAAGTCGAAGCGCAGGAACAGGTCGAAGATGCCGAGGAATCTACCGATGCAGAGAATCGACATAGAGACCGACGAGGGCACCGCCATTTTGTTCGGCGCTGACCTGGGCTTTCTGAACGGAGCTGGAATCGAGGACATCCTGGAGAGTCTGGACTCCCGATCCACCATGAAAGGTGTTTACTCGTTGTTGGAGGTAATGGTCGCCGACGAGATCAATTGCAGAGTGGCCCTGCAAGCTTTAAGAAAGATCATGGAGCTGGAGAACGTCCAGCGATACGGCGACATTGGAAGCTCCTGGGACAAACCTCTGCAGGCCGACCTGGAGAATCGGAACGCGGTGATGAGGCAGCTCGTTGAGATGATCGCCAAGAGTGGAGACCGCGAGCTCCTTGTTGAATGTTTAGGGTTGCTGGTCAGAGATCGCATCGGTCCAGCTAGAAATGCGTACAGAGATCGTCTCTGCGACGAGGCGTCGATGCGAGCTGCGGCTGGAGAATTCACATTGCCGCAGCTGATTAGAATAATCAAGGTAATCTCCACGTTTAAGGACCCGCGGTATCAGAACACCATCGACACGATGTGGGTTGGAATCAAGCAAAGGGAACAGAGCATCGACGCACAGAATTTCGTACCGTTACTTCGCATCTTGCCTTGTTTCCAGCAAAGTCGAGAGATGGTCAAGATCCTTCTGGCGAAGAAGTTGCCTGGTCAGTTGGGGTGTTTGAATGGATCGCAAATGGCGGAGATCTTGAGCGCTTCGAGCGATCCCGCGCTTTCGGAGAAATTCTTCACCTGTGCCGGGAAATGGGCCTCGATGAGGTTGAACTCTTCCTCGGAAAGCGACTTAGCGAACTTCCTGGCCAGCCTGAAAACGAAGGATCGTTACGACCCGAAGGTGGAGGAGGCTCTAGAGAGGCTTGCAGCCAGTAAGATTAAGGACCTTAAGGATCCTACTTTGGTGGCAGCCATCATGAGCTACTGCGGGAATCTGCACCTGCGAAATCCGTGCATCTTGTGCAGCTGCGCCGAGTACTTTGCCAAGCGGGCGATGGATCTACCCTTATCGCTGATCGCTCCTATCTTCGCCCCGTTCGGGTTGCTGTACTTCAAACCTACCACAACTGAATTTTGGACTGCGTTCGAAAAGTGTTTGGCTGCTAAATTCTCCGATCTGACGGAGAAGGACGCTCTGGACATCCTACTGGGATGCGTTTATTTAGAAAAGTATCCCCTGAATCTGGCCAACAGGGCATTCGCTCCGTCCTTTCTTCAGCAACTCTACTCTCAGAAGAATTCCACTTTCGGCGCGAATTTGAAATACAAACTGGCGTTGCTCGACACCGCCATGACTCTGGAATGCGATCGCTTCAAGGGACCGATGCTCCCTCTTGATAAAAATTCTAAATCGGTCACGGTGGAGAGAAAATTGCAACGCAGTGTTGATTGGATACACGAACATCTTGCAAATATTGTCGGCGGCGAAGGGAAATTAAGCAAATCCGTTATTTTCGGGAGATTACCTATCTTAGACCTTTATACGGTGGACATCCTGATCCACCGATCTCCCGAAACGTCCTCGATCTTTTCCATAGATTTCAAGAACCAGAGAAACATGAATACTGCCGTGTTGGTGCACCTGCCACAGCATTATTGTCGGGGCTCCTCTCAGCTCATCGGGCCCCAAGTCATGAAGAAGAGGCACCTGAAGAAACTAGGTCTTCGGGTCATGACTCTGGATTTCCTCACCCTAACGAAACTCAAGGCACATCCCACTCGCCTGGCTGATTATTTGTCACGGAGATACAAGGCCGTGGAAAGTGCCCCTTAACGTCAATCGATCCGCCATATTTCACCAATAATCTTAAATGAAGAAAATCAAAATGTCAGGGAGAGAAATCGTCGCAACAATCGTTTGGTGAATGTCCACGTCCGGTCGCTTTCTTTTCCAGGTTATTTGGGTTCCGTTCATGCATGGAATAATTTCCTCGGCCGGATACATACTTTCTGCTTGTTGCATGTTGCAGCCGAGTTGTAAAGTCCCCAAAGGAAATAGAGGTGCTGCGATACGTCATCAAAGTCAGCTCGGATGCCCACAAGGCGGTGATGAGGACAGTTCGACCAGGCCTCGTCGAGTTCCAGGCAGAGGCTGCATTCTTGCACTACGTGTACTCCGTTGGTGGGTGCAGACACGTCTCCTACACGTGCGTATGCGGATCCGGCCACAATGCGTCTGTTTTACATTACGGCCATGCTGGGGCGCCGAACAATAAAGTCATCCGAGACCACGACATATGGTAAAACGTTTCTCAAGTTATTTTCGGTGCAATTCAAGGTGGGAAGAAAATATTTAACGAGTGCTGTCCTTACTTAGCCTCTTCGACATGGGCGCCAATTATTGCGGCTATGCCGCTGACATTACCTGCAGCTTCCCGGCGACTGGAAAGTTCACCGAGGATCAGAAATTCATTTACAACGCCGTGCTGGATGCGCGAAATGCTGTGATAAAAGCCGCGAAACCCGGCGTCACCTGGCCTGATATGCATATTTTGGCGAATAAGGTCCTTCTCCAGGCCCTGAAGAACGGCGGATTGTTGAAGGGAGAGGTAGAAGACATGCTGGAAGCGGACTTGGCCGCGATTTTTCAATACCATGGACTGGGTCACTTCTTGGGCTTGGACGTACACGACGTCGGAGGTTACCTTCCGGGACATCCTAAACGTTCCTCCAAACCAGGTCTGAAGAATTTGAGGACTGCTAGAGTTTTACAAGCCGGCATGGTCTTGACGGTCGAGCCGGGTTGTTACTTCATTAATGCGGTGAGGAATCGTAGTTGACTCACGTGAAGTGCTTCATTTAATAGTGTATGCTGTAAATAATTGAAATCATTTTTTTTAGCTGCTGGACGCAGCACTCCAGAATCCCGAGCAGTCGAAATTCATCGTAAGGGAGCGACTGGAAAACTTCCGTGGATGGGGAGGAGTAAGGATAGAAGACGATGTCCTCATCACTGAAAACGGAGTCGAGAACTTGACTTTCGTGCCGCGCACGTGAGTGTCTTTTCTCCCCATCCAAGGGTGGCGCAAAAATGCCGACGATATCATACACCGTTCACAATTGACGTTTCATTGCAGCGTGGAGGAGATCGAAGAGTGGATGGCCAAAGGAAGAGACAAGCTCGAGCTACCTCAGAAAAGGAAATTTTATCCGGATGACCTTTCTTGAGCGTTCGTCTCGATGTACTTGAGTGCCTCTCGATAAACAGGCATTTACCTATACACGTTATTTGGAACGAATGTGGTATATATTCATACATACATACAAACATACAACATACATACATACGTATAAACATATATTTTACTACGATATTATACATGCAAGGCAAAACAACTACCCCGTTTTTTTTTTCTCCCTTTCAGCCCAACTTTTGTTCCATTCCTCCGATTAATTTTCCGCCGACTATCGACTACTTATCACAGAGCTAAGACTCTGCCAAGTGTCGAGGAGCCCGAAGAAAGAGAACACGACCGCACTCAATTTTTAATCGCTAATAATCGGGCGCGAGTTAATAGCTCCGGTGTAATTAAAAACAGGCGGATTCGGCGGTCGATCGGCGATAAAAGAAGATATTTCAGTAGAGGCGAATCGCGGGCGCGATCGGCGGGAAAGCTAAGCCCGTTTATTATCGCTCGGCCCGCTTAGATGCTCACAGTCGCGCGGCAGTCGCGGACGAGGAAGGGTCGGGGAATGGCAGCTGCGCTTCGCCGCCGAGTCGATAAAGAAGTTTCGACCGCGCGACGCGCGTCTCGATATTGATTTTTCCACGATCCCACGGCACGAAATCGCGAGAGCGATCGGCGTATTATCTAGACCCGTTTTATTATCACTCGCTCGTCTCGAGTGCGCGGTCGCGCGTCCGCGGCGAGAGTGGCTAGATCGGTGGTTCCTCGGAAAGTCGGTAAAGAAGGAAACTTCGATCGCGATCTCGGTCGCCTCGAGCTCCCGTTCGGGACTTTTTCTCCTCCCATCGTGCCCAGAGAGCGTAACGAGTGTCGCACGTGCGCGCGGCGGAGCGATACCAGTCAAACGTGCCTCGAAGAATTTGACACGCGTTTATAAATATATGTATCGCCGCTCAAGAGTCACGACTCGCGACTAGAACGATCGCGGGCTCTAGTCTAGACGACCCGTTCGACGCGAGTCCTGCTTGCGTCTGCGTTAAGAAAAGAAAAGAAAAAAAAAGAAAACGAAGGAAAAAAGAAGGAAAAATAAAAACAAGCCAGCGCGTTTCCCATCGAGTTTGCGTCGCGATTTTGAATATCTTGGGTAAGTTCGTAGTTGATCTCAGGGAATATTCTAGAGCCTTCGGGGAGAAGTAGAAGTGGGAGCCGCGATCGACTCGGGAACTACGGATTGTACCTAACGCGGCTTAAGAGCCGAACAAATCGACTGTTTGATATCGATATAGACGTCGTTCGATCAACCTTGGGGAACGACGACTGTCCATTTGGCCCATCATGGGATCGTTCACCCTGAAGACGGTTGTCGATGGACGCGCAGGGCGTCCCTAGTAGTCGACGCCCGGCGCCGGGGGGAAAACCTTGCTCGAGGGGTGGAACGGCCATGGACGAAGGGGCCGAAAGGTCATAGCGAAAGGTTAACGGCTAAGGGGTAAAGTACGACGATATCAAACCGATTCAATACGAGTCATTTCGATCGAATGAAATTTCTCTTTCTTCGTCGGAGTCAGTCCTTCGGACCAGGTCCAATTTCCCGCGTGGGAGGGACAAGTGGACGCCATTTTGTGCATCACCCGAGCCCGACTTCTTGGTATAATTAGTAATTTTTAAGACCCTACGAGATGGGGCTTTAAGAAATTTAATCCAAGTCGGTAAAATGCAATTCTTTCTACTCATATATCGTAGAAAGAGGACGGTTTAACCCCTTCTTCGCGTTAACGCTGCTCAGAAATGTCGAATCTAAGAGCACTTACAGAACACGCGTTTTTCACGGGATAACTGAGAATTTAATTCCTCGTGTCTGTAAAACTCTGACGTTTGACCCCTTGTCATTATGGAGGCGGTCTGAAAGAAAGCGATGCTCCCGAAATTTCATATATCGATAAAGAAATTTTTTTTATTTACCCCAGATTAGACCCAAGGACACTTCTTTTTTTTTAATGAAATTTCATGAGCGTCGCGTTCTTTCTTACGGCCTTCAAATTCATGTTATGAAGTTACATACGATTCGGTGCACCCAGTATGGGGAAATATTCTGTAAACATTTTAATATGTTTAGAATTAGATATTAGATATTTAATTATATATAGAATATTTTTTTGATATATATAGAATGACCCTTTTATCACGGCTTAACCAGTCGAAGTCGGGCTCGATGAAAACGCAGGCTGTTTCTTTTTCCCTCTGGTAACCAACATGATACCGACTCTTTACCGACCTTTACCGACACTTTATCGACAATTTATCGACGTTTCCCGACTTTTTACCGACCCTTTATCGACGCTTTATCAACACCTTCTCCACATGTCAGCTGCGTATCGATGACGCGTGGGCAACGTGTTGCTAAAAGTCGAGTCGAGAGTCGCGACTCGAGCGAGTTGGGTCGCGCGAGTGTCTTAAACCGCGCCACGCCGTTATTCTCGCCAATCGGCCGATAAGACGGTGATAACGCCCCGACGTCTCCGACGCCCTGACCCGAGCGCAGGTCCCGCAGTCCTGCGACCGAGTCCTCGCAGAGGGGAGTCCTTGGATACGGAGGTGGCAACAATCCCGCGGGCAACGCCGTCGACGAGTGGATTCGGATCGATCGGGAGGGAGGCCGAGCGACGCCGAGCGCCGCGACGCCCTCTCCGGCGCCCCACCTGCGACCCGACGAGGAGGACTATTACGGCTCGCGGCGCCGAGGACGAGCACACGCCTCTGCTCGCGGGGCTCGCCACCCGGACGGGGACCCTGAAGAGACGAGGAAGGACTCGTTGGGTGCAGGAGAAATCCGAGACGAGGAGGCTGGATGGTGGAGGAGGAAGTGGGATCGAGAAGAGAGAATAAAGCGAGAAGAGTCGGTGGTGGGGAAGGAAGGATCCTTTTAAAAAGGACAGCGGAGAGGAAAATGAAGAGATAGTGGTCGAAGAGTCCTTTGGAGGACAGTGGAACGGAAAACGAAGGGACAGGGATCGAAGAGTCCTTTCCAGAAGGACAGTGGAGGGGAATTTGTGATACGCGGTTTTGGTTTCTTCGAGGGTGGGATCGCCAAAGGACGCCTGTCAGGAAGAACTTCGAGTGTAGCGGTGAATTTCTGAAGAGGAAGTGGGAGGAGATTTGGGTTTCACCAGTTGAGAGAAGTGGAAGAGGTTCAGGAAGGATTTCACGATATTCTGAATGCAAGGGAGGTGGAAGGATCTTATATCCGCTAGGCTCTTCAAGGATAGTTCGATGGATCGATAGCTCGATCTTCGAGGTGGTGAAGTCAAAAGGCGGGGGGAAAATCTCGTCTTGAGGGGTCTCAAAGGGCGCGGGGGGGCATGTGGATATTAGTTGAAGAAGAAGCGCATGGAATTACCTCGAAGAGGTCGACCAAGCATAGGAAAGTGAATACAGGGAGAGGAAGGGGTTGAATGGCGAAAACCAGGGAGAGGAAGGCAAGGAGACCCAGCGGAGGAAATTGCACCCTTAGAGAGGGGCCGAGGAAGGACAAAAGCGAAGTCGACTCGTGATGAAGACCGGACTCGTTTTCCGCCAATCTCCGGCCCAAATGTAACGAAGAGGGCCACGAGAGTAGAGGCTCCGGTAACCTTTAAGCGCCGCACAAAAGGAGCCATCCCGGATGAAGGGGGCATAAAGAAGCGCTCCGGAGGGAACCCAAGACAAGGTGTCGCTGAAAGGAGCGCTAAGGGCTTAAGCGGCCGAGAGCGACGAACCGAACCAGGCCGGCAGCCTGAAAGGAAGACTCCTTTGAAGGCGAAGATAGAGCGCGAGATGAACGGGAGATAAAAAAGGAGGACCATCCGCGAGGCTCGATCGGCCCTCGCCGAGGTGACAAAGGGGAGTCCCGGTCCTTTAATCCCGGTGAAAATGTGCCGAGGCTCGTTCCAGCACGTCAGAAAAAAAACAAATCGAGGACCCCCGAAGTGGATTCTCGCGTAGCCGGGTCAGACCAGGAGGGACCCACGAACAAAGGCGAGCGAAACTTAGCGGAATCTCGCAAAACTTCGTGGAACCTCGTGGGACATCGCCAGGGCGACATGCCTCCAAGAGCTGACTCATCTCGTCGCGTTCTCCAAATTCCAAGCCTTCCAAAGGAGTGGTGATCCTCCGGGAACGTCGAGTCGAAATTCGTTAGGATGTTCTGCTTCCAGAGTCCGTTCACCCGCACCCCCCGCGGGGTGGCGACGACCCCCACGCGAGGGGCGAGCGGTCCCGGGTCGTCGGACGGCAAAAGGCGAGGATCGGAGGGGGTGAGCGAGAGCTCCGGGTCTTCCTCTATCAGGTACATCGACCAGGAGCTGTCGGTCTCGGGGGCGAGCAGCACGGACACCTTGCCCGGCATCAGGGCCGACTATTTGGAACCGGATCCCGCGTCCCCCGGTCCGGAGACATCACCGATCCGCCGTCCAAACAGCCCGTTCGACCTGGACACTCGCCCCCGGGAGGTCTCCGACGCTTTTTCCACTTCCTCCGCTGTCAAGGGTCAGACCTCTCCCTCGCAGAAGCCTCTAGGAGGTCGATGGCGACGCAAGATGCTGCTCAGGCTGCGCTCCACGGATTCGTCCAACTCCAGCAATGGCGAACCCTCGTCGGCGTCACCCTCGCCGGCCAGTGACTCCACGGCGTCGTCGTCCACCAGGAACCAGGACCGTCCTCGACGTCGCGACGCCTCTACGGCGTCGTTCGCCTCACAGGCTCTTCTTGGCTGCGACGACGAGCCGCTCGTGTCCCTTGGTACCGAGGTCTTCGCCTCGGCATGCGACATCCCGGGGCTCGTCAACGGGTTCAGCGACACCGAGGAGGAGACCGCTGCCAATAGAGAAACCGAGACCGAGGAGAGCTCTCTGCCTTCCAGTCCTGCTGCCGCTGCCAGTGTCGGGTTGGCGCCTCCTGGAGCTTACTACGGCTTCCTGACCGTCAACGGCGGCATCCGCCAGGAGACCAGCACCAGCTCGCCGCAGCTGTCCTCGGGAACTTGTGCTCCCTCCAGCTCGGAGTCTCCACCCGATAGGGACTCTGCCGATGATACCACCGCGTCTACTCTTAAGCCGGAGAACCTGGAGATGACCGCCTGCCTTCCGGTCGCCAGATCCTGCCCCAACCTGGAGAGACAGAGCGCAGGGTGCTCCTCTACCAGCGGGTCCTCAAGCCCCAGTCCTAGTCCAGGACCTGCTGGGCCCAGGTTCAAGCCTCTCGAGGAGGGTGATACCCAGGTCTGCTATCTCAATCACGCTAGGACCCTCGTCAGCAAGATCCTGTCCAGCAAGTTCCTCAGGAGGTGGGAGACCCATCACCTGTACCTCAACGATGCCTGCCTCTCCTCTAGGACGGTGGGTACCTTGAAATCTTAAGTTTTCGTTTAAGCGGTACGTTAGGACGAGGGTCGGAAATGTGATAAGACACTTTTGGAACTGGTCATCTTTTTCTTTTTTTGCGATATCTTGGAAAATGATTGCAACCCCTTTACCGATGGACCCTGCTGGTTAATGGGACCACTTTATCATTCTGGTTCCCGGATGCGAAGCCGCGGCTAAGAGGAAAGCAGGATCCCTTCGTAAATTTCTCGCAAGCGCGAGTGACACCTTCGAGTGACGTCCACCTTGGCGTTCCTGAAATTCATTTTTAGTCCCCTTCTTCTAGTTGCGCAATGACGTTACGTGCCGAGCGTCATCGGTTCCATTCATTCCGTCGACGGTGAGTCAATCTCGAACTGGGCGGCGAGATGTTGCACCTTGGAGGTTGGAGAAGAAAAAAATCGCGTCCCCTCATTACGTCAAAAATCACTGCATTCCCGATAACGAACATCGAATGACGCGACGTCCATCCGACGTTCTTCAAAAGAAAGAAAAAAAAGAGAAAAAGAAATAAGGAACGCATGGAATTCCCGCGCTATCCAAGCGAGACTTCTTTATTTTGGATGAAAGGCAACAGCGTCATTGGTATTGCAAATGTCTCACCGAATTTCTTATTGTCAGTATTTCTCTTTACGTGGATATGCATTTTCAACCCATATCAAGTATGAAAAATTGAATAAAAAATTCTGTATCGAACAGGGATCTATTTCTAGAATCTCTAAAGTTATTATCTAGTCCTATATGTTTACTGTTTCGGTTTTAAGTGACCATCGCGGATATTGGATTTACCCTATTGTCGTAAAAGATGTTCCCTTTCTAAAATGGCCTCTGTGGGTCCGGGGAGGCTCTTCAGGTGCTTCCACAACTGGCGACGCAAATCGTTCTCCAATCGCGCGAACGTCACTCGACGCTCCCGAATCCCGCTTCTTGCGTAACGAACGTTACGTTCGATCGCTATCGGGCGTATAATTGATTTTATCGAGTCAATCGAGCTCGGCCGAGCGTGCTCCAATTTACGGTACGCGTCGCGACGACGCGCGCCGGTTGGGCAGTTCACGGTAAGCATCTACGCGCCGCGTTTTCGACGGCGACTCTTTGTTAGCTCGTTACGTCGCCGCCATTAAGTGTCGCTTCGGGATGCACTTCGGCCCGCAAAAAAGGGTCAACTACTCTTTTTACGTCACGCTGCGTCTCGGGCTTCGGAGCTCTTCCATTGACGCCTGTGTTCCCGGCGACGCGATGATACGAAACGCCATTCATTGAGCCGCAAAAAAGGAAACGTTCAAAATTACATAGGACTGTCCATCCTTGCCGGGGAAATATCCTGAGCCATAACTGACCGCCATTTTGCGGACGCATTGTTACGTATTACTTTGGAGAGAAAAACCAAAAAAAAAAAAGACGTGACATTAGAAGATAAATTGTCAATTCCTTCGCGGTAGGAATTCATCCCGTATTGAGAGATGATAAATTATACGAGAAATTGAGGAAAATTATATCGAAGGAGGGCTGATTTCTTTCAGGGAAATAGTAAGCTCTAACTGGCCATTTTGCCGAGTGCTTCGCCGCTCGTTGCACTGGAAATGAAATTGACGTTAAGAACGAAGTTACTAAATCCTCCGGGGAAATCGAGAGCTCTAAGTGGCCGTCATTTAATGGTCGCTTCTCCACTCGTACTGAAAAAAAAAAAAGAAAACTAAAAAATTAAATGAAAGGAGTGTTGATTTCTCTCGAGAAAATCACGAACCCTATCTGGCCCTTTGGTCGGTGTTTCGCCACACGTTGTCTCGAAAATGAAGTTAACGTTAATAATGAAATTAATGAAATGGCTAATCCCTCCGAGAAAGTCGCAAGCTTTAGCCGGCCGCCATTTTGCGGTGGGTGCAATCGAGATACGTTCGAGTTGCGCTTTAATCGCTCACCGGAGCCTTTTGTGTCTTTTTCGCCCCCCGCAAAGTGGATTGCCCCGGCTTCTTTTTGCCCTTCGACGGTTTCATTTCCCGATGCTCGCCCTTTTTCCCTCCAGCCGCGGCGGTTGCATCGGATTACCCGGCCCGAGGGAGGAGAGACCTCGCCGAGACCTTTGTTCCGCGACTCAAAGCCGACAGAGCTGCGGGCAATAGTGGCGAAACAAAAGTCCGAGGAGGATCGCGAAAAGGAGAAACGAGACGCGAAAAGGGCGCCTCGCTCGCGGCGCATCCGCAAGTGCTTTAGGGGATCTTCTTCGGGAGGATCTCAATGAACCGATATGGGCGTCCCCCAATGGATGACCGGTTTCTTGACCGACGTCATTAGACGTTTTTTTTACGGCCTCTTTCGTAAGCGCCGTTTATGGCCACCGATCCCTTTTAGTCACCTTTTACGACAAGGAGTACATCCCGACTCGCTTTTTCCTCCCCAAGTCCCGATGGAGTACTCTCCTTTCCGCCTCTTAAACAATTCCACATAGGCTTTTAATTCTCGCTAATAAATACGTTGTATGTCCCACGGGGTAGGGGAAACTTGACTAATTTGGACCGCTGGAATAAAACATAATGTACAGAGTCTAGTACCATCTAGCCGAGGATGAAAGCGTTATTATAAATGTTCCTTTGTCTCACTGACACGTGTTAATGTACCTCCAAAAATACCATTGTTACGCTCGTTAAAAAAAAAATTCAACCCGCAAATGTAACGTTTCATGACCTTAAAATTATCTATGAGAGACAACCAGCTCAATAATCTTGATATTGTTTTATTTGCAAAGAGTAGGCAACGGAAAACACTGCACTCGGGTGAATAATAAATGTGGAAATATTTCAGTAGAATCAGAACGTTACGTTTGCAATAATTGTTCTTTGGAAAAATAGTGGTACAATTTCGGAGGCCGGGTTCCTAAAATGGACTCTTGTCAACGGTTACATTCTTTTCTTATTACTTAATAAGAGTACAAGTTACAACTTGCTACGGTGAATTGGACGAAAATCAATTAGCTTAAATATGAAAAGGATATTTTTTATATGAATGGTCCAATTTAGGCAACCTTACCCTATATCGTGGTTTCCTTCGAGAAATTCGTTATCGTTCTCGGGGTTGCTAGATTCCGGGAACGCTGCAGAAGGAGCGCAGAAGGAAAGTGCAATTACAGCCGGGTACACAACGAGTAATGACGTCCTCGCAACGATTCGCCAACATCCGGCCAACTGCCATTAAACGTCCGCCTTAAAGATTTCCGGGAAATTCGCGCCATTACGAGGACGCGATCCGACGTGGGGAATTATTGAAAAGAGGATAAATTAATGACGAGCTGCATTCAATGCGCGTTCTCTCTCTCTCCCTCTTTCTATCTCTCTCTACGTGCAAAACGCTTTTGACCCGGCCGACTCTGATATTCTATTCATCGGCGCAATTTACTCGTGAATTCCCGCGAGCTGAATACTTCGGCGACTCGTTCGGGATTACCTCGTTAAAGGAAAAAAAGACAAAAAAGGTAGTTAAGACCTATCTTTGGTCAAACTTCCCAATATCAGCGCTTAAATGTAATGTTCGATTGGCGCATATGATTTAATATGTCTCTTGATAAAAAGGGTAACTTTGATATCATCGAGGTACCAAACGGCAATTTCGGCGCTTATCAAATCCTCCTTTCATACATCCAATCGTTCATAGGTCAATCGTTTATGAAACATTTTTTTTTCCGAACCGGGTACACCGAATTGTATCAAATTTTACAACGTGAACATAGAGGCTGTAAGGGAGGTCCTGTCACCCGTGATAGCAATAAAAGGGGTAATTTTATTATAATTAATAATGAGTCGTAACGTAAGATACTACAGGCGCCCTTCAGGGTCCGGTACACCGATATTCCGTGAAAAGCTCGGGCGAATTCATCTGCGACTTCGGTCTAAATATTCGAGGAACCCCTAGGGAGTAGCGTGCAGCCTCGGTATACAAGGGAGAGAGAGAGAGAGGGACGGTGTCCCCGAGGAAGCCTCTTTACTCCAGGAAAATCGATATTCTCGAGAGTGGCGGCCGGTCGCAAATTGACGCACGTCGGAATCGCCTACCGACGAAATCCGGTTAACCGGAATTGCGCAAGACGCTCTCCGATGCGGGGAATTCATTAAAATTGGACAAATTCCCCAATAACGAAGCCGGACTTCGTTAAAACGGTCCCGTGGGACAAAGTGGGGAAACTCGATTTGCGAATTCCTGCCGGACCTACCTCCGACGTAATTCCCGCACTCGCCTAGGAACCGAATTACGCTCGCTCTTAATTAAACGGCAAACGGTGCCGCTCGGACGTGGCAAAGTTTGTTTGTCGCCGTTTAACGTCTCCCCGGTTGAAAATGAAGTGGTGCTAATTTTATGGATTTTAATTGCGAGCACTGATATCTCTTTCTCACCTGCCGAGTGCTCTGGTAGCGCCGCTTGGGACGCAAAGGAGAACAGGTGTGCCATTGCGCATCCTTTTTGATGAGCCGTTTGTACCGTACTTTTATTATATATTTATTATGTATTTATTATATATTTATTATATAAAGGAATCTACTTTTCTTATACATGGGAAGTACATTGTCTCCTTTGCATTCTGACGTCGTCTGCAAGTCGGACCGCGGTTGAATTTCTCTCCCCGCGTTTCGTGCAAACGCCGTAGAGGAAATCACGCGATGGGGAAACAGGGAACGAAGATTCGCCGACGTTTCGTCGCGTGTCCGGGCTCGTTAGCCACTAAATCGGGCGATTTTCTTTCGATTAATGGCGCACGCTACCGTGTCCCGAGTGGGTGCCGCCACAGGGAGGAATTTCATTGGACGTATCCCCGGGAAAGAGGGAACGAACTTTGCAAAAGCCTGTTCGAGTGGTTCTTAACCGCAATTACAGGATGTCCGAAGAATCTTCGTTAATGCACCGAGAAAAAGAATTCATCGAACAGTGGTAAATAAATATTTTCTTAATTCAAAGAATAATTATTTGACAATTATTCTTTGAATTGATGAAATATTGGTACTGCTCAAAGGAATATTTCTCTGGTTCGGGGAAATTTCTTTCCCAAGGCAGGTACATGTACTAGGTCGGCCAGAAAGTTGCCATTATTGCTATTTAAAATCGGACACTTCGGTTCGTTTAATCTTGTAATGTAATTAATTTCTTTCCAAGTAATCTTGTTTGTTCTTTATGTTCACGTTACACATCGTTCGACTTGTCTCAACGTTTTGATAAGAATACTTGTGTTTTAAATATCTTTCAAAACGAATCTCATTGAATTACTTAAATTTACTTTGATGGTTTTAATTTCTCTTTTTTTATATACATATACAAAGGGGTTGTTTCACTTGAAAAAGATCAAGGCCCGTTGGAAAAAAAAATCGAGGGGCTCGCTTCCACGAGCGAGAGGTCGAAGATTCGATATTGCCGGGAATTTCGGAATCGAAAACATCGATGCACGGTATTGCACGGAGGAATTCGCGGCGATTGCAAGTTAAATTCGACGCGGGGGTGTCGGCCATTAGTCGAATTGAAATTCAAATTCCCGATCAACCGGTGCGATCGCGAATCGATTAGCGAGGATTCCTTTCGCGTGGCTTCGGATGAATATCGATTAGGCGCGTTATCAGCCTGACGGCGGTCGCAAAGATGGGCGTCGATTGGTCGAAATCGTCTTTGCAAACACGCGAGCAGGAATCTTTCCTTTCGTTAGGACCCGTGGAAAAAACGAACGAAAACTAATTGCGGAACGGGGTAAACATTAGCATGCCCCTCTGACGCATGTCGCTAATGACATTACGTTAATACAAATCGATGCGTCAAGCCTCGTTAATGCCGAGGAAAACAAGAGAAAGTCGTACGTTTCCTGTTTGGCCGATTTAAAAAAGACGCCAACGCGAAGCGGAGTGCAACGAGCCTTTTGGCGTGCCTTCTTGGGCATTGTTGCTATTTTTACATGACGCGCGGCTAATAATAACGCCTCGATTTCCGCCAATTCCGAAGTTCCTGCGTCGATTCGCACGGCTCGTTATAATTTTAATGAACTTCTTCAAACATTCCCTTTTTTTCCCCCAGTGTCGAACTGCGCGACAGCTCGGTGACGTCAAAGTGTTCGACGCGCGACACCTACCGGCTGCGATAAAGCTAATTCCTGGAGACGCGCGTTGATGTCCTCGTGGGCAAATTCTGGAGATTTCGCGAGATCCGGAGGAAAGGCTCGACTTTCGAGAGGCCATTTTGAGCGCGTCTCTCGCTCCCGGATGGGCCATCTCCGAGGGGCGAACGGCGAGCTCAAAGAGCTGTCGTACGCGAGAAATCGAGTCAATTTCGCCGTGTCCCTTGATCTCCACTTCCTCCAGGGCGACTTCCGTGACCCGTTCCCAATCCCCTCGTTCCTGTGGGCGAAGCTGGGATGACGTCACTCGAACCAGAGCAGGACGGGCTTTGATTAATATCCAGAAATCGTGGACCAGCATTCCCGCTGAATATCCAGATATCGGGCACCAGTGTTCCGGTTGAATATCCAGACACCAGTGCTCTTGCTGGGGGAAATATCATTCAATTAGTTCTCTAAAAACCATGAAAAGAGAAATCCCGTCAATTTTTCCATGTCCCTTGATCGCCGCTTCCTTTCACGATCCGTTCCCAATTCTCTCGTTCCTGTGGGCGACGCTTGGATGTCGTCACCTCGACCAGAGCAGGACGAGCTCCGATTAATAATCCAGAGATCGCCCACAGGGCTCTTTCTGAAAAAAAAATAATAATTCCGAATGAATTCTTTAAACGCCCGAAAATTGAAGAAAGTAATATCCAGCCTCGCGGCTAGTGAAGTTTTCTAAGCGACCCCGTTGCGGGAATCGACCTCTGGGGCCTCCTCCAATTTTATCAGAATTATCAGCCGCCTGACACGGTTTCCTCCGGCGAGGAAACCGCACGTTATCCCACGCTAAACGCGGCCGAGAGTGCCTGCCGGATGCTAGGTATTCCGAGATAATGGCGAATCGCGTGAGAACGTCCACCGGATGCTTCTGGGAGGACAGGAAACCGCCGCGGCAGGTTTCCCGAGTGCCGGAGAAAGTGTCGAAATTGCTCGAGACGGGGCCAGTGGAAAGGTAGAAAATCGAATTGGCATCCGGCAGGCGACTCGATGCGGCCATCGGGGGCCGGTTTTCGGATCCGATCGGCGGTACCTGGGGCTCCGTCAGCGGAATGCACGTGCGTTCTCTCGCTCGCTCGCTCGACCAACCATTATACGCGAGTTCGACTGACGTCAAAGCTGACCCTGGAACGCGTGGTTCCGTAGACGTTACCGCACGCTCGGCTACGCTCCTCGTCCTTCGGCGAAGCCGATCGGCGCTCGCGATCCCTCCGCTACTCGGCTCGAAGTCAGATTTTCCATCCTCCTGAATGCATTCTGCACCCCTGAAATACGAAACCGCAGATAATCTCCACCCTAGCGTCAACGTAAAATCCCTAGAAAGAGAAGAAACGACCGTTTTCGATACCAGTGTACGATGAGACGCTGCATTCACGGTGCATCGCGCTGCAGTCACGTCGACTCCCACGTGACGCACCGACAAAGCGCCAGATCCCCCTAATGCGTGTGCCAGATTTCGGGCCCGCGCCTTTGTTCCCACGTACGATCCGCCGCAAATGCTTGCACTACCGTTCGAGCACTTTCAACCTCCATTTCGGCAAATGCGCGCTTGAAACGTCCGCCTTCGCTTTGGGTAGGCCGGCTTTGTGACGTCACGAGGGCAGCGGCGAAGCAACGCCGGGCGCGTTTCCGCGCGATATCCGTGTCGCGAATCTTAAAGCGGACTCCGCGGCTAGAAATCGGTTCCAATACCTGTAAACAATAGTCCTAATAGTGTAATTCCTACTCATCGAGGCATGGGAGTCCAATTTCCATCCCAATCCGTGAAAAGAAGCCGACGAGCCGGAAGGAGTGCTCGAGGGGCTTGCGGCCGAGATTCAAAATGGCCGCCCCTTCGACACGTCGAGCTTGGAAGACGTCGTCGACGCGACTTCCGCGCGACGTCCGTGTCGCGAATCTTAAAGCGAACTCGGAGGCCGTAAACGGTGCCTATACCTCTAAACAACCGCTTCTTCCATATAATCCCTACCTACCCGGGAATAACAGTCCAATTTGCATCCGAATCCGCGAAAAGAAGCCGATGAACCGGAAGGAGGGCTGGAGGGCTTGCCGCCGAGATCCAAGATGGCCGCTGATTCGATGCGCCAACCTCGCCGTCGAAGCGACCGCGAGTAATGCAATTTCCAGAGCGGGCAGGCCGATCGAGCCGAATTGGGCACGATCGGTGGAATCGAGGTGGCACGAGGTACGCGCCCAGGGCCGCCATTTTCTCCGGCTTGGCGACCCTCCCGGCCGGAGGGAATTTCGTTACTCCAATTTATCCGGCCTCTCGGTCGCGGGTCCGTCCGTGCCGCGGGTTTTGGCTGCGTTCATTGAGGGGATGCAGCGTCCTAGATTCGGCAGAGCCCTGCTCCAACAGTCGTTCAACCCTCGGCCTAGATTCGTCTCTGACGTCATTCCGCCCCCCCCCCCGCACTCCTCGGGTTCCCCACGAGCCTTGGCCGAGACTGTGTGAGCGCGTCGATGTCGTCCGTGCGAACCCCTGCAACTGTCTGCGTGACTGCACGAGTCTATGCCCCGGCACGAGTGCGCCTATCCGCGCCTGTGGGTGTGTCGGCTCGTGTCGCCTCATAGGGCGTGTGTCGGCCGTGCCGTGCCCGGAAGCCGGCCCGGCGACACGCACTCTGGCACACTCCGGCACACACGGACACGCTAAAGAGGCCGGGAGCGCATCGTCCTCCGGGCACCTGCACGTATCGCGCGATGCACATCGATTCCCCCGACTTGTTTCCCTCTTTTGGAACTACGTCATCGCCCGCCAGGCGTCCTGAGGGGAGAGGAACCGAGGAACCGAGGAGCTCGGGACCTCTCTCGCGGACTTCGCCCTTTAAGGAATCATTTTTTTTCTTATTCCTATCGGGCTTATGAATATATCAAGAGGGCTGAAATATATATACCAGGCTCGTCGCGTGACTTTTTAATCTACTTTTGAGATAATAAATATCTAGGGTAGGGCTTAGGTCGCAAACCATTGTGCTGTAGAATTTAATCCCACCGATGAAAATGCCCATGTAATCGTGATATGTCCCACGAAAGATTTCAGCAAAATCGCATTTGATATCACATTTAGCATCTGAATTAAATTAAAGATAGTTATGACGTTACGTTACATTTAATTAAAGTAACGAGCCGTTAATACGGTGAGTGTACAATGTCGGGGTGTTTGTACACTTTCTAATTTGTCATTTTTCCATTTGACGATTTTCTATGGGAAATCTCTCGTATGAGGCGGGTGAAAATTTGGGCAAATTTTTCGTGACTTTTATCCGGGCGGTTTGATTGGTTTATTAATGGTTTGTGTTTCGTATTCACGTGAATTCGGGTCTTTACCCTCTGGCTCTGGGAAGAGGTGAAGAGACGGGGGGTGTGATGTAGGTTGGAAATTTTTGTTGTTTTAACAATGGAAAGTTAAGGGCCGTGTTGGTGGTTCAGCTTACAGGGTTTCTGCAGCAGCCGGTGCCCTATAGCAGCATGTCCGAGGTGTATGCCGTGGCGAGATGGGATCCCACGTACAAGTACTGCCTGAGGATCGTGCTGCCAGATGGATCTCTTCTCCTCCAGGCCAGCAATGCTTACACGAGAGATCAGTGGTACCATTCCATACTCTGGAAGGTATACAACCGCTTTCCGTCCTGTATACAAAGCCTCAAAGCGACGTGAAAACATTGCCCCACCGACTGAGCCGCGCCGATCGCCATTTCCGAAAGCTTCTTGAGTCCGTTTAAATTTTTACAGGAAATGTATCACTGTAGATGCTCCCCCGTCTAAGAGACCGTTTGCTTTTCGCGAGTAACTAAATTTCTGTCAGGAAAAAAAAAATAAAATCCGATTCAGGGCTCTCAAATCGACGAAAGCTTTGCTTTTCGCGACTGTCAGGGATCCGTCCTCACACCTCACATTTAGAGTTAGGAGACGTCTTTTGTCCGCTCTCTTTAAAAAGCTAAAAGATGAATTTTAAAAGCAATTAGAAACGAGGTACGAGCCCGAGAATAAATTTCTAGGGCGAAAAAATCCCCGTCAACGCTCAGGATTTTGCATCCAGATTTCACGTCGTCTTAAAAACTAAATCGAATTAAATCTCAGAGCAACGAGAACTTACCAAGGACTGCATTTTCAGAAGAGCATCTTCAAGTACCAGCACCTGGTGTCGCTGAGCACCCGGGAGGAAGTCATCCTGAGGGAGCTGAAAGCCATGGTGGACTTTGCTTTGTGGACGCCACTACAGGACGAGCGAGTCGCTGGTGCCCCTTTGGAGGCTGTGGCGAAACTTCTAGGAAATCCGGTAGAGAAGTCGGAAGCTGACGCGAAGACTGGCAAAATGGAAGAGTCGAGCAAATTCGGAGACAGGGGATGGGCGGAAGCCATACTGGCTGTTGCTGCTCCTCTTCTGGAGAGAGCTGCTCCTCCTGCCGCCTTGGCGAGGGTCCTATCCAGTCTGGCAGAGAGACATCCCAGATCTCCTCTGGTTTCCGCCCTCAGTCCGGCCATAACGAGGTGTCTCAAGCACACCGTGGACTTTGGCAAGTCACCAGACATGAGAAGACTCTTACAGGTTTTCGTGGCGGCACTCTTCGAGAACAACGACGGGGAGCTGGCTCTCAGAGAGTACATCGCCTCTGTACATGGACCCGGAAGCGATTGTCCTCATCCTAGGGTCCTCCCTAATCTCGTGTCCATCTGCGTGGCTGCCATATTCAGGAGGTACGACGCACCAGGTGGAGCGTTAGGACACGTCGATCGAAAAATTTACTTTGTCAATAATAAGGTGTATTAGTGACATCCAAGTGAATACTCGTTAATGAAACTTTTCTCCGACCTGGATGTACAGATCCTTTTCACCCTTTACAGTGTTACTATGGAGGCTAAAAGGAAGGTCCCGACCCCAATGTAATTTCAATGAAAAAAAATTTCTTTATAGACATTTTAAAATTTTCTACAAAAAATGTAATTTCATGGGTGGAAGGACCTTTTTTTATTGCCTCCATATTCACGTGGTAATGTTTGAAACGATTCGGTACACCCTGTTTGGGGAAAAGTTTCACGAACGATTGACCCCTTAGATGCCACTATCGTATCACCTCAATTACTTGAGCAATTTAAATGTTATTCACTCAGTGCATGGATGGACTACCTTGCCATAAAGTTTTTTGAGTCGACAGGGTGACCGACCGTCTCCTTTTTTCCTTTCAGATTCGAAGCCGCGAACGCGGCGCCTTCCAACGAGGACCGGCCAGCATCTCTTCCACCATTGCGCTGTTATCTCCTGGTTTTATGCGTGGCGTGAGTGTCCCGAGGATGACGAAGATGAGGTACCTTCGATTCGAACCGACCGACTTGCATCTTGAATTTCCAGGTCCGAGTACGCCGACTGGCGACCAGGTCTGGGTGCTCTCCTGCAGCCGGTCCCGTTCCCGGAAGAGGCCCTAGCAGACAAGGAGGTCCAGGAGTCGATCATGACGCGAGTCATGCGGCGTCTGGCGAAAGACCCCAGATGCCTGGTCCATCGGGTTCTGCTTCCCGTCAGGGAGCCCCGATTAGGGTGGATACATATCGCCGCACCGTCCAGTCCCGCCTGTCCGGACGAAGGAGAGCTTTTCGGCGAAATGGTGAGGAGGAGACGTAAAAATACCTCCGAAAGACGCGCAACCTATACATCAACCGGATGCCTTCATCTACTCCAATTAACTTCCGGTCGCGGCTCGACGAAGGCACAGTTTGATCGCCCTCGGCGGACATCAAGGTCTCCCTGGACGTCTGGAATAACCCGACGGATATAACAATCGATTCCCGTGAATCCAAGTCGCGTCGGGAAAATGGAAACGCCTATCCGGTCCCGGTCGATCGGCAGTATTAATTTATATTTCAACCCGGTGGAGGTAATTTAAAGGACCCTATTCAACGTCCCGCCGCGATCTGAGAATATACGGCACCTGGCAACGACTTAATTCTCTATTAATAGCCCTCTGCGATTAAAGTCGACGACCTGACTTCCGGTATGTCTCTAGCACTCGGACCTCGCATCGATTCCCCCGTAGGTATTCGCTCGATGCGTCGATTCTTGAGTGATCTCCAGGGCCGAGTCGGGCTTAAAATACCCTGGCCGTCTTCAACCTGTAGATGCAATTCAAACGATGGAGTAACCTGTTGAACGCCAGGCGCGAAGGTCCCACCTCTATACGGCAATTGTGCACACAAGTTACGTGTCTCGTTGTCACTCGTGGTGTCGTTGTCTCTCGCGTACCCGACGGCGTCTCCTCCTCGAACGCTCTGCAAACACTCTTTCTGAGGTCACTAACGTAACGATTATACTACCTAGCCGTTCATTTTGCTCCAGCTGACGACTCTCTTGAGCTGCTGCTGTCGAAGGAAGAGATTCATCGGCACCTTGATAAAGCACTCGGGTGGAGCTTGCATCCTCTTGGCTGTCAGGGGCTGCGAAGCTGCCCAGGAGGCGCTTTGTCTGATGCTGGAATGGCGACTTCTGCCAAACGAAGAAGCCAGGCTGCAAGTCGTTTCTGCCCTTCAGTCCACGGCTTCTGGGAGAGATCGATATGCCACCCTCTGCCAGAGACAAAGAAACCTGCAAGAATTGGTACGTTAATCCCTGCACGGTAACGAAGACATTTGCATGAAACTTTGCCAAAAAGCACAGGGCAGAATCGCTGATTAAGTTTTGCTTTTACTCTGATAATAATTCCACCGACCATAGGGTGATTTTTTGAAAACAATTCCTTTTATTGCAGCAACAGAAGGGTGGTCCCAAAAAGTTGACACTTCCGGTGCGAGCGACCGACGCGGACGTCGCGTTGCTTCTTGGAGGTGGTGCTCTCGCCAACCTGGAGTGCCTGAGTCTGGCTTTTACTTCGGTTACCTCTGCATGTGCGGAACAGCTGATCAGGTTGCCTGCTCTGCGATATCTGAACCTATGGGCTACCCAGTTCGGCGACGCCGGGCTGCAGATGATAAGCGAGCACCTGCAGAAGCTGCAAGTGCTCAACCTCTGCGAGACGCCCGTCTCCGATAAGGGGATCTCCACGTTGGCCTGTATGCGATAATTCATAGACCGATTGATTGACTCACGAAGACTTCATTGTCCACTTTTCGCGTAGTTTATCTATAGTTAGTAAGGATGCTATTTCGCGTTGCAGCACTGACGAGCCTAAGGAAGCTGAACCTGAACAGCACGAAACTGTCGGCCCAAACCTTCGAGTCGCTGAAGAAGAGACTTCCGGCCCTGCAGGAGTTCGACGTTCGATACACGGAGGCCTGGTGACCCGAGCCGATGCCTAAAACCGATTTGCCGACCAATCCTAGCAACGCTAGCCAGCGATTTGGCTCTAGAGGGAGAAGGCACTATCGTTAAGATGTCCCTCGATTCTCGTTATCGGCGCGAGCTCGCCTACCTCGATCGCGAGTACACGGGCTGATCATTACGGAAGACAACGAGCTCTCACGGAAATTGTTAATCGTTTAATCGACTCTGAACAGTAAAGAATACTCGGCGATACTCGAACTTCCTCTAGCTGGAGGTTTTTATGGAATCGTTCCACGCGGTCTGAAAAAAAAAAAGAAAAAAAAACAGACGGCCACGAGTCCTCCCCGTGTACTCGTTCGCTCGCACCTTGTTTCTCGGCCTTCTGGCCGAGTACCTCTCTCCTAAGCACCCGCGATTATCTCCGAATATCTTTCAGTATCTCTGCCCTCTTTATGCGACCACTTTCCGACCTACTGTCGGCGTGGCCGGATGCCTTAAAACGGGATAAGGAGGAGGAAAACGAGAAGAGAGGAGTACGGAATTCCGCGCGACCACTGCCACACACTCGCGAACTCTATTATTAATAAATAGTAATCGTTGTTCTACAACCCTCCTCGGCGTTTGAGGTAATCTAGTAAGTCCTGAGTTCGAAAGCCACTCTCTAGTGTACATAGTTAATTACGAATAAGCAGGTTGGAGTTAATAATTTATTGTAGCTAGGCCGTACATTTATATGTCACGCACGCAGACACGTACGTATATGATAATTTCATGAGAAATCAGGTAGATTAGAGGATTTTTGCGCTCTAGGTCGCCGTTTTTTCCGAACGAGGTTGTCGAGGGTGCGGAGGGCACGCGATAAGCGTTCATGGAGTAGGAAGAGATAAGGGAGTAGTTCGAGTCTAACTAATTACGATTACCTATGCGATAGAACGACTGATTCTCTATTTCGTTTTAATATCGTCGAGCTGCACGGGAGCAAGCATTGTAAGAAGACTGTTTATGTCAATTTCGATAAGGATCATTAAGTTAGTAAGTTATGGATAATTAATGAAGTAATGGCAACAATAAATTCAAGTTTATTACCGTAGTCGGCATGTGCGATGGTACCTTTACCTTTCCGATTAAATTCCAAGGATGTTTCTGAAATTATTCAATTGTTAAAGTGTGGTTGAATATTTTTATCGGCAAATGGGACAAGGGGTGCACGGTGACGTTCACGTAAACTTTATTGCGAGAGTTAACACATGTATACCTGTAAAGTGGTACGACTCGTTGATCCGTAATTTCTCATTTTTAGGACGCTTCGTGTATCACCGATTAGCATCTGTGTGTCCGTTTGTACGATAATTAGATATTCCTTATAGTATAACAATGCATCGTAATAAGTAACGCTTCAGTCAGCGAGCTTGCCGACTTATTCACTTGACACTTTCGTAATAGGTACATGTACATCCCATTAATTGAGTAGTTCGCCTCGAATTTGTCCGAAATCACGGAAAAGTCAAGAAGTGCTCTTCAATTTCGCGCACCCTTTTAAGAAGCGGTATCACATCGTCAAGGATAACCCCACCGAACGAAACACGTTGAAAACAGATATTCTTAAAAAAAAATATGGTACAAAATCCGGATACTTCCGAGATTTGCTTAAAATATGTAACAATCGCTTCTAAAGTGTACCGAGTTGAGCGCAATTCATTCTAAACGACGTAATTTCCTGGGAGGCTGAAACCGACGAGGCGGTTACCACTGTTTCATTGGCATGTTTCAAGATGGACTTCGGTTTTACGTGCAATGTCATTTTCCAAGTCCATCGAAGAGTACCTAGGCTCCTGAGAATGAAGTTGTGCTGAGGTCTATATCAACCAATGCTTTCAGATTTGGCGGCAGCTCGTGATAAACAAAGGGGGGCACTTGATCTGAAAGGGAAAAAAATTATACAAGTACGTTTTATACAGGGACGAATCGCTTTCTTCGACCGCAACCGCTCACCATTGCATCTGTGGTTCAGATTCGACCAGATGATCATCTCCTGGGAGAAGCAGTAGACCCCGATTCTGCCTCCTTTGAGGTAGGTGTCGAAAATGTTTCCAGAGTCGGTGACCAATTTCGACCCCTCGTAAATCCAAATCCTGATGAGTCCAATTTTAGGCCTGTGTATCAGCAGCCACCTGTAAGGGATCCTCGGCTGCCAGCCCAGTTTTTTCGGATCCCTCCAGAGAATCCTCGTCTCTGTAGGGACGCTTTCGTTGTGCCAGAGGCTGTTCCTCAGTTTGACGCCAGGACCTGTTGCTGAATCCACCAGCCTCAGGATCATCCCTGGCTCGGCGACCGCCCGGAATGGCGCAGCTTGCCAATAAGTTTGCTGGAGCTTCTTCCAGGTGAAGACGTAGAACTTGCCGCTGTCCTGGTAGCCGAACACGAACCCTACGAAGTCGTCATCCTCGTCGGCGTCATCGACGTAGAAGGTGCCCTCGTAGTCGAGGCCGTCGAATCTTTCGAACCCTGCACAGATAAATGAATAAACGCCAATTCATTCCTTCTTTGAGAATGGATTGCCTTTGATTTCATATGACGAACAACAATGCGATTCGGTTGATGCCATTCAAAGAAATATTTTTCACAGCTCACGGGGCAACGTAAAATAGTTCAATACTATTTTTCTCTGTACATAGCACTTTTCCCGGAGCCTTCGGAATCCGTTTGAATATTTATCGAAACACCACGCAGACGCAACGGCGTTGCTGCAATCGTCCGTTGCGCCGTTGCGCAACCCATGAGACGGGATCTCGCAAGACAGTGTCCCAGATTGAGGATTAATAAATTATTAATGGCTCGATCAAACTTGGCTGAACATCGGACGAGGGAGACCAGGTGGACGTAAAGTCCGACAGTTCGCGACACTCGTTGGACACCTGATCTCGCTCGTCCTGGTGGAGGTCCTCGACATACCGATCGCCATTCCAGGGTCGCTGTTGAGGGTCTGCAGGATCTCCGCCCCCTTGTTCAGGACTACCCAGACAGGGTCCTTCTGCGAGGTTCCCCTGGGGTCCAGATTGACGGTCATGTACTTGCGGAAGTCGACGGTCCAAATCTGACTATTGTTGGGGCAGACGTCGTGGATGTTGGGTATCGTGTCGTTGTCGTTGTCGTCCTCGCAGAGGTCTCCGATTCCATTCCCTTTGGATCGATCGATCGCCATTAGTCTCCATTAATCAAAGCCGATCAAGGTCATCAAGATCCATCTACTCACGATTGTAGTCCTCTTGGTTGGGATTGTAGAAGTAGGGACAATTGTCGACTTTGTTGGGCACCTTGTCGTTGTCTATGTCAGGATCACACGCATCGCCGAGGCCATCGCCATCGGTGTCGGTTTGCTCCGCATTCGGTATTGTGGGACAATTGTCCAGACTGTCCGGCGCGCCGTCGTCGTCCTTGTCCACGTTGTCGTCGCAGACGTCGCCGATGCCGTCGTTGTCCTTGTCTTCTTGTCCCGGGTTCGGCACCGTAGGACAATTGTCGCAGGCGTCTCCCACTCCGTCGCCATCGGTGTCTCTTTGGTCAGGATTCGGAACGGTTGGGCAATTGTCGTCCTTGTTCTTGATACCTACACAAACACGGCTGTGTTGCATATATCCATAAGAAAACATATATTCCATTTAGTAAGAAACTAGAACACTTGGAGAACTCAGGTTCACCCACTTAGAAGGATGCCACGTGAAGGGGAGATTATTCCCGAAAAGAACGTGGATTTTTTTGCAATAAAAAGGATATCACAAAAACTTGGAAAATTATTTCAAGAGACGTTAAACCCCTCAACAACTCCTACCAGTAGCTATACCCATGTATCCTCCTATAATCTCTACATACGCCCACAAGAAAAATTATCAATTTTTCGGAAACACACACGCACGCCCTCAGGAATACACGCGCATACAAACTCGGCTCTAAACAGCTCCGTGACATCCAGTGCCTTCCAAGTCCAATTCAGCTGGAAAATGGTTTTACAGTTTACATATCCAAAAAATAGCATGTCAAAGCGCGCGAGTCGAGCGATCCGAGAAATCGTTGAAAGCCTTGTCGTTGCGAAAGCATAAAAAGTAGACCCTGTACAAGCGAAGAAAAAGGAAAGCCGTGCAAGAGATGGTACCAAGGTGAAAAAAAGAGTTTATTGAGAGGGTGAACAGTCCAGGGTGTGAAGACCGTCGAGGGTGTTCGGCGAGACCAAAATGGCGGATGGTCTACTATTGGTAGTCCGACGAGCCGTTACCGTCGTTGTCCATGTCGTCGCTGCAGGCGTCGCCGACGCCGTCCCCGTCGGTGTCCTTCTGATCGAAATTAGGCACTGTTGGACAATTGTCGCAGGTGTCGCCACGATTGTCACCGTCCCTGTCGGCCTGGTCGGGGTTGTACACGAGTGGACAATTGTCAGGGTGGTTGGGGATGCCATCCCTGTCAGCGTCGGGGTCGCAGGCATCACCCTTGCCATCTCCATCGGCATCCTCCTGGCCACTGTTCGGATGGTTGGGACAATTGTCCGCCTTGCATCGGGGATCGGTGCAGTTTGGTATCTCCTTATCGGGGTACGAATCAGCATCCGTGTCTGGGTTACAGTGATAGCCATTTCCGGCCCAACCGACGTTGCACTGTTGGGTAGAATTGCAAGTAATCGATCGAGGACTGCTCTCGACGGCGAATTTCATTATTAGCAGAATTTCACGGCTATATTTTATGATAATATTAATTTTATGATTCCACGATGGAATAAAATTCCTTTTATGACTTTACGATCAAATCAATTTTATCGCGGTCATCTGTTGTGAAAGGAAATGACGTCAAAAAGTATGCCGACGTGTGGTTGGTATAAAGTCGAGGTCGAATTTAAAGAGTACCTTGCACTCGTAGCGGCCTCCGCCGAAATGTCTGCAACTGGCCTTGGTGTGGCAGATATTGAGATCGGGACAAACGCCAGGATTCAATTTACACCCGACTGTCTGATTTCCGCTAGTGCCCCTCTTGCACTCCCCACAGTGGAAGGAACCCTGGAATGGATCCAGATTGTGCGTTATAGCAATATACAGAGTACATATGGAGTAGATAAATTCTGAGTGCGGAGATAAAATCAGCTATGACGCGCGCCCGGCATTGAAGTCTCCTCCGTTCTCCTAAGCGAGGACCTCCCAGGTCGAAACTCATAAACCCAAACTCTTCGCGCAGATAAATACCCAAACAATATTCCAAAATCAACGACTCATCCCTGATTCTAATATACATACAATCCTGTCGCGACCGGACTCGTAAAAATTGATATCGCCCTCGATAAGATATCGGACCCGCTCGTTAACTTTGAATCAAAGCCTCGTTTCTTCGGCGTCTCGCTTCCGTTCACAGCTTCTCGTTAACTTCGCTGTAAAGCGCTATAAAGCAAAGATCGCCTCAAAACGGCCCCGATAAATAAACTCGAGGGCTCTCAAACATTCCAATTATTTTCGTAATTTCTGTTTACAGAATGGATTAACTTTCCCGATAAATTTAATCCTGGAAGCTCGGGCTGAGAAAAAATCCAAGGGCTATTCCCTCAAGTTTGATAAATATTTCGACGTTTCGACGTATGTATATGACACTTTCAAAACACCTTAAAATCCATGGTTTCCCGAGTGAACAACTCATCGGAAAGAATAGTGATAATACCAGTACAATTGTAAAATACGTGTTAGCTCCTAGAAGTGATACGATGCACCACAGAAAAAAGAAACAAATATTTAATTGTATTCTTTCTGCCCTCTTATATGTGTATTCCCTCTTTCCATGATTGCATTGAGTTATCCGGAAAGTTCGAGCCGATTTTCAATAGGTGGCATTAAGATTTAGAATTCGGCACGATACTTTCCGAACAACCCAACATATCATATCCCTTGTAGGAGCTGACGACTACTTCACAGGTGCATTTTTCCCAGTGCAAGGTGCACGGCGTCTCGTGCATACCGGGGTGTTGATGCACTCGGAATAGGGCACGCAGCCTCCGTTGTTTCCGTCTGCACACTCGTCGATGTCCTCGCAGACGTGGCGTTGCCTATCCCGGTCCATGCCGACCCCGATGACCTCGTTGCCGATAAATCCCGGTGGGCAGGGTCCGCATTTATATCCGGGTGACAAATTGTAGCAGCTCGCCCTCGGGTCGCAAGGCTGTACCAGATCGCACTCGTCCAAGTCGTAGCAGGTTGTGCCGTTTCCGGTAAAGCCTGATGGGCACTGGCCACACCGATAGTAAGGCGAGTAATCCGTGGAGTGACATAGGACTTGGGGGTGACAAGGGTTGGTCTCGCAGCCCACCCTTCGGCGCACACAGTGCTCCCCATTCCCGACGTATCCCGGAGGACAAGATTCGCATCTGAGGGAACAGGAAGATTAAGTGAACCCTGGAGGTTCATTTTCGAGAGTCCGCCTTTATGAGATTCTTCGGGAAAAATGGGACGACTCACCTGAAGCCGTTCCTCGTGTCGCGGCAGGTGACCCCCTGGAAGCAGGGGCGGTCGGCACAGGTGCGACCCGGTCGACAGCGATATCCATCCCCGATGTAACCGGCAGGACAAGAGAGGCATTGCGGTCCATTCGCGGTATCGCGACACCTCGCTCCTGGGAAGCAGGGCGAGTTCACCGTGCAGGTAACCTTTGGAGGCTCTAAAAAGAAATTTGGGAAAAATCATATCTGACCCGTGGTTTATCTCTTTCTTCATTTATACAGAATGGGGGAAAAGTTCCCACACGAAGGTTGCTCGGGAAACGGTCAAAGATTTTCACGTGCAGTCAGGAGAATTTAAACATTTGTCGAAACTGAGTCGTATGGAATCTTTTTAGGGCTGCTTTTCCGCGCATTAGGTATTAAATTAATAATCGTTTTGAGTAACGTTTAATTTACTTTTTATAATTTTTGACTTTAATAGGGAAGTTTTTCCCACTACGTGGTTCTTTTTTCCAGAGAGTTTCCAGAGATTCGCCTACCTGGCACGATTATTTTGGTCTCGTAACACCTGGCGCACCTGTCGATCATCTGCCGAAGTTGGGCCAGTTCCAGGTTCTGAAAGAAGGGTCAACTTGCGTGGGTAGATCGCAGGAATCGTGCAGAATGTTCCGGGTATTCTGTACTCACGTTTCGGAGGATCTCTTCCCGCAGTTTCCCCGTGACGGAGATGAGCTCGTTGAAGGTCTTCAGGAGAACCTGGTCAGTTATGCAAACTGGAAGAGCGAAAAGTTCAATGAATTAATCAGAAAGGACGGTTCCGAAAGTTTACCTCTTCAAGAAGATAAATTCCTCAAATCTCGCTTGTCTTAAATTTAATAAGCATCGAAATCAGGGCGTACTTTTGTCGTCCAGTCCATGGAGGATCTCGATGTCGCCCCTGATCTTCTTCGGGATTTCGTTATTCCCAGGTGGAGGCTGAATGGCCTGGTCGTTGACGGGGGAGTCGAAGAAGCAACCTTCCTTCGCCAGAACGTAATTTACGTCGAAAGACTTGTACACCTTGTACCGGTATCTCTTTTGCGTGTACTGAAATCAGAAGCGTTCCAGGTAAAACAATTGCAACACCTTTTCGCGAATCCGAAACGCAGGGATAGTTTGCAGCCTTCTGGAGCCAAGAAATTCCTGTCACGGATCTAATCGATACCGATCGGTCGATAAGTGGAAAACCTGGCTAGTCGTCGACGAGTTAGGCAAGCTCGCGATTCAAGAAATAAGAGGCGCGTAGGTTTGATCCGCCATATTTGGAAAGGCCTCGCCCACGATGAGGCGTCGCGGATCGTACAAGTAGAAAAATTATGCGCCAGCAAGACAAAAGGCAAAATGTGCACCGAGCGATATCCACGGTACTTATACCAATCCTCGACGTTCATTGAAGGAATCATTCAAAAATAAGATCCGTCCTTACGGCTAACATAGCCAGAGTCTGCGAACCGGTCGCCATGTCCCTCAATGCCGTCTCCAGCTGCATCGTGCCTTGGAAAACGCAGTCTGCATACAAGTCCGCTTGCAGTCCGTCAACGTGTTGCCGAATCAGGAGTACCAGTCCATTGTTTATCCCATTTTCCACCGACAGTTTGTTCGCGGCGAGAGTCGTCGAGTGCGTCTCGTCGTCCTCTACTGCCTCGATGATGACTAAAAATTCAATAATCATTTTCTGGCTGAACATTTTTTCCAAAGAAACAAGTGTTGCATCTTTCTCTACTGTCTCGATAATGCTTGAAAATTTGATAAACATTCTCTGACGGTACATGCCCTGCAATATTTGAATTCGTCCCCGCGGTATCAGAGTCTTCAAACACAATGATGCCCGGGTCTCAGCTGGAAATCGATATTCAATAATTCAAGAGTAAACAGTGAGGCTTGTTCCCAGGTGGAATGATTACAGCGGCATTAAAAAAAAATGCAAATTTAGATTGTCCGCTGCATCGGGTGAAAAGTAAATTGCTCCGGGCGAAAAATAAATTGCTCCGTGCAAGTAGTACATTTAATTTCAGGGACATGTACATGGAGTCGAGTTTTAATTATTTTTCTCCCCAAAAAAAAACGTGAAAATGAAGTTTAAATCCACTGATTGCTGTAAAGGAATTATTCTCTGGAGATAGACTCACCTCGGCTGTTGCGCCGATCCAGCATCAGGACGAACTTCTTTTGCCCAGAAAAATGCATAGAAAGAAGGATTTCGACATTTTGCAGGTGTGCTCGACTGTTTAAATGAGACACGGAGATCGCGAATTCATCCTCGAACAGGACATTCTGCAGACTGCTCGAGAGCCCTAGAAAAAAAAATCATCATTAGTATTATAATTTCTAGCGATGAGTGAATGCAGAATTTCGGATTTCTAAAAATTATTCAGATCTTGCATGACCGTAAGGGGTGGGTCGAGGTCGGGCTGATTGTGGGGACAGGACCAAGAAACACTAGAAATAATTCCGATGTATTTCGAGAGTGAGGTTTAAAAACCTTGGAAATTAACCGTGGGAGGTGGGAGGTCCCTGGATGAGAATAGACAAGAGTGCAACGCACCGTTGGAAAAAACACAGCCCTTCCGTTTTACCATCTCGACGATCCCGAGGGTCGCTTAAGTGGCAATGGCCAGCAATTTACCGGAATTGCTCCTAAACGTCTAATCGATATATCGACGTCTCGTTAATCCTTATCAGGCCTTTTCTACCTCTTGCTCAGAGGGCACGAAACAGTTTCAGCCCTCTAAGTGCGGTGAAAAATGTGTAACAGTCGGGAACTAATTGCATTTTACAATTACTGTCAATGCCGTTTGAGTTGACTGACCCTAACTGTCCCGGCTGATCGCTACTTGTGGCTTTTCTCATCACGTGCAGAACAGGTCTCCCGACGTCTAGAAATGCAGAATGCACGGTGAGCCCCGTCAATAAGAACGACAATGAAAACTAACGGGACGAAAGCGTAAACTCGCGTGACAAATGCATTATTCAGAGCGGTCGAACCGCAAGAACCGCCTCGTGTCCGCAGTCTCTCGAATGCGATTCGAGTCGCATTAGGTAATATGTAAAACGGAGATTAACTGAATTAGACTCGGTTCCGTAACCGCGGGTTAGTTCACGGGGTAAAGGATTCGGCACGGTCGTTAGTGCAGTGCCCTCTTCGGAAATAGGCCGCTTGCGTCAACGCCGTTAACGATGTCCTATAATTAAGCTCGTCACAAAAGTTCGACTCTTTTGACTGGACGAAGTCGCTCGACGCCTTGAATGTACCCGCTAAATGAACAACTTTCGGCTGAGTTCCTCGTCGTTAATCGTGATCGGCCACAACCTGTCGTACCTTCGTTGGTCGTAAGGGCGAGCACGTGTATGGCGCACCCCGCAAAAAGAACCCCAAGCGCCGCGACGAGCCGCCCCATTTCGGCCCCTGTTTTCGCAATTTAGTCGGTTCTCTCTTTATTCCTTCGTAATCGATGGGTTCCTAGAGAAGTTTCTCAGCCACCTCCTCGAAAATCGCCTCGACCACCCCCGCGCGACGAGTCTCCTCGGGCTACGCGCTTCGGCGCGGCCGTGCGCACGTAAAGAGACTGCGGCGTGTGTCGATATGTTCTTGGCGCGCCTTCGCGCGCGCGAGTCAGTCCCGATCTCCTTAGGTGGACGTACGGAGTGCACACTGGACCGAGGAAACAGGACGGTGCGACTTTTATATGGCGCCCACGACCGACAAGTTGGACTTTATGGGGCGTCCACAACATCGTCGACGAGTGCATCTGGTCGGTAGCTTATCTGCACCTTCGGTTGTGCTCAGGATCTGCATCTCTGGGTTTTAATAAGTGCACGAAGAATCATGAAGATTTCGCAATTTTTCATTTCCTCGCGTCCTTAACATCGCCGACGAGTGCATCTAGTCAGGTGCTTATCTACACTTCCAGTTGTGCCCGGGATGTGCATCTCTGGGTTTTAATAAGTGCATAAAGAATTATAAATATTCTGGATTTTCCGGTATTTTGGGATTCTTCGCGTCCACTGTCTCTTCCTGCTCTCCACATTAGCGACTACTTGCGCACCTTTCCGGTCCAGCAACTGGCATTCAAAACAGCGTCGAAAAAATGAGGAAATTCTGCCAAACATCCTGATAGAAAGAATGTACAAGGCCAAAGGAAGAAGAGATGGTGTAGGCTCGAGCGAGTTCGGAGCGAGTACGATTTTCGTAGGTGGAACTGCTTCCTACACTGGGAGGGGCCTGACACTTGGCGAGGTGTGCATTCAAGCATTCTTGTATAAACTTAGGATTATATAGTCGTGTACAAACGAGGCTCCTAGTTATCGCAAATCGCAAGGACATCGGTCCGAGATGAATACCCGGCATGAGGAGGATGTTACCCGGAGTGCGCGAATCCCTTTGCGAAGGGGATCGACGTCGAGTCCTTCTTTTATGATCCTATTCCTTTAATTCGAATCGTGATTTATCGATGGGCTAGAAAGTCTCACTACTTTGCAATTTAACATTTTACTCCGCCACGGACGACCGGCGTTTATAAAGACGAAGATATCCTCGGCCGAGTCGGCCGGCCACAATTCTCCCTCGCGTGTCGGCGGGGAAAAAGGCGTGACATTTAATTTAGAACTTATCTGAGTAATAAAAAACTAAAACTTATCGATCTCTTTACGATCGCCCCTTGTCTTCCGGCGGCGAGGGGCGGGCGGCTACACTCGGGATTATCTCGATTAAATCAAATGAAATCGTCCCGACAACTCCCCGGGCACTCTTACAAATATATTATTTCCCAGTAGCAAACAGACCCCTTCCCGGTATAAAAGAAAAGTCCTCCGGGGATCTCCACCCCAGACAGGAGTACACCAATTTTTCAAGCAAACGATAAGAGTACGGATAATCTTACCCGGCAATCCGTTCTCGCAATTTCTCGCCGACCTTCCCGGAAGTTGAATCCGAAAGCGAGACCGGGAAGTTCTCGACGTCCAGAAATCCCCAGGTTTAACTCCAGTCTTAATATCCCTCCTCGCAAAGTTTCGGCCTCCATTCTTCAGGGAACTAATCCCAGTATTATCCATTTTTCCTCCGATTCTTCATCCCATCTCCGGCGAGTTCTCATCTTCATACTTCTTTGGGGGACATCTGGAAAACGGTTTCTGGGACCGGAAGTCCCTGGTAGCGCGAAACTCGGCGCACATCTCCGGTCGACCCTCGAGGTCCGTCTTTTTCCCGGCATCTTTTACCGTGGATTCGAGGTCTTCGAAAAATTGCATCGAGCGCTGACAAATTGATGCAACTTCCGGTCCCCGCCTTGCTACACCCTCGGCACCTCGAATAGCGGTTCCGAGGCGTTTCGAGCCTTAATCGTGAGGCTTGGAGTTCGTCTTCTCGTCGATCGTCACGTCCGGCATCTGAAAACGTCACCTGTCTTACGGTTCCCTTGGACATCCTCTCGAGAAAGTTATAGAAAAAAGAAAATTATCTGGGCTCAAAATCAAAGCCCTAGTAATCGTATGTCGGCCATTTTTAATCGATGACGCCAGGCGAGAAAATCGCATAAAATTCCCAGCTGGTATTTTTCTGGGAAACAAATTACATTTTCCAGCAAAAGCACTGGGAAAAACTGTGTATCCACGAAATGAGTCAGTTTTTTGCGAATCATGGACTAGGAAATGAAACATCGAATTTTGAAAATGGACCTCCCAAAGCTAGGGACAATCCCAAGGTCCGATAATTACAAAGTAAACTCAATATCATCGTAAACACGGACAGTCCGACGCATTTTATCCATCCACTGACTATTTCGGCAATAAGCCTACGAAAATATAAATAGTCCGAATTTCATAGAATTTCCTCACTACCGGCGTCATTAATTAAAAATGGCCGACTCATGGTAACAAGGAGCTTAATTGATATGAAAGTGGCGTCAAAGGGGTCTCGCTTATGAAACTTTTCTCCTAACAGGGTGTACCGAATCTTTTGAAATTTCCCGACACTCATAAAATTGTACCTTTTATTAAGTCGCTTTCATAAAGAATTTTTTTTATTTCTATATAAAAACATTATAAGATCGTTTTCTGGGCCTCGATATTTACGTGATAAAATGTCAAACGGTTCGGTACATCCAGTTCGGAGAAAAATTTCTTAAACGATTGACTCTTTTTCGACGCCGCTTTCACGTCGCTTTAATGAGAAAACCCAGGAACCCGACTTTCACGTGCTTTGGATTATTTCAGGAAACTCTGATTAATTCCTGCTCACCTTGATCGCCACGACGTCCGTAACATCTTCATGGGTGTTGAAGTTCCTGAAGACACTCTGATCCTCGAGGCCGAGGAACCGCGAGGGCCGCTCGGAACCGGAACCCGACCCAGAAGCGGAACCGTTCCGCGCCTTTCGCCAAGACACCCGGCAAACTACTTCCCCGGCGGTGGTGCCTTTTTTCGCGAACGACGCTACTCTTTGCGACGCCGACATTCCCTGCACATAATATCATACACCATGCAATTCGGAGTGTATGCGACCGCGCCTCCGCCCTCTAAGAACACCCCTCGCCTCCCCTTTCGAGAATTTTTCGACACATTTCTTGACAAGTCGAATTTATTAAAGCTCATCCCTACAGTGTCGCCATCTTGGACCTCCACAGCAGATAATTCCGGTCTGGTTAATCCATCGGTTAGTTATACGGATGAAGGGAAAAAGTGACTACCAGCGCTCGGGATAATAAATACACGGTCAATTAGATGAGAAACAATTTAAAGGCGATATCTTTACAGTTTCTCCCGCGTACAGGCGTGTGGCTGGTAGAGACATTAAATAGCGATTAAAGTAACGCATACTACATGCGGCCATTGGCGCGCACTTGGCGCGCCATTCTACTTGGTACTCCGCCTCTTCGTGTCACTAACTCTATATACACCTAGAACTACTCCCTACACTACCTGTCATTTTTCCGACTAGATATTCGACAAGGTTCCAAGCCCTCGACAACTTCGCGGCTTGCCTAATCGTGTACTTCTGCTCAGGGTGCCCCGTGTAAAAAAGAAAATAAAAAGAAAAGAGTTGCGTCGTTTAAATTATATGTATATATTTCTTTCATCCAAGACCCGTAAACCGATCATAACTACTCCGTCATTAGTTAGCCCTTGCATATGTACGCCCTCGCCAGTACTCGAATTTGTGTATTAATTCCAAGAGCGACGAATTACAGAAGTCGGAAGTCGATTCCGAGCTACGGGGAGAATCGGAGGCCGAAATCGTCGCCCCCGCCGTATAATTTGGTACTCTACGATTGCGGAATCGAATTTAGCGGCCGACAGGGCGTTTTTTTATCGAGTGTCGATCCACGGTGCGGCATCGTCATGCGACCGTCGTCGATTTCCACTCCATGGGCAAATTCGGCCCCCACTTCCCCCAGGGTGGAAAATTAACGAGTCCCGAATCCCGGAAATGTCCTGATGGTCAAATCCCATTCCCGGAACGTCCATTTCCGGCTCCATCAGTCGAGGAGTTTTACCGACAAAGATGGCGGCGTGAGCCGCGTTTCCACGGTGGGTGCCCTGGCCAGTGCCTACAAGGAAATTACAGATTCGACCGTTTCCTCGGGGTGATGTGAGACCTGATAAGGAGATTTACAGAGCCCCACAATCCTACTTAACGTACACTCTCTCCGTTAACAAAGCTTGATGTTTCTCTTTGGAGCATCCTCGCAGGAAATTATCTTCCTCTATTTTAAAGACCGCCAAATTGCGAGCTCCTGCAAATCTCCTGACAGGCGTCGCGTCACCCTCCGAGCTCGAAACTGTTTCTCTGATGACATTCTGATGAATAAAAATGATGTTCCCGTTTCCCCCAGACTTTTTCCTGAGCAGGTCGCATCGGAGATTTACTTGCATGCAAAGTGCAACCGTATCGAATTCACTCGAAGCTTCCCGTATTATTGCCAAATCCATATAAATTACTTGCCAGGATTTTCCTTCCTCTATGAATAACTGCAAAATTGCTAAGAGGGATAGATGAGACCGTTAAAAAAAAAGCAAAACAAAAAACAAATACGATAATCGAGTTCGCAGCTTCGAGTGTGCAAGGTACGAGGAGATGCAGTTACTCACCTTTTTCCCTCTGCGAATATTGAAGGCTCCATAAACGATCGGATTCATGCAGGAATTCGTACAAGCAAAGAGGAAGAGCCCTTTTTGAATCCGCTGATCCACCCTTTTTGCCGAATCGCGATCGATCCAGTACCTGAAGGCAACGAGTAGACGTCAAATTAATTGATATCTCGATTTCTTTTTCAATTAACACCGAGACGTATGAAAGAAATATGGCCGTCAATTTTCCATCGATCTGTTTATCTCTCTGAATAAATCCCCCGATCGAGTACCCCCGACTGTAAAATAGTGTAATATAATTACCAGAGACTCATGACGTAGTAGGGTGTCCAGCAGACGAAGAAGACGACCACGATGATGATCGTCATCTTCAGGGTACGTATCCTGGCTCGCTCCAGAAATCCCAGGGACGAGCGCCGTATCCTGTCTACAATTAATAATTAATAATCAATAATTAATAATGCATTAAAAAGGATATCGAGTTGGTCTAAAATGTTTGAAAAAAATCCTACCGGCGTCCGATTCTTGAGATTTCCTGTAAATCTCTGCCAGGATGCTGGAGTACGTGTAGATGATAACGATTAGAGGAAACGCGTACATCGTTACCATCCCAAATAACGAGTAAGTCAGCTCGTGCGTGTAACTTGGAAAGGTGTTGTAGGTGACGCATTGTTCGTACCAGGTGAAGTTTGGATGAGTCTCCACGTGGAACACCAGCATCTGAACAGATGATATAGATACCTCGTGTACCAAGTTCCAATCGTCACAAGGACGAGAGCTCTTACCTGCGGCATCGAGCAAACTACCGAACACCCCCAAGCCCCAGTGAGCATAAGTTTTCCCCGTCGATTAATGTCCGTCAATTGCAGAGGCTTCAAGATGGCGTAATACCTGCAATTTTCCAAGGTTTCCTCAAGGTAGAGCAAGATACACTTTGAGAACTCGTTTTTCCGAACAACTTTTCGAGGCAAATATCGAGGAAAAGGTGGAAACCTTGTACCTGTCGATACTGATGCAGACCAGGACAAAGGACGACAGATATAGGCCGAACATCCTGAAGAAAGACATGATGCGACACATCGCGTCTCCAGCCTTCCAGGAGACAGTCGCAGCCCAGCCGATTTCCAGGGGCATCATCAGGAAAGTAACCTTATTCAAAGTATCGATCAATCGCGCTGATAAAATGGGAAACGCTTTCAGGAAACGCGGTCGCCGCGTGATTACTCTTACCAGGAGGTCCGCAATAGCAAGATGCAACAGCATAGAGTTGATCCTGGTCCTGGCAGAGCGCTTCCTTTTCAATATGAGGAAGAGCACGGTGGAGTTGCCGATCGCCGATACGACCATCAATACACTGTACGTGACAATGCTGACCACATGGCCCTCATTGAATCGCATATCGATTGGGAGTTCGAGTTCGGAGTGATTGGTCGCCATGATTGCAAGTGGTCCTTGCACCGCCTCGATTTTATGCGCCTCCATGGCGATGCTTCAACATGGGCCCCTGGAATCAAGTAAAAATGTCGGAATTTGTCGTCAAAAGGTCCTTAGGCGTCTAGGAAAAATCCAAGAGAAATTGCTGTGGCGAAGGGAACTCCCCTAGACCTCTCACACGAGAGGAGCGGTTCTCCCCTACCTGTACCTGTGTACAAATCGACGTTGTCACCACGTCCCGATGACGCGTGTGAAACGAAACGTATGGACGGGGTACAATTTCCCTCCCCGACCCGGGGGAAACGCACGTGCCGGGGAAAATTCATGAGACCCGTCGCGAAGGGTGGCTCGCGACAATTCCTCGACTCGAGATAAAGTTCCGGCCAGGCCGAAGGTCCGAGGTCTCCGTAGGTGGCCTCGCGGCCAATATTTCACCCGATGTTATATCGACCTACAGGCGGAAACTGGTGATCCCTCGCCTGCCAAGGAGTCTCCCAGGCAGGAATTTCGCGATATCTTCTCTAGGTCGCAATTACGAATCCCTACTTGTCACCCGACTTCGTGCTCGAAACTACTTGAAAGCCAAATTCGAGATTCCGCCGTGGAATTCCTCGCCAAATTTCTCGACAAACGACTCAAAGTGCACGAAGCCGCCCTCCAATATTTCAGTCGATTTTATGTCGACTTATAGGTGGAAACTTGTGATTCCTCACCTACCAAGAGTCTTCCAGGAATTTCGTGATACCCTCCTTAGATCGGAATTGCATATACCAGGACCCCCCTAGAAATGGCAGAACTTAAGATTTCACCTTGGAATTTCTCGGCAAATTTCTTGGTAGACGACTTAAAGTACACGAGGCCGCCCGCCGCTTCGAGATTTCAATTTGTGATCTCGATTTCAATCGTAAATGTTTATAAGACCGGTGTTTACGTGCGAATTGGACGCGTAGGTTAACCTGCCCCGAAATCCGGACGCGTCGGGCTTAATTTAAAAGGACCCTTTCACAATGCTCCAATATGCTTTGCTAGGAATTCCAACTATTCGCCTTCCTCGAATTCCAAACGATAAATTGGAAAAATCGAACCATTTGAAACTGATTCATTTATACTGGAATGAATGACTGATACCGTTGATTGACGATTTCACATGTGCAGCCTTTCGATAAGAGAATTTATAAAGGGCCATTAGAGTCCTCGGGTACAGATAACATTTTCTTGGGAAAAGAAGGGATTCTCAGAAAGAATTTCTTTCCATATACTCGCCAGGACATGAGACATGAAAAGTGAAAAAAGAAGATAAAGGGTAACACGCCATTGGACAAGAATTGGACGGAGCAATTTTTCTGGCTGGCTCTCTTGCCTGGAAATTCGCTGAATATATCAATTCCCAGTATTCAATCAGGAAAACTTCTAACATATGTTTCCTCCTTCAAGATTTGAGTTCGCGGAAATTTCAACGATCCTAAAGGCTCCCTTTCAGGGAGAACTTTCCGGGGCGGGCCTGGTGAATTCAAGCGAAAGCCTTCAAATCATAAATTAAATTTGTCGCACATTTTCGAGAATCAGATGGATTGGCTTGATTAAAAAGGAATTAGTTCCGGTAATCCTTCGTGGAATTTATTTCGACGGTGAATGGTTAATCGATAATAGTTCTCCGGTACCCTTGAAAATTTATCCAAACGTTATCGAGGAATTTAACATGGTAAACGCAGGTCATAAATAGATCAAAGCAGGATATTTTTGAACAATACTTCCAAGCAATTAATTACACCGGTTCACTAACATGAACCAGTTTAATTAATTTCTGGTAGTACCCACTATAGACGAATGTAATACGCTCTGTCCATATCTAGTTGAATAATACACCGAGCCAATCGGATCATTCGGCGATCCGACTGAATAATTCAGCGACTCGAGAAAATCCCGTGCACAATGCGTCTCCTTTTCATCTAGGCGTTAAAATAAGTAATCTTCACGCGGTTTGGCGTCGATTTCGAGCCCTTTCAGAGCGAATCGTCGTAAATAAAAATACAGCGTCACAAAGTCGAAGCCGATCGATCTTCCTCGCCCACCAAAAATAACGCCGAGTGACAGATAAAGTTAGATTTTGCCGATACGAAGAAAACGCCACGATTGGCAGTCCCACCGGTGAAATGCAATTATACAAGCATTTTGACTTTTGGACCGGCACGCAGGTGATAGGCGCCGGTATCGGGTTGTCAAGATTCAATTTTTCGAGAATTTTTAGCAAACAGAGTAAAAGCAACTCGTGACTTTTGTACTTATCGTCTGGCACCATGATTGAAAGTTCGCGGATAAATTATCGTTCTTTTTTGGCGGCGAATTTTTCCTAGATAATAAGGAGATAATGGCATTCTGAAGCAGACCTACCGGAAAGGCGGGAAAAAGTAATCAGGAACATCAGAGAATATAGTATTAATTAACGTGCGGCACATTCTGTTGCATAAAAAAAAGAAATAATCAACTTTGGAACATTTACAAATTGGCCCGTGAATTTGTTCTTCCGGAACAACAAGATGAAATGATACCTCTGGGCAATAATGGGGATTCTTAAAGTTTCTTTCACTATACCTGACGGAAGAGGCTGCAAGTTAGGTGGACCGTCGATTCACATAATCGCGAGGAATTCCGCGAAGTGCACTTTGCGAATCTCACAGGTGGTTTATCAATCACTGTTTACTAGACAATATCACGAGGTAAGTTTCTCCGGATCGATAAACGGTAACAGGGTTAGAATCGAATTAATCGATCTACCGGTAAACGAATCACCCTCGATTAGTCCTAGTCTTGAAATTTCCTCTCGTCTCGAGTTTCCATTACAGAGGGAGAGAGAGAGAGAAAGAGAAAGAGAGACCTGCTTCTCGAGCGATTAGATACTTGGCTTGCTCTGGCCTCTGTCGGTAGTTATCACTTATCGCGAAGGTCGCTTCAATTCATCGACCTATTAATCTAAGCGGATATAATTAAACGCTACAAAATCATTAACATAAACGAAAACAAGTAATCGTCGGAGCGGACATCTTCCTGAAATCGCCGAATGTCAGGGACTTTCCAAGAGCTTCGACTCGAAAAGAACTCTCGACTGTGCGAAATCTTCCCATGATTTGATTCCCCACTCTTGACATCGATCCTCGATATCTAACTCGGCCGATTGGATTTATTTAAGAATCTAAACTAAGGGCGAATAGGAATTATTTCCTCGGAAGTGGTGAATAATTCAGCGAAGGAGGCAGGTTGCTCGTTAAATGGAGGTCGTTTACTTCATCCCTTACTCGGTTGGGAAAGGAGTTAGGGAACGACTTGGTCGGAAGAGAGTCGCGGACCGATACTGAAACGCCAGCATCAACCTACGGAGCAACCAACCTACTGTAAGAACGGCGCCAGCGCAATCCGCGAATCAACTTTCGGATTATTATGCTCCGCACCCTCTCGCTCCTGCCTAGACACTTCCCGACATCGTCCATTGGCTCGCACCTTCGAGTTCGCCATGTTCTCCCGCTCTCGCAAAAATACCCCTCTCATAAATCTCATGCACCTTCTTTCGTTCTTCACTCATTAAATCATGAATTTTAATGCTCGAAACCACGTGGAAATCAGACGGAAATCGGGAGCTGAAATCACTGGAAATCATTGCATATCACCGAAACATTGTCGCCACTTTTTCAGGCCGAGCGTCATTTGTTACCGAATCATATTGACTATACCGATAAATCCCGGATTTAGGAGTACCATGGAAACGTAGTCTTAATAAATTAAAAAATGATTTTTTTTCCTAATATCAGAAACCACTCCCTGAAACTATGGAGAATTCGAGGTGCAATCATTATTTTAACGACGAGGAGGTTGTTTGCAGTCGTTTAACGAGCATCGGGGGTAAATATATATATATACAATAATACATGGTAGATACTTTGAGAGAGCAGGGTGCATTAAGAGTGCATTTTTAGAGAGCAGGGTGAATCGAGGGTGCACGAAAACCCAACGTGCCGGCGATCGGAAAGTCGAGCTTACAGCTGCGCTACAGATCGGCGGTAAAAATCGTACAAATCTTTCCGTACGGGCTGAAATCATTTAGCGGAATCGTTTTCTCTATTAGTCTATGCGCATGAGGTCGGCGCGCATGCGACCACTCGTGCCAACTTTGGTCTCGAAGTGCAAAGTACATAGAGCGCGCGAAAACAGTCGAGCGTACGAGAACATATACGCCGGATAGCATATATACGTCTCCACCTTCTTCTTCGCCGATAAGTAAACGTTTTCCCGAGGCCGATACAAAACGAGTCACTCGAAATAATGAATAACCTAACATCAAGAAGCCAAGACCCTTCCCTGGGTTTTCAGCTTCCCTATCAGGACACCGTACCCCCCGTACTTGACAAATGCATCTCCTTTCCCGACCAATAAATCTGCGCTAAAAATCTCCCCAACCCCTAGAGCGACTTTCCAGCTTCCACACATTATAACAAAACACAGAACACCCTACCTACCCTGAGAGAAAGAATTCACCGAACTAAAGAAATACTTTGTTAAATCGAATCTGACTCAAATCAACTCAAATAAGTTGCCAATTCCGACAAAATGTTGTATTCAATTTATTTGACTTTATCCTGAATCAAACAATAATTCTTTTAATTGATAAAATATTTCTTTCGTTCGACATTTTTTTTTTCTCATCGTATACTCTATGCTAATATTACTAAGAGAGAAAGTTGGAAGTTTAGAGACGAATACAGATGTTAAATAAATCATAAAAGAAAAATACGAAACGGACCGGGAAACGCTGGAATAATAGGTATTTATGATTTTAGCAACCCAAGTCAATAAAAGACCCACCATGCAAATTGACTGACAGCAGAACCTGCGAAACCGTATTAAAAATATAAAAAGGAAGGCGTCGGAAATAACGCACCGTTGACCGATAATTGTAGTACGCCATCGTTTCCACCTTTCTATAATTCTTCATTGAACGCATTGAATCGATAAAAAATAATTGAGCACGAAGAACTAGACACCCTTCGTCGAGAGGTAGTAAACTCGAAACTTTACACATATATATCGATACGTACGTATAAATATTTACTATATTATTCACATATTTACCCGCTAAACTTTCCTACAGCTTCTCGTGCAGCAGCTGCATCTGCAGCAAAACTCGGCCTTTAAAAAGCTCGTATCTCATCGCCCTATTTCCCTCGGCAGTTTCTTCCGCTCCTTATCCGAGCACCTGCCGCACCGAGAAAGAAAGGTTTCCGCGATATATCGAAAAGTAAACGTTGACCAAGAAGAAAAGTACTTAAAAGTCTGGGCGATATATCGAAGAAAAACGAAAGCGTCGATCGAGATGAAAAGGAGCGAAAAGTCTCCGCGGTATATCGAAAAGAAAATGTCGACTCGAAGGAAGATCGACTGGACCGAGGGATTCTATTCGCAGCCAACCACCCTTGAAACCGTTCGTCGAACAACTGTCCATCCGCGGATCATCCCTCGTGCACCAATTGATCTTCTCGGGCCAATTAGGACCGGAAACGCCAAACGCGGCCGATTCTCTGAACCGCCAAGCCGCTATTAAGGTCTCTGTTAACGCTCGAATTAACGTGGGCTCCAGTAATCCCGAAAGCCGGGACCCGTGAAAGTCGATATTCGATGTCGCACTAGTCGGCAGACGATAAACAGAGGACGGCATAATAGGGTTGGAATCGAGTCAAATGGCGCGGGAAGATCGAGTCTGTCCGATAGCTCCAAGGTCCCGCGATAACAAGGATCGCGATAAGAAGGCGCGCTCGTTACCGACGGAGCCACCACAGGTTGCAGTCTCTAATTGTTCCCCCCCTTGTAAAACGACGATGGTTACTGCGACGAATTTCCATGACTTTGAGAGGAGAGAGAAAGAGGGCTAAGCAAAATTCGACATAAAAAAAGAAAGAACATATAACATGAATATAGAGGCTATAAGGAAGGTCTTGACCCCCATGAAATTTCAATGTTTTAAAAATTTTTTTTAGAGACGTTTTAAAAATTCTTGGAAAAGAAATGGAATTTCATGGGCGTCAGGACCTTTCTTATGGTCTCCAAATTCACGTTGAAAAGTTTCAAACGATTCAGTACACCCATTTAGGAGAAAAGCTTCATGAACGGTCGACCTCTCAGATGCCACTTTCATATCCCCTTAAGACCTTCGCCGATATCTAAGATAAAGTTAAACATAACGATAAGAACTGGTTAATGTGGCAACAAATTGTAGGAAATTTAATATGGCGTCGATGTCAATTTGGCTGGCCAATTCTTACCGTTACGCAAAGTATCTACAAACACCTTTTCTTCGCCACACAAAGCACTTGATGAAGCAAATGTGCGTAGATGCACACAATCGCATAAGTAAATTGAATTCTAGAAGCATTTGCTGCGCGTTTATTTGCGCCTTTGGCATGCGGTCTGACTAAAAAACGGCGATTTTACTGCGTCGAATTTTCCTATCATTGAGAGGCAAGGACAGCGGCGGAGAACTTGAAAATAAAGAACAGACGAAAAAAATCAAAGATTATCTAATTTTGCAGGTTATCTCACGGTTTAACAGTTAAATATTTACGGTCCGACTCCCAATTTATATCTCTCTTAGATTTGCTTTTTCCTCGAGATCTCTACGGGTTCGAGAAAAATTATCGTGAAATTAAATGAGAATCTTCACCTCGGTTCTTCCCTTTCGTTCTCGAAAGCGTACTCTACTCTACTCTATCTCCAAATACGAGTACCTCTGGAAACTCTATACCCTCTGAGGTGGAAATCCTTGACTTTTGAAAAACTTCGTAGTGGGTATAAAAAAATCTGCTGAAAATGCGGGAGTTAAAATCCACTTGACTGACCAAAAGTTTCCTTTACTACTGCACCTGCCCCACGGCTGACTCGACCCATACGTGCATCACTTCTTTACTCCTGCCTCGTGTAAATCACATCCGAAGCTAAGAAAGCAATTTATGAAATGAATCCCTCTCACCTCGAACAAGCAGAAATTAAAAGTCTTACCCCGATCTATCAAAATTCCACCGGATAAGAATTGGACCCGATAAAATCGACCACCTCGTTTCTGAAATTTCGAAGAAATTGCTCCTTGATTTCCAGGACGACACACTGAAATTCCAATTACATTGCAATCGGCTCGGAAGGTCAAATAATAAAATGGTTGACTAGGTGAAAATTACAAGGAGGGTAAACCGAGTGTCGGTACACGTACATCGTGAGGAGGGTTTCTACTTTCACACGAGAGAAATATCATCCCGAGACTAATGGCTATCGGATTAACGACTGCACGAAGTCATATCGAAATTCGAGGCGATGCAGCGGGAGGAGACGAGGAGGATGCTTTCCATCGATTTTGGCGTACCTTTCGCAACCTAAGACACCGAAGACATGCACGATTTAGCCCCGTAAAATGCGTGCCTTCGCAACGGGCCGCGATAACGCGATAATAATTATAGTATTATTATAACAAGCCGCGATAGAAAGGAATTAAAGTAGCGCCCCGCTACTTACGATTCGATTATTCCGGTTCAGCAGTGGCCTGTAAACAGTGGATCGCGCCGATTAACCGAGGGACAGGAACAACTCCGTCGGTTTTACCCAATCTCCGCGAATTGACCTTACGGCATCACCGAAGGAATTATCTTGTTGCGTCTAGCAATCGCTGCATTCAAAAAAAGACAAGACAAGGAAATCCCGCCGACCGATTTCGAACGGTTTAAGAAATCTGAATCATATCGCGATAAACTGCAAAAAGACGGGGGGGCCGGTGCAATCTCTCCAATACCAATCTACAGAGCAGCGCGATTAAAGTCCCGATTCCCCGAAATTTGGCCGATCGTTATCGAGCCGTTATCACTGGTATCCAAGGACCAGGTGTCGATGCACTCCGAAGCGAACCTTCAGTTCATCTTTCGAGTAGAATGACGAGTCCTTTTGCGGCTGTTCGAACTTGTGCGCGTTGATAACGATTCCCTTAGAGTTATCGCTTTCGGATCCGCGACTCCTGGACCGCGAGAAGACTCGACCGTAGAGCCGGGCATCTATCCGAGCCAGTTTCTCGAGAAGACCTCTCGATATCGCCTCTCGGGGTGATTTCTTCGAAGAAACTCGATAAGGTAGATACCCAGATCCGCGGGAGCACCGTCACCGGATCGAGAGAGCCAATTAAACGGGCGGAGATCGGCAAGAGACTGCAGATTCCTCTCCATTATACGCTGGCGAACACTTAGCCTAACACCGGAGGTCAAGTGTCAACTGGCCACTGATAACCACACATGTTTACCGCAACGATACGCCCCGCAAGTCCGTGAGGTCAAACGTGCGAAACATTTAACGTCGATCGACTCTGCACCTTGTCACCGTGACACGAACCCCAATCAAAGTCGCCCCCACGACGATCGGACGTTCCCTCAATTCTTTTTTTTTTTTTTCCGTACCCGACACCTACCTTCTACTTACAACTACTAAATTATCCTGGGAAGTGCGTTTCCCTTAAGATGCAAAGACACGGTCGCAACCCTCCCGGAAAGGGGGAGAAAATTCGAGCGATTTCTTTTCCCTTAAAATATTTATCCGTTCACGTAGAGAACGCGACACGTGGGTCGATCGTAAGATTTGACACGTATATTGGATTACTCATCGCTGTCATTCACGCTCTTGTTTTTTACGTTCAATTCTCAACATCATCACTTAACCGATTGACCTTGCTCCTAATAACGTTGTTTCGTTTAGCAACATACGATCCTGCCCAAAGCGACCCGAGAACGTGTGAAAGCATTCCCTGTTTGGCGTATTTTACAGAAACCACCATGCATAATACCTCCCCATACCTCGTTGTTTATCATTAATGATCTCAATGATCGCGTAATTGTAGATGTGTGCTAATGAATTGCAGTCTGCGACCCAGTAATTTTGAATAGACTTTATGTAGCCTAGGCAAATGCGTATGATGTATGGCACGAATGGCTTTACAGGGATTAGCAATCAAGGATCCCAGATTAAATTGATCTCTACAGAATGCTTTGCGGTGTATTGTACTTAACAGTAATTTGCGGTAATACGAAAATCCGCTTGTAATTAATGCTGCACTTGACAACCGTGAACGTGCTCTCCGTAAGCTCAAGAAATAATTCTTGTCTTCTTTAGGATATTTTATTATCCTTAAATTATTAAGGTAAAATTAGAAATAACACTCCAAGGAGGGAATGATTTGGATTGTATGTACAGAATAATAATTATACCTATAATATTAAGTATTTTCTATTCTTCCTCATTGTCCTGTTTCACCCTCCGCTGCCTTAATTTTGCCAAACAACGATTTGTACAACTCATTTTTAGCGAGATCTGTCCATGTGTCGTTCACAGTGATTGGCGCCATAAAATTGACTAGTTTTGTATGCACGTTGAATCGGATTCGTCTGCCCTTTGTGGCTCTGGTATCAATTTTTCTTTTCATTTTACTCCTCATGTTCTGCAACAGGATCCACTGTTTACTCAATTGTATCGGATCGGTCACGTCAGAGGATTTGTACTCGATCAGTTCCCTTAAAAGTTGATGGTAAAAATCGTCATCGTCGTAGATCTCGGAGTCAAATTCTTGAACAGCTCGACCATCGGTGTCTTCGGGGGTGGTTGAAGACTTTCCAACGATCTCGTACTCCGACCGCTTCAATCGAGTTTTCTTCAAGACTTTTAATTTGTCACTTAGAACAAAATCAATCTGACTGACTACAGACTGATTACTACTCTTATTCAGCTTACCAGTCGCAACACGTGTCTTGTCATTCCACTTTTGTATCACAGAGTTCCTATAACTCGAGTAGGCTTTGTGATTTTCAGCAAGAATATTTTCGAAATCATTTAACTTTAATCTCTTCCGTGGTAAAATTTCGTTTTCTTCTTCTTCTGAGGCTTCTTTACCGTTTTCTACACTCTTGTCCTCTTCCATGTCTTCATCGGTATCCGATGGAATTTCTTCATCCATAGAGTCTTCTTTGTTTAAGTCATTACCCTGGTTTTCATCCTGCTTCCTTTTTTTACCCATCTTCTGCATATCTTTAGTTTCTGGGTACTTTTTTAAAAGAGTACTCTGCAACTTTAACATGTTCTCTAGGACATCGATCAACTTCTGCTTAGACTCGCCTGCAGCTTTAGCAAAATTGTTATCAGATTTAAAATTCTTGTAAGCATCATATTGAGGCATCTTGTTACTTGTTACCAGGCACTTCTGTAACTTGATTCTAATTTCTAGAAAATTTTCCCAAAGCTTTAGTTGATCTCGCACACAGTTGCCTTTTTCAACATCATCCCGAATATTGGAAACAGGGATGGTTCCGATAATGTCTTGTTGAGTTATACCCCTACGCAATGGATTATCCTCATCAACTTCCGAATCGGTTACTTCGTCAGAATTTTCCTCTTCTCCAGAGACATCGGAAGCATCTTCATCCGATGTCTTGGCATCGCTTTCATCATTGTCATCCCCAGCACTATCAGACCCCTGAAAAGCCTGCAAGTTACTGTCAGAATCTTCTTCTATTGAATCATCATTTAAACTTGAACCACTTTTTTCCTCGTAAACGTCCTTTCTCGAAATCTTTGTCCCTCGGTACCTGTAAACATAAATATAGCAACTTAATTAAATATGAAACATAACCTCTAATGGAGGTTAGGTTGATAACGTGGCCCAGATAAAATCTACGGAACCCAACAGTAAATCCTCTTACCTTTCGTCAACTTGATCAAGAAGTTCCACATTTTGCTTTCTAAAGCTTGAATCTTGAAAATCATCAACTGCATCGCTCTCATCAAAGTGTTCAACAACTTTTGCTCTTGTATCTTCGATCTCGTCATCCGAGTCGAAATTTGTAGGAGCTGCCGTAACCAGATAACTGATTTTCTCAGCCAAACTCGTGACTTTTTTCTTCAACGACATTATGATAAACACGGGAAAAATCTATTACTTCGACTTCTAATAAATCTCATCTAATTCCATAGCATCAGCAACATATTCAACGTGACCTTGAACTAAGCCCAAGGACCTAAAAAGAGAAAGAGCAACATACGATTCACCTAACCATTAATGCGTTCGCTCTGCCCTCTGGTAAGGAAAGAGAAAACTTCTTTCTCCGAACAAACTGAGCGGAACAAGGATGTGGCGACATTTAGTTGCAATACCTGAAAACTTTTATCAGACATGCTGGTGTTAACTAATCCCTTGCAGTGAATTGCACTCAATTACTGGCTTTATTAGAGTAGAGCCCTTGGTTACTCTGGGGCCAAAAACAAAAACAACAACAACAACAACAACAACAATTGCACTCAATTGATAAAAAATAAGCAAAGGAACTATCATGATATCAAGCCTACCTATCAACTGTTGGAATATATAATATATAATATATTTTATAACATATTGTCGCAATGACGGAAGAAAAAGCTACAACCCAGGAATTCAAGCTCGATCCTGACTGCGAGCTTCGTTTCGAAGTCGAAAGTAAAAATGAAAAAGTTACTTTGGAGGTTAGCTTTTCTCAAATAGCTTTGAAATGTTTGATATTGTGTGGTCACGAATAAACTATGAATTTATTATATTTCAGTTGAAAAATGGACTAGCTGAAGTATTCGGTACAGAATTGGTAAAAGGTAAAAAATATGAATTTTCTGCGGGTGCCAAAGTTGCAGTATTTACATGGCAAGGCTGTACGGTGGAATTGGTGGGAAGGACGGATGTCAGCTATGTTGCCAAAGAGACACCCATGGGAGTATACTTGAACTGTCATGCTGCCATGGAACGAATGAGAGAGGCGGCTGAGAAGGATGACACCCGAGGACCAATAACCATGGTTGTTGGTCCTTGTGACGTTGGCAAATCGACTCTGTGTCGGTTACTGCTCAATTATGCAGTTAGAATGGGAAGACGCCCTATTTTTGTTGATCTAGATGTTGGTCAGGGTCATATTGCCATTCCAGGCACAGTTGGTGCGCTCCTAGTAGAACGACCTTCAAATGTTGTCGAAGGCTTTAGTCAGCAGGCACCACTGGTTTTTCACTTTGGACATAAGTCTCCCAGCATGAATGCAACTTTGTATAATCTACTTGTATCCCGTTTGGCAGAAGTCTGTTCCGATAGACTTCAAGCTAATAAAAAGGCCAGAGTTTCAGGTATCATTATAAATACCTGTGGCTGGATTAAAGGCGGAGGGTATAAAATGTTAACTCATGCAGCCCAAGCCTTCGAAGTGGATGCGATTTTAGTATTAGATCAAGAGAGATTGTACAACGAACTTGTGAGAGATATGCCCGATTTTGTAAAAGTAGTTTTTTTACCAAAAAGTGGCGGTGTAGTAGAACGAAGTCAAACACAAAGGATTGAGGCGCGTGATCAAGGTGTACGAGAATATTTCTATGGATCACGTACGCCACTATACCCACATAGTTTTGAAGTGAAGTGGAACGAGGCACGGCTTTATAAGATTGGAGCTCCGGTACTTCCAGCTTCCTGCATGCCTTTGGGCATGAAGGCTGAAGACAATTTGACCAAATTAGTTGCAGTTACGCCAGGACCTAGTTTGCTACACCATTTATTATCGGTATCTTTTGCCGATTCTCCCGAAGATGACGTTGTTCAGACCAATGTAGCAGGGTTTGTGTGTGTGTAAGTATCCATTAAGTACGTCTTTCAAGACAAAAGTTTATAAGTAAATCATAATATATTAATCATGCTACACTTTTTTCAGCACAAATGTTGACGTTGAACGACAAACATTCACGGTACTGAGTCCTCAGCCAAGGCCTCTTCCCAACACAGTTCTCTTGCTTTCAGATATTCAATTCATGGACAGTCATTAAATTTATTCTAAAAAAAATGTTCCAGCTAACAGGTGTACATAACATACTATATGCAATGTAAGAAATCATTTTGTATTTGCCATGTGTCATGCAATTGGATTATTTTTTTATCAGAAATTATACTGCAATGGAGGATACCAACAAAATTAGTTCAAAAACCTATACAATAAACTGGAGTTTACATCCAAGTTAATTTCACAATATTAGTTGTATGGGCGCTATAATTTAATAAAACAACTTTTACATTTATATGTATTTACTTTCTTTCCAATCACCTATCCTGATCAATGAGAAATTAAATCTACACATTGACTTGTAACGTCTCAAGATGGCAGTTTGGAATTATCAAGTATGATTTTTTCTGTTATAATTACTACATGCAAATGAGTGAATGTATAATGAGTATCGAATGCCATGACCAGTCGTGTCTGACAAAATGTGCGATTCATAGCGTAATCAGTTCTGTAAGACATTGGAAATATTTGAATGACCTATGCCCCTTTTGTTGCGGTATCTAGTCCACTTGGACGGCTCTTCGTTTCTCCTTCTGAAGTCTTCATGATACTTAAACTTATTTACATCGTGAATTCTAAAGGGATACTTCAAGTATGAATTGTCTGACTAGCAACAGTGAAATTGTGTTGTCAACAGCTATGGGCCCTTCTATGACACTTCGAGAGCAGGAACGTCGAGGTATTATTATATAAAGGATCGTAAGATGTATCCATAGAATGGCATGAGCAGTTTAAACATTTAATTAAAATAATGCAGTGAAAATTTCCTATAGGAACTAGCTTGCTGGGGACGGTCTTCTTGATAATAAATTCAACTCTTGGAGCAGGACTTTTAAACTTCCCTCAGGCCTTTGACAAGTCTGGTGGCATTGCCACGGCTATCATTATTCAGTTCGCTTTCCTGGTGATTATTACTGCCACTTTGATTATTTTAGCAAATTGCAGCAACATTACAAACACCGTAACTGTGCAAAATGTACTGGCAGAGCTTTGTGGGGCTAAATATTTGACACTGTGCAGCCTGTGTGTCATAATTTACAGTTTCGGTTGCTGTATTACGTTCTTGATTATTATTGGCGACCAATTCGACAGGGTCTTCGCAACTTTCTATGGGGCAAACTTCTGTCATTATTGGTAACAACTGACATCATACAATTTAATATTTAATCAAGGTGAATATTAATGTGAAATGATAAATTTGAACATTGTTCCAGGTATCTGTCCAGACCCTTTGTTATAAGTTTAACATGTGTTGCGTTCATTCTACCATTATGCTTCTTCAAGCGACTGGACATGTTAAGTTCTACGAGTTGCCTTGGGTGTGGAACTATTGTTTATGTTACTACATTAATAATTTATCAGTATTTTGCACTTGATAACACTCCGAAGTCTATGAAAATCTGGCCCGAGATGGGTACCGAGGCTCTTCAAATTGTTCCAATTATATGCTTTGCATATCAGGTATTTAATAGGGTAGAGTTACATTAGTTTGATTAAAACAATTTACAGTAAGATTGCTGTTAACATATTGCATTTGTCCTTTCACAGAGCCACATGACTGCAATACCTACATATAGTTGCATGAAGAATCGTCAAGTTGGAAGGTTTGGAGTTTGCGCAATAATAAGTATGATCATCTGCTTCTTGGTATACAGTGTGGTGGGAATTTTTGGTTATGCAACTTTTGGTATCGGCAAAGTACCTAGTGACATACTTCAAGGATATACAGATAAAAGTGCAGTATTGACGATTGCAATCATCTCAGTGGCTATTAAGAATTTCACCACATATCCAATCGTATTGCTCTGTGGTCGTGAAGCACTATTCGGTCTAATTAAAAGAGATACAGATGCAAACAATACCGCCAGGATTCTATTCACAGTACTTTGGTTCTTTTCGTCCCTGGTTATAGCAATTCTCGTACCTGATATCGCTCCAGTAATTAGTCTGTTGGGGTGCCTATCGGCAGCATTTATTTTTCTCTTCCCAGGCATTTGCCTTTTCCAAAGCACTCTTTTGAAAGACCCAGAACTATTTTTGAACAAGGATAAACTTTTAATAGGAATCTCAATATTTATCATTGCTCTCGGTGCATTTGTGTGTGGTGTAGTCCTGATGGAAGCTTTCAACGACTTAAGCTCAACCCCATCAAAACCTCGACTAATCACTGGCTTCCGAATAAACCTCAAAGAAAGTCTATGCATTTAAGTACAGGATGTATCTTTTAATACACCGAATTGAAATTGAATATTTTCTACCGGAACACAGAAGGCAGACTCAGAAAGACTGAAGTGTAATTTAAAGATTCTGTTAATAGTTAACACTAAATAAGACTTTTATTCCAATGACCAATTTAACTTAAGATCTCATGTGATATTATTTAGTGATTAATGTTATAAATAAATTCTTTCCTTTTTTAATAACCTGATCAATGTTATAACGTCCCAGTTACAGTTAATTTTTTTGCCTTGTAACGTTTTCAACGTATACATTTGTCGACTTGATTTCTCGAGTTAGCCACCGATTACTCATCAGTTGTCGTCGGAGAAATCGTGCAGTGATACTCCCTGAAGATCGATGACCTTGTTAATAGTAGCTTTACAGAAGAAACATTCTCTACTGTTCAGAAGATGACGATCTATACAGGCTCGGCAAGATTGGTGACGGCACGGTTGAAACGTGGCGGCGATTGGATATGCATAACAAATTGGACAGACGTTTTCATCGTCACTCGTTAATTTCGAATCGGGTAGCAGGGTAGTATTTAATTCCAAATAATTTATCATTCTCCTCACTCGAGCAATTTCCTCATCCGTCACGTCTTCTTTATCTGAAATTAAAAACAACAAAAATTAGTAGGAAATGCGTTTACTATACTCTTAATTGTCATTAAGTCACGTTGCACTTACAATTGAGCAAAGTGAAGGGTTTAATGTTTCTAATTTTGGTATTCTTTTGCGATTCTCCCAGCACAAAGGTGAGGGAGCCTATTTGAAAGCTCGGTTCCGTAAGAAGCGCCATCGTTACCCACGATACATCTCGCGTATCCGCTAGAAATTCGAGATTCATTAATCACTGTATTAACTGATAATACGATATACAAGAACGGTAAAATTATAGCAAGTGCTTACGTTCAAACGTCGTCATTTCCTCGTCGAGAAGAGCTAACAATATACCGATGACAGCCACCAAAATTGGAAAGTGATCTACCGAGTCGAGGTCAGGTATATCCAACAAAACGACGTGTTGAAAGCATCCGGTCTGTGAACTTACACGGTTCAATATTTGACACAGCAGCTGCGAATGAAAATTACCTCAATTGATTCTCTTCGTTGGATAAATACAATGCCACTTGGATTAAATACCTGGCATAATCTGGCTAATAAATTTCCGCTCGAAGGTTGAGAAGCATCGTTAAAGACTCTCGTAGCCACGGTGGCGATCATTTCCAAAACTCTAAGTAAAGTTATAGCCAAGTCAAAGCACGTGGTACAGATCTTCAATTGACGCGATTCAATGAAAACCCTCTCTGGCCTCGACGATATATTTTGGATCTCCTGTAGCATACCGATGAACTCGGAGAAGGCCCAGTTTAGTTGATTCAGCAAGGAATTCAGAAACTGTGTGGTACCCTGAAGATTGCCAAGCAACGCTTCCCCGACATGTTTTTGATAGATTTCCGACGGACACGGTTCTGAGAACATACATGGATTATCGATACAAATTGTGTTAAAATATGTAATCAATATTTATCAAAGAGATCTTGAAACCTACTTATAGGTTGCGAAATAGATTCTTGTTGAAGCATCTTTGGCCCCACTTTCTTGACAAGATGAGGACTCTTCTCATATCGGAAGGCGAATCCCTTTCCTTGCCAAAACCTGACCAACACCCAATTCGACTGTGCCCATGCTCGATTTTCATATGGCTTTAACAAACTCTCAACCATCCTTTTTCTCGACTCCTTCGGCACATTTTCCAGCGCCTCTAAGGTGGTTAAATTCGATACGAAACCAGCCAAGGTAAGGACCAGGGTGTCTTTTGAATTGGCGTGTACGATCCTAGGATCCAGAAAACGGTCGCAGAGGAACTCTGCAACGTCGACGAACATGTCCTGGTAACCAGGTATCCCCTCAATAGGTGCAGTTGGATGAACATGGCTCCGTATTCCGAAGCTCAGATCGGAGACAGCCTCCAGATAGAAATCGGGCACAAAGGCAAACATGTTCCCCTCTTCGCTAGCATTCTTCAAAGTCAATGTAACCACCCGGAGGAGCCAGGCGAGCTGTGCTTGCTTTTCTTCCGAGTAGACTGCGGCACGAACCCAAGCCATGTGCCTGGCTTGTTCGGACAACTTGGTATCGAAGACTTCAATAGTTTGTTCAAGCTCTTGGCGAATCAGTTGCGAATCGCTGTCTGTCCGTTTTTTCACCAGTTTTAACCAAGTCTTCATGTCCGCGATAGCCATGACGTACTCATTCATGCTATCTCGCAAACTGGCGACCTTGGCTATCTGCCGTTTAGCTGCGGCATAATAGAATAGAATGATGCCATCCAAAAGTTCTAGAAGAGAGATCGCCGAGTCTCTTGCTCCATTTGGAAGAGGGCTCCTGTCTTCTCTGGATTCTGGGAAGTAACCCAGTCTTCCAAAGACCATTGGACCCGTCGAACCTGACGCATTGACGTTGATCATTCGCGCAAATGCTGGTATGACTATAGGTAGCTCGGCGAGTCGAGACAAGCCACCTGAGAATTGACTGTTCGGAGCTTGAGTGTCATCCATTGCAATTATCACTTCGTGGTCTGGACCAAGAAGATGTATCAGCTCGGTCTTAAAAGTCTTATTGAGATGCGATATCACCCCACCTAGTCTGTCGATGCCAGCATAGTTAATGGAGGCATCGTAGAATGACCTGTTTTTCATTGATAAATTAAAATCGATTTAATAATAACATTATGCATATCCTTTGTATTAAATGTATTATAGATCTATTATAAATGTATTCATTTTACCTGCAAGGTATGTAGATCGGACTGCTTTGAATTTCAGTATCCCACAAAACCCGGAAGGCTGTTAGTAAACGATGGAAACAGCACAGTGTTATCGGCAGAGGAGTCTGAGGTATGGACGTAATCTGCAGAAATTCCGACTGAATGCTTGACATTAAATTTGAACTTTTTTACCTGCTACTGAATTCAATGGTTTGTTTTTACTTACACGGCTGGTTATTAAATTTTCCTGCACGAATCGGCGAAACTTCTTCAAGAAAATAGTTCTGGACGTCGGTGTGTGCGAAGTACCATCGGAGTTGTCCAACAAGGTAACCAGCAGTTCAACTTGCAATGCCTCGACCTCTAACGGAAGTAATTTCATAATCTACTACACATCGAGAGTAAAATGTTAATGAAACCACGTTGGTTTGTTCATCACTTTTAAGTAAAAAGAAAAGTGATTCTAGGTGAACATTGAGCTTGAGAAAATTGTATATACCAGATATAGCGGTCTTGATCCTTTCACAGGAGCGAATGTACTGCTCCTTGTTAACCTCGATTGCAGAGTCAACGGGATTAGTTTCCCACCAGGTTTTATTGACTACACTGATCAATCCTCCTTCGTCTAGTGGCTTGACGTGCACAAAATTAGCGAAGCGTACTCTATCGAACAGCACATAACGAAGTAAATGTTGCCGAGTCGCTGTGTGTCGACAAAGGCTGGTAAGCAGAGCTAAACTTCTGCACTGATCCGGGTACTCTAACAGCAATGACACATGTCTAAATGCTGACAGCAGATGAACTATTGTGCTCTCGAGACAGGTTTTCATTTCATGCTCTTCTAAAAATGTCCAGAGAAAATCCATACAAGCCAGTAACTTTACAGGCTTCCGTCTTGCATGAGATGATTGGTTCTTATCAGCAAGACCAGCTAGCTCCTCAACAAATGGTACAAAGACGGCTTCAGCGATGTAGGGCATAGCAAGCAGTGGTCCAAGGTTTTTCAAAATTAATCTTGCCAGGCAAACAAGAAATGCTTTATCGCTCATGATCCTATTCTCCATCATTATAACATCTTGAGAATCATCGGTAGCAATGTATATGAGATTTGAAAACCACTTAAATAAGAGTAACGATTTATTGACTTGTTCTCGAGGTATTGCTTGAAGCGCCCGGTAACCTTCAACTGGATATCGGAATGGAGTTGAGCCAAAATTTGCAGTGAGATTTTCTGTAAAAGCTAGACTAACTGTTGGGAAATATGCAATGCCAGAGCCCATGGTAATATTTTCAAATGCCTTTCCTAGTGACCTTCCATTTCTATAAAACTCTACCGTGCCATTATCCATATCCAGGGTGCATCCTATAATATCTCCGGAAAGCCAAGGTTCACCATATTTGTACGTTGATACGTTCCACTTTCTTACACGGTTACCATCATAAGCATAAGAATTTACAGTATCTCCTACAGGGTATAAAAGGAGATTAATGAAACGGTATGGTCTTAATTATAAATATTTGGTTACACATTAGGCTCACATACCAACTCCAGACTCCTCATTGAACTTGCATTTCATAGTACCCCAGCCCACTTGCATCACTCCTTTGGAACCAAGTTGTAACTCGTACATCCATTTTCCTTTATACACTGCTGTATTTGCTCTCATTGTATTAAAATTACTTTGGGAATTAAGGCTAAGTCTATCTGGAGAAACAACAAATAGTCCATGGTGACTCGATACATCAAATCTCACAAGTTTTGGTCCTATCCGGCCTACAGGAGTATCTTCTGTGCTAGGTGAATGGCTTTCGTTCAATAAAGCTACCTCGATGTACTTATCTACTACAGTTAGGCCTAACGATTGCCTGAAAAAATTAACAAATGATTACACAGATTAGCAAACATGATTTACACATAAATTATTAGAATAGTTCAATAATGTATTACTTTGAATTTGCACTGCCTTCCTTTGATTTAAAGTTACTGGATGCAGTTTCACTGACGATGTCAGGTTCAAAGACCGATCGAAGGATCTCCTCCGTCTCCATTTTTTAAATCGTCCTTGACACATTGATAAATATTTTATTTCGTACCTCACCAGAGTACCAAAAATATTATCAGGTCATATATCGTTAATAGGCGCATCACGAGTTTATCATTGACAACTGCCGATTCAAAAAGTAACTTGTCAAGAACCACGATTATAGGTTCCTCACTGCAATTTTATCTATAAGTCACATAAAAAATTGGGTCGAATAAATGAATGGCAGCGTTTCGATTCCATTCTACAATTTTCTAATCAACACCAGGGTCCTGACACCGTGGGCGCCAAAAATTATTTTAATTTCACATCAGTTTGACAAAGAGGATCCGCAAACACAATAGCCATTTTTTTATATTATTTCTCAATCAATCGTAGATCATTCAAATCTATTGAGAGTATCCACCAGAGATGAGTTGGGAGATTGCTCACCGACAGGATCGCGCGATCGCATCCTGTGCTGCCCTCTTGTTTCGTACGTTAGCTTTCACCGTTTTGCCTCCAAGGGCGGCGCAATCAATTTCTGGTAGGGGTTCGCGCACTCGCGATGGCGGTGCCATCTATTATTCGCCGTTGGCGGCTCACGTATGTACTCGTGATGGTAATACCATGCGGCCAATGTGGCGGTAATAACGCCAAATTCGTGGGCTACACTAGGTTTGTTCGTTTTGTCTACACTTTCGACGAAGTGTACACTTTTTACGAAAAGTCAAACTGTTACGAAAGTCAACTTTTTACGAAAAGTGTACACTTTGGCGTTCGTTTTGACGGAAGTGACGCAGCGCCGCTGTTCGTTTTGCGAGTGAATCTACACCGAGTGTACATACAATTAAATTCAAGTATTTAAGAAAAATAATGAACAGTTACTGCTTGTGATTTTTAAAAGTACTTTTTGTTGGTTCAGTATTCTGTTTTTCTCCAAAACGCCCATGAATCAAGCAATAAACTTGATTTAAAGGCTCCATATTGAAACCAAAATCGAAATAGTAAAAACTTCGATTAGCTGTAAATAGGTACTCCGCAAGATGGAGCCACTTCGAACAAATCACATTAATGCATTTATTGATAAACCATTAAATTAACGGCCGAACGAGATCGTCCGTTTACTATTTACAGATATCGGCACTTTGCATTGAAATATATGTACATACCATATGAGAAAGCATTTATGTCGGTCGGTGTATATCAGTTTAATAAATATGAAGACAAGGAAACTCCATATGCCGTACATTCAACTCCGCCGAGTTATTTGCGAAACACAAAACGCGCCCCATAGCGAGCTTTCCAGTTTTGCATATTCTCCAGACACGATCAAAAGCTCCATAGAGTTATGCAATTCCGGTGATGTAATACCTGAAAGACTTGGCGGTCCAGAATATCCCTTCGTTACGTAAAAGGACATTTGTGTCGTGCTGCGTAAAAAAGATGAGCTACCCGGTGGCTCCATCTGGCGGCGCAGTCTTTAACGATCTCCCCCAAGGCCTCCCAATACACCGCGATACATATACTTAACTTCGTAATTGAACGTCGACTCCGCGTCGTCAAATCGAAAGCCAATTAGATAGCAACTAACAATGCGATTACAAAACGACCGAATCAACGTCACTAAAATGCCCCTCTCGCTTCCATTTTTCTCACGATTTTAGAAGGTACTTCTGGGAAGATATTTCTGGGAGGCGTCTCAATACGTGAATAAAAAATCAATGCTTTTAATGAACATGGACTATTTACATAAACCGACTTGTTTAATTTTACGTTTTTGCTCATTTTTGCTCACCTTGAGCTCTCTGGATATTTTCTAAGTGCGACCTTGATTACTAATTTTTTCCCTCCATTTCAGACAGTTTTTTCTTTTTTTTTTAACGAGCACACATTTATATAATTCGTCCGGAGTAATAAGTTTTTGCTCGTCATGTTTCGTTATATTTCAGTGATGTAGGTTATAAGGGTAATCATTTATTGGACATCCATTATTAATTTATTTCAATTGAATGTATTTTCAAAACTTATGTCATTATTCGCAATAATTGATTATGAAAAACCTTCCTAGAGACTCGGTACTCTTCTTACTGTTTTAAATGTTAATCAGTGACATTAATGATCATGAATATTTCATATAATTAGAATTGCTTAATCATCTTTTTTCCTTAGATGAAGATTTATGTTAAGAGTTATTCAGATGTGAAGAAATGTCAGGGTGAGTCTTCGTAAGGAGACGGCCCTGTCCGTTAGTTCCCCGTTCAGTCGCCAGGGCGAAGCGTGGTGCCACAGTCACGCGAAATCAAGATGTCGGGTGTTATGTTCGAAGATATTTTCAACGTAAAAGACATCGATCCAGAGGGCAAAAAATTCGACCGGGGTAAGTTCCGAAAGAAATATTTATTTCTGTGACGCTGTGAGTTCATTTTTTGATTAAATGAGGCAATTATAGGGAGAACGTTGAACGTTTTGTCGAAACGTTTCCGCATGCCGGTACTCATTGCGGTAGTTGGTAAGCACATGGTCTGACAAACGAAGAGAATTCAGGTTTTCGGTCTGTCCGCTGTCAACTCTGCGGAACGTAACGATTTAATCGTCTAGGGAATGAGTTTTGGACAGTAACAGCTGTGGAAGGTACACCTCTAATCTTGTAGCCGTCAAAATCGCGGGTAACGATTCCGACACGAAATCCCTGGCGGGAAATACGAAGCTCCTACTGAACGTCCAATGCCAAGATCACGGTCAAATACTTCTCACAGAAACTTACGCAAAGAAACGGATATGTCAGTGGTCTCCCTTATCTACAAGAGATACTTGTAAGTAATGCGCAGTATAATTTAGTAATAGTTTGACTTTCGATGAGCTATTAGAAAGAGATTTATTGACAAACCACTAAAACATTTGTTAAGACACTCAGGTTGTATGTTTTGTTTCATACCGTCTTGTTCGTACTTCTCTTAGCGAGAAATACAAGCTGCGTACCAAATGTCGAATACCAAGATTATAACATAGGCTTTTAACAAAGGTAAAATATTTTTCACGTAATTCATTTTGTTGCATAGTAATTTAAGAACCATATTATTAAATAAGTCAGTAACGTCTATTCATGACATATCTAAAGACCATTTTAATGGTAAAACTCGAGTACCGAAGCATGTAAGTACTTCTTAGTGTAAAACATACTTCATGTTCGTCTTTTAAATATCATTTAACTATTCTACATTAAACCAAAATAATAGGAGTCATTGGTAACTCATATCGCTACAATCATGCAGATTCTGGTGGCTTTTCAAAGTTTAACCCCAAGTTCCGATTAGCATCAGAATAGACCTATCGATGAAGCGTAAATCTTTTATTGGCCGATCCGTAAACGAACGTCGGTTATCCTTGGACTTTAGTTAGCAGGATCAGTCGTTAGGTGGCTGGATGACTGGAATCCCGTTTATTTTGGCAAGTCAGCGTTGTTCGTTCCACGTGCTATTTGGAGCCAGCGTTTGACGTTGAAACACGGTTACAAGGAAACCAATTGTTACCCGCTAGTGTGCCGTAGCAACCGGACGGTTTAATAAGACCGCTTAATTCTCCTTTGGAATTAGTCTTAAACGGTTAACCGCGTTAACGCATAAACCGTCACTCCGTACGCCTCGATTCTCGATTATCTGCGCCAATTGGCAATACTAAGGCAACAAACTGCACTCGGTCCGGATTAGTCGGTAAAACAGGGAGCTCTGTCGTTTTAACCAGGATATTTCCGGAATCAGGAGCATTTCCTATAGCGCGCGACCCCCGCCAGAGTTGTCCAATGGCGAAGGCAGCCGTAACGGCGTAAAGGGTTCTCCTCGGAGCTGGAGGGGGGCGGGGAAGCTCCCGCGGCGGTCGATGCAGCGCAGCCCAGAGTCGCAGCGGGCGACATCGCGCCGCGTAATATGACGCGCGGCGGGGCACGGGGAGAGGCCGCCACGGTCAAGGTCAAGCTCGTCGCTCCAAGGTCGCGAGAGATGTCATCTCAGGGGGGAGGCCGCGGCGGCGAGTCGTGGGGTGCCTCGTATGCACCTAGCGATCGCTTCAAGGACGAATTGAGGGCGGGGGGGGGGGAGATGCAACCAGGAGAGCCGCGAGAGAAGAGACACTGCAACTTCGCGGCGTTTCCATTATTCTCCTTCGCGACGGTCCCGCCGCGCGTCTTCGTCGGCCCCTTGTCATCTCTCTTTGGCCCCCGTTCGAGGGCCCCGCCCCTCCCGGGCGCCCGCTCGGCCTCGGCGCTCCTGCAACCCAGAGAGCGCGCGGCCCGCCGCCATTTTGGCTGCTTCGCGGGCCTCTCGGCGGAGGAATCTCGGCAGCCGGTCTTTCGGTTCCCAACTCCCGCGACTCGATAGCCCGCCCGGGTTTATGCGGTATGCAGGTAAGGCCACGTGTAAGTGCACGTCGGTAGATAAGATATCGTCCCAGAACTGCTAATAAATTTCTGGCTGAAAGCCTAAGGAGCGTAAGTCATGTTTGCGTTAAGAGATGCGTGGGATTGAACGGGCTTTCCGGAGTCTGTATGCCTCGGCTGGGAACGTTATTTCGGCCGTTTTGGAATGGTCGGCTTACCGAGCGGACGGCGGAAGGACGTTGGATGGGGGGGCTTTAACTTTCAATGGTTCTCGGGTTTCGGAGCTGTGGAAGTACACTTGTCAGTGGGGTACCTGGAAGAGAATCTATTAATTCCATGAGAGTTCTACTAGGGCCGTGAATCGCGAGACCAGGGACCCGATTCTCCATTTTGTACGATCGACTCTCAAATACGAAATTGCGAATTTAACGATTACGCGACTTCGCAACTGTGCAACATTTATTTCATGCGTGTCTGTTCGCATGAGAGAGAAAAATCAGTATGAACTCGAGTATCGGGTTTTAGGGAGGAAGCGCTCACGAGGATATTGGAATTCGAGGAAGACATCCTGGTGACGTAGGCGGTGATGCCACCTAAATAATGGTTTGCAGGATCGATTGGGAGGCCACACCTCCCTCTTTATGTTTTATCCAATCGCCGTCTGTGGCACTGGAGGAAAGTAGAACACTCGGATTTCAACTTCAGGTGCACCCCGGGTATACGAGGGGAAGGGTGCCCGACATATTTTAAGTGCCCCCTATTGGCAACCCTAATTACGGGCGTGCAACGACACCGAGGAAAATAACTCACCGAAGTCTTTATTATACAGAGTGTAACGGAATTCTTGCCCACGGTGTCGCTATCTTTACTGAAAATGGAGTGACAAAGCCTCCTACAATTTTTTTTTTTTTTCTCTCTACGGTACACAGTTTGCTGGTAATAATTAATCGGAAAACAGACAGCCTGGCTTTGCGGACAAAAGTGTGCGATTTGTACGCGTAGACGTGAAATTTATGGCAGGCCCCTTTGTTGGAACCGTTGACGAATATCCGTGTTCTCTCGAGTAATCGACGCGTATGGTTGGC